AATATATTGAATTTGCCATAGCTCACCATCGCCATCTAGTGTCGCATTTGTATATTGCACTTTACATTTAAAATGTTTAATTTGAAGCTGTATAGCTGAGTCCTTGGTCTTGTCCGCTAAATCCACCAGGGGGAAGTCTCTAACTCATCAATGGCTTGAGACCTATCGGTTACCCTCAGCTGGTTTAGCCGGCAAGTCGAAGACATTCCCAGGGTGTGGCCCCTGTCACATGCTGACAGCTTCTAGGAGCCACAGGTGAATGCTCCATACGCACTGCCCAGGCTTGCACCCCAGGGTGGTAACTTTGGTGTTGCTAATACAGCTGTTTCACTTCACCCTCAGAGACACACTCCATTGCTTCTTGAGACAGAAAGGTGCCACAAAGTGGTGAATTTGTTCTGCTTTATTTGTTGTTCCGCAGTGCTTCCACGATGCTACCACATTGGCCCACAGTACATTTAAAATAATACAGTCATGGTTTCCCCCAAAGAATCATGGGAAGTGTAGTTTGTTAAGGATGCTGAGAGTTGTAGCTCCTCCCAGATCTACAATTATCAGAGTACTTTAACAATTAATCCCTTTTCCCAGGAAACTCTGGGAACTGTAGCAGAGAATAGGTATCTCCTAACAACTCTCAACGCCCATAAGAAACTACCCTTCCCAGGATTCTTTGGGAGAGAATGATGACTGTCAAATTGGTATAGGGCTGCTTTACCTGTATGGTGTAGATGTGTTCTCATCTGCTGTCCAGAGAAGCTACAAAACACAACAAAAGTGTGACACCCACTCCAATGCTGTAAGATTTCAGCAGGAAGTTACAGGTTATGTGCTGATTGGAAATGAAGCAGTGTGAGCACCCCAAAACTTCTGCAGGCGTAAATAGTATTGAAAGCAGGATAGCGTACGATCACCCCAAGAGCATCAGGAGCACAAATCATGAAAGTACAATAACATCAGGGTTGTTCTTTTATCAGCATTGTAAAGGCGCTGAGCAACAATTGCATGCAAACTTATTGAATCACCAGGCTGCAAATTAGTTTAAATGAAAATCTGTCAGCTGTACTGGGTGCCAAGTGTTTTTTGCACATATTAAAAAGTAATAAATAAGTTGGGGTTTTTAACAACAACAAAATGCTTCACCTGATTATTATTTTTTAATTCAGAAAATTATGCTGATATGAACACATCTGTAAATCTTTCTATAATAGAAGACCATGAAGTGTGCCTTGGTGATAAACAGCGAAATCTTGACCCCTGTTTAGGTCAATTTGAATCCTCAGGGAAGCCAACCTTTATTCCATAACATCTACTCATTCTTTGTGTCCCGGGTTCAAAGCATTTTCCAGTCATTAAGATGAATGGGATGCCTTAATGTTATTAATGAGTTAAGTAGCAGTGAGTTCCTCAAACGTAAGATTAAAGGATGTATTATATTTTATGTGTGCTTTGGGGTCATAAATTTACCTAGCCCAATGCATTTGCTGTACTTGCGAAAGGGGAGCACACCGGAATCCCTTCAAACACTTTATAACAGGCACTTTATTATAAATGTAACACCTAATTGGGGCCCCAACCATCATAAATTTGCTGCACAGAATATTATATGGCATGCCGTCATGATGTGGCTGCAGCTGTTGAGCGCATGGTGCTCAAAACACTTCAAAATCAGTGCTTGACAGAGAGCTCTGAGGATTCGGACATTTGGATGTCACCCATACAATTACATTAGAAGGAAACTGCCATCCTGCCTCCTTTGTCCCTACTCTGGTTGTAGGAGTCAGCGAGGATTCATGGCAACCAGCCTTTAATTTGAACAGAGCCTGGCACACGAATCTCAAGTCTGGCACCTGTTATCCATGCCAGTAGGACTTGCAGATCCAGTGAAGATCCAGAAATGTGTGATCTTTTGCCTGGCAGAAAGAAGCACAATGGGGGAAGAGCGTAGCATAAGGAAGCCTAACAAAGTTCTGATATTTCCCATTATGACAACTTGGGGGGGGTGTGCGGGTTTGGAAACATCAAAACTAATTTCCTTGGCTGGTGCGCAGAACAGTTGCTTCATCTGCCTATTGGGTCACCCAACACGGCTGCAGTTCTAAGGCTTCATTTTTCCAGGTGCAAATCCCACCGAAGTAAGTTTACCTCTGAGCAGCTTGAATCCAAAGCATCTGCATGCATCCTTGTGGGAACCATCACCAAGGACCATTCAGTGCTTTCCATTCTCTTTGCATAGACACCCTCCTCAGAAGAGAGGGACATTGTTAGAGGGTAGGCGATATAATATTATGTTTGCATAAACACGTTCTACGCTTTTTGCATAGATGCTTTGTATACATTTGCATATTCTGTGTGCATAGGTGCTTTATTATATATTTATTGTTTGAATAGACACCATACACACACACATTTATTCTGATTGCACGGACGAGAGAGAGCGCTTTATGGGTGTCGGTGGGACCGGGAGAGGCATCAGCTACTACTAGTGGAAGTCGCCACAACTACAAGCGGCCGAGGCGCGCTCGTCTTTGGGCCCAGCGCGAGGCACCTGAGCGCGAGAAGCCAGTTATGCTTGGTCACCATGGCAACAGGTGGGCGGGCTAGCGCAGGCGGAGGAGGTGAAACTTTCCCTCTCTGGTCACCTGACCGGGCCCCTCGGGCCACGTGATCCCTTTCCCACCGTCGCCATTTTAAAGCGGTGCTCCCTGCAGAGGCAGCAGCAGCGGGAGGGAGGAAAAAAGGAAAAGCAGAGCTCATTGAGGCTCCCCTGGGAAGGTGGGTGCGAAGGGGGGGGCGGGGAGCGCGCTTTTCGAGGGGGCGTGTATGGGGAGGAGGGAAAAACATCCCTATGAGCGACCGGGAAAGGGGTTGGGGGTCTCCCTTCCCCAGCCTTTTCTCTCAGCAGGCACCCGAGAGGAGGGGGAGAGGGTGGCAGGTTGGGTGGGTGGGAGACGCGTGGTGCTCAGCGCCCAGCACCTGTCAGAGGCGTGGAGCATCTCCCCTCGACCCCGGTGAGGTAGAGATGCCTTACCTCACACAATCAAAACTAGGGGAGGGGTGTGAGGGGTGGATGTTCAGGCGTTAAAGGAGCTAAGAGCAGCACGACGTTTGGGGGATTTTCCGCCGGCACTTTCCGGAGTTGGGGTATGGCTCCCTCCTTCCTTACGCATAACGGTCTGTGCACCTACTGCATTTATTGATTTATATTGGCCTTCCTCTACTCTTGGCGCCACATGGGGATATTGTCATTCACACACAGAGAGAGAGAGTGAGTTCCCTGTGTCATTCTTTTGGTGATTCCTTTCTGGTGCATTGATGTGTGTGTCCTTTATATGGTTTTACAAACAAATAGGTAGGCTCTCATTCTTCAGTCTAACATTTTTACACACATCCTTTCTTAGCAATGTTATAGCCCCCCCCATTGCCCCTATTAGCCACCTCCAAAGCTCAGGAAAGGAGTTTCTCTCTCTCTGATCCACCCTTTTGATGCAGTTGTCCATACACACAATTATTATCCTCAAACTTCCTTTCAGCCAGTGAGTTGAAAGACAGTAAGGCTCTTCCTTCACCTTTAAAGCTTCAGTTCCTATTTATAATTGCTAGCTATTGACTATAATTTCTGTAGTGTTTTGTAGGCCTTAATCAAATTCTCGCAACAGGTTGCAATGGAGGGAACATACTCAATATTGCCTAGTGGCCAAATGGGAATATCGGAACTCCATAATCCCAATTCCAATCCTCTAGTCATACTATTGATCTATTCCCATCATTTTCCCTTTATAGTATCAGTCCTCAGCTTATAGGTTGGGGCCCACTGCTTGCTCACAAGCTAACCTAAGGTAGGTTACAGCTGCAGTACTACCAATATGCAAAAGTATGGCTTTAAAAACCAAGGAGTTGCTCCTCAGATGCATTTTTGGGCTAAATGTCTGATTTGATTCAATTTCTATGCCACAGTCCATTCAAATGAATCCCAAAGCAGCTTAAAGACAATAACATAATAAAATATCACAGATATAGCATAAGTCCTATTACAGAATTGGCAAATAATCAGTAAAACAATTGTCGTCTATAAAACGCTATTAACCAGAAACTGAAAAAATAATCTGAGCGTCATAGTTATGGCATAAGCAATATTACATGATTAACAGATCATCAACAAAACTTTTCTAATCTATAAAACGATAACTAAAAAATAAGCTAAAGCCAGGTTGTATGTCTAAAAAGAGTGCCAGCCCTTAAGAATGTGCACACACACATTTCTTCAAAAACATTGTTTCAAAGTGTCTTGACATGAAGATTGTATTTGTTTTCCTTTCCTTTAATTCTCCAACTTCAGTCTACTTATTTCCCACACCCACCCAACTTAGAATCTCAGCCCTAATGAGCCCTCAAGCTCAGGGTATGATTCTGCTTTCCTACCAGTTTTCCGATCTCCACGAAACTAGTGTGCTGAACCCTACATTTCACTTACGCTCCTTAATGGTAAAAAATACTTCAGGCAAATTGTCACATGCACAGGATTGTGTTTTGTGTAACTCAAAAAAGCTATAGAATGCTAATAGAACTGGAAACCCTATATCTGGTGCTCTGCTTTCAAAAGTTCTGCACAGGGAACCTGGTTAAAACTTTTCTCTGCTGGAGGTTGCAACAAGCTAACACTTTCTTATCAGTCTCAACCCTTTTGACTGCAGTGTCAATAGCATGCTTTTATAGGTTAAACAAAAAGTTTGTTTGTTTTGTGAAAAGTGAAAGACTCCTGCAAGCATAGTGTAAAAAAAAAAAGTACAGCTTTCTTTTATTTTCCGTTTTAAGCATTAAAAAAGAGTGCCTGATTACTTCTTGATACAGTAGTATTCAAAATGTAATGTCTGGTAAATCGTTTGGCAGGAATGCTCTTTAATTTGTTGCTATAGCTGCTTTTACTTGCAGGATTTTCCTTTTAGGATGTTCTTGCAGTTATGACGGATGAGAAAACTCTGGTCTGGTGGCTGCAGGTATAGTGTAATGTGAATTTACCCTTTAGCGAAGTCAGACTTTGGGTTCACCTTGCCTTGTGTTGTCTACAGGGAGATTCAGGTTCATCAGATGATTGGGAAGGGGGGCTCTTTAATTCTTTATTTCTCAGCCATTTATCCAAAATTCCTGCTGCCTCCTCTCCCACCCACTGTTTTCCTCTGCTAAAGGATATAAGGCCCTAGTATCTTTTGTTGTCTCTTGTGCAAAAAACCAGTTCTGAAGAGGTGTGATTCAGAATGACTCAAGAAGAAGGATGTAATCAAATCCCCTCTTCTTCAACCCCCCGGTCCACCACTCACCTTGGTTGCCTTACCTGATTTTTTTAAAAGCCATTGAGGATAGAAAATAGCAAAAGAGCTACACTTCTGATTATGATTAAAACTTGATTGATTTGTTACCAAAGCAACTCAAAGCGACTTACAATAAATAATCAAACACATACATTGAAACCATCATAAAACAAAACATAGGAAAATCTAAAAGAAAATCCTCTTCATATAAGGCAGGATTGAAACATCCCGCCCACTCAAAGAGGCCACTGATATTTAAGAGCCAAATGCCTGGTAAAAAAGAAATGTTTTTGCATGGCACCTAAAGCTATGTAATGATGGTGCCAGGTGATCTTCCCTTTGGAGAACATTCCACAAGTGGGGAGCCACCAGTGAAAGGGCCTGTTCTCATGTTGCTACCTTCCAAACCTCACAAGAAAGGGGCACACATAGAAGGACCTCAGATGATGATTGCAGAGTCTGGGTTGGTTTATATGGGAAGTGGCAGTCCTTGAGGTATTGTGGTTCTGAGCCACATAAGGCTTTGTGGGTCGAAAACAGCCCTTTGAATTGGGTTCAGAAACTAATTAGCAGCCAGTGCAGTTTGGCCAGGATTGTTGTTATATGCTCAAACTGTCCTGCTCTAGTGAGCAACCTGGCCACTCAATTCTGCACCAGCTGCAGTTTCTGAATTTCCTTCAAATGAGATCATCAGCATTGATCTTCTCAACTCTTTTTTAGTTTGGTGAGAACATTCACCAAAGAGTTGCCAAAGAATTGATTGTCTTGATTATTCTTCAAGAAAATGCAAAGACCAAAGTGTTGTGTGGCACTACAGCCTGTATAGGTCTACTCTGAATTAAATCCCACTTGAGTTCAATATGGCTTGGTTCCAGGTAAGTGGCTAAAGGATTGCAACTTAATCTGAAGTAAGTTCCAGTGAGCTCAATGGATTTCTTGTCTGGTAAGTATGTGCAGGATTATAGTTACCTTTTGAGCTGTCATTGGCAAAGCTCTGCTTCATCATGTGCCAAAAACACCTTAAACTAGGATGCAGATACTTAAGCTTGAAATCCTCAAACACAGGATAGAATATTTGATCAGTGAAGTATTTGTTGATTTCATTATGAAAATGTTCCTTCTGCTAAGGTGTTTTATTTTTAAAAGAATCCTACTGCTTTCGCTTCCTTTATAGATCCAAATGTTTGTCATTTTTAATCTGCCAGAATATTAAAGAAAGATCTGACAGTTTAATGTCATCTTATTCCCAGGTTGCTATTCTGTTGTCATTGCGATTTTGACTAAGCCAAGGCATACGTAGCTGAAGAAATTTCTCTAGTTTTCACACCATTGGTGGTGTGGAACTATTTGAGCTCGTTTCATGGAATAGTGCATGTAGTAAATCATTCTGCAAGTGAAAAGCATTCCCTGCCAATTGAATTGCTTACAGACTTTTCAAAGTGTTAAGTACTCACCAAATTTTATCCAACTCAGTCTGGAATAGTAAGACTTTTTTCAGTCTTGCAGTCATGTTTCTGTTCAGTTTTGCTTACTAAATCACATAGCAAGCTTGCATGGTGTTGTTTGGTGATACTCTCACCTTAAAACTGTTTGAAAATGTCATAGTTAAAATGGAGGAATGGCATATGTGGTATTCTTGCAGATTTGATTGATGTTAGTCATTTGTACTGATCTTTAGACCATCTTCTGCTCAAGGGTGCTCATTCTTTAGCGTTCAAGTGCTTAATAACTTCATCCTGTCTCAAATTAACATTCTCTTTTCACAGTTTACTGCCATGAACGTTTTCAATTAGCTATGGAGCGGGAACTCCCAGGGCACTTGCAAGAGATCAACAGACAGATGTTCAGATCAAGGAAACTCTGCATTGGTGCACAGGGATGACTTCATCCCTAATCGCCTCTGCTAATAGAGTGCAAGCACAGCTGAGACAAATGGTGAGGTTGGCAAGGAGGAGGATAAGCTCAGGTCCCTTTTCCTCCTGAACAACTACATTGAACAGTTGGAGGTCCATACTTTGTATGGAATATCACTTATGTGTTAAGATGCAAAGCAGCTTTTAAAAGGGACTGGATGACTTGTGCATCTGTTTAAGGTGCATGAACTGATTGACTGCAACATTTATGCCATTGTGTTCCGTAAGCTTGATGTTTTGTAACACAGCAATGTACATTTTAAGTTTCAGATATTATGGAAGAAGGCAACAGTATTACAGCAGTAGTCTCAAACATTGGGGAACCGGAAGCTGTACTGACCTCCGAAGCAGTTGTAAGCCCAACTTCAGAAAGTGGTGAAGACCAGAGAAAGTGTAACCCTGACCCACTAATCCAGGTCATCCAAAAGCTAAGCAAGATCGTTGAGAGTGAGAAGTCACAAAAATGCCTTTTAATAGGGAAAAAGCGCTTGCATCCTGATGTGTCCCTGCTGTCACTTGACTCACAAAACCTCCCAGAGATCCCAGGTAAAACCATTGAACTGCCTGCCCTGGGCACAATAAATATAGAAGATTATTATGTAACAGACTGTCCTCCGCAGAATAAAAGGAAGGTGGTTTGCTACCAATGCAGTCTCTGTAAATCTCTGTCTCCCACTCTCCCTCTCTTAAAAGAACACGTGAAACAACATGGCCAGCAGAACGAAGTAATACTTATGTGCTCAGTGTGCAATTTTGCCATGAGAAGCCTAGAAGAGTTTGAAGCTCATGTGAGGCATCACCCAGAGAACAGTAGCAAAGCACACACTCTTTCAAAGGAGCAGCAGCAATGTGCAAGTTTTCCCAGTACCACTTTGCATGGTCCAGTGGAAGGTTTTGTCAATGCCAGTGCTGATCAGACAGCACAGCTTCAGTCTCCCCGTCCAACGGAGAAGGGGAGGCAAAAATGGTATACTTATGAGCAGTACGGCATGTACCGATGCTTAATTTGCAGCTACACTTGTGGTCAGCAAAGAATGTTGAAAACGCATGCCTGGAAGCATGCAGGCGAAGTCGACTGCTCATACCCCATATTTGAGGAAGAAAATGAACAAGCTGCGTTGCAGGACCCTGCTGTATCGGGTGTTCCTCGCAACATGGATGCCGTTGTCCTCGCGCTAGAAAATAATGAACTGGGTCTCTCTGGTGACCAGGCTGTTCAACTCCACATTTGTAGCTCTGAGCAAATGGTGTACAAAACCTCCTTGACAGAAGAGCCTGCGAAAGAGGAGGCGCTCTTAAGTCAATCGGCTGTTCTCTCGCCCACAGGCAAAGGAGCAGAAGAGACTCTGTCAGATACTGATCTGGAGCAAGACAACTTGATGACCGACAGCTTGCTTTCCTCCGCTCAAAAAATCATTAGCTGCAGCCCAAATAAAAAAGGCCACGTTAACGTCATAGTTGAACGTTTGCCGAGCGCCGAAGAGCCTGTCTTGCAGAAGCCTTACTCTATGGACACTGACATTGAAGCCGAGAAGAAAATAATCTCTGAGCAAGTTCGTGTGGCACGCGATGAGGACGTTTATCATATGGACAAAAGCTCTGTGGAACTCGAAGAAGTCATAATCGGATGGAGCAGTGCGGAGAAGAAAGATGGCGATTTAAACCCTGGTAGAGCCAAAGCAGCGGATGAAAACGCGCCTCCCACCAGAAGAAGAACAAATTCGGAGTCCTTGAGGCTGCACTCCCTGGCTGCCGAAGCGCTCGTCACGATGCCCATCAGAGCTGCAGAGCTAACCCGGTCAAGCCTCAGAGTTTTCGCCGAGGCAAATTCTATAGGTTCAGAGGCTGGGCAGAGGCCAGCTGACAACAGCTACGTCGCCCATTCTAAGCTGGTGACCTCCCTTAAAACAGAGGAATTGGCAGGCCTGAACCAAACGGACTGTGCTTTCATGGAAATACAGAAGGATAAGCCAGAGCTGGCTGAAGGTCCCATTAAAATGGGCATCAGCATGTCCCTGCTCACCGTCATTGAAAAGCTGAAGGAGAGGACGGACCAGAATGCTTCCGACGACGACATTCTGAAGGAGTTGCAAGACAATGTGCAGTGCCAACCTGCAGCCGATGCCAGCGTGCTGGGGAGCAACCTGGTGGAATACATCCCCAATGTGGATCGCCCCTTCCGATGCCGCCTGTGCCACTACAGCAGTGGCAACAAGGGGTACATCAAGCAACACTTGCGGGTGCATCGCCAGAGGCAGCCCTATCAATGTCCTATCTGTGAGCACATAGCAGAAAACAGTAAGGATTTGGAAAACCATATGATCAACCACTGCAAAACCCGAATGTACCAGTGCAAACAGTGCGAAGAATCCTTTCATTATAAGGTGAAGTGTCTTTACTTTTGTGTTTGCTTTTTTTGACTGTTTCTTGATTGCTCTGAACTGTGTGAGCCAGAGAAGTTGCAGCTTGTCATGACAGGCTTAACTGGGGCAGTCAATTGCAAACAGTCGATGATGGTTGGTTGCCAGAAAGGTCCCATTGAGATTGCTAGTACTGGAGTGTCTGGTGCTGCTCAGTGCCTGAGTAATGGCCTTGGAATCAACGACTGGATTGTTTGTCAAAACCTGTAAGTCAATTCAGAAGTGGGTCAAGGAAGCATCAGGGTCAGAACTTTATTTCAGCCTCTTCAAAGCTGGAGTTAAGCCTGTAGTAATAAGGCAGGTAGAACTCTGAACTCAGCCAATAGACGCAGCAATTTTGGAAAGCCAAAATCATAGCATTAACACACACACCCTCTTTTTAAAAAAACATTACCCTTAACAATTGAGTATCTTAACAATTCCTATGTCTGAAGAGGAACAACAATTCTGATTGTTATATGCCATAAAGCAGCTTAGGTGCTATACAATAAACTATATAAATAGAAAAATTAGAAAAGCCCAAGTTATATCATCAAGTTAGAGTGCATGACTATTCTACCATGTTGGGGTACAAACCAGGACCTTCCTGCAGCTCTTGGTGGAGTGGTGGGTGGGTGGAACCTTGTTACCTATTTATTAGACCAGGTAATGGTAATTCTACTTTGTGGTGCTCTTCTAAATCTACAGAGCTCACTCAGATTTGGGCAACTGAAAAGTCTGCTTTCCCATTATCCCTGCTTGAGTTGGAAACTGTGTTTCTCTCCTCACTCCCATGCAGTTGGTTAGTGATCATGTGTCTTGAGCTCCTCTTTAAAAATCATCTTGATTTGTATTGTCATTTTGTTTGGCTGCCTGACAGATAAGTAATCACAGACGACATTTGGCAGGAAAATAACGAGAGTTCAGTATGGAGGTTCAGCCACTCCATATTTGCACCCTTTTAAAAGACGGTACTCCTGTTTGCTTTGCAGAGTCAGCTTCGAAGCCACGAGAGAGAGCAACACAGCCTTCCAGACCTATACTCGATGCCGCCGTCTGACAGCCTAATAACTTGTAGCAAAGTGGATGAAAGAGTCGGTACTGTCTGTCTTTTTCACTTGCTTAGTGATAGCATTGGGCCAGTTTAAAATGTTGAGCTCAACATGCTGGAGGTTCTTGAGAATCCCTCGGCTGTGGCAGTGACTTTTAACTGTTAAAAGCCAATGCTACATTCATTTTCCCAGTCGCCCATAGTACCTGAGCAGCAGCACTGCCACTGCCAGGAATATGCAGCATTGGTATGCAAATAATGAAATGTGCAACAGATATGGTTAGAGGCTGTTAAAGGTAGCACCTGCTTCATGGAGAATCACCAGAGGAAAAAGCTTTTCAGCAGGGCTTTTAATCACTTGATCGTATATCACAGCCTTCTGCAGCCTCCAGCCCTCTGGATGTGTTGGACTACAACTCCCATCATTCCTGGTCATTGGGCATGCTGGCTGGGGCTGATGGGCATTGTAGTCTGAAACATCTGGAAGGCACAAGATTGGGCAAGGCTTTTGTAAGGCCTTCCAACTAGGCAAACAGTATGGAAAGAAGCTTGTTCCTCCTTTTGCTACTGTCCACACCTTTTTAGAGAAGTGTGCCTTTTACCTGAAGAGCCTCTGAATCAGAGGGAAAGGATGCCAATTTTTCTTGATGATGCACCCCTCCAAAATAAACAGCAAACACCTACGCCCTGCCTCAACGCTTAATGCAGGTTTTTATTTTAAAACCTGGGATTTGGAAGTATGACTTGACTGAACATGTTCCCCCTTTTAATAGCATTCATTAAATGAGAATTTAAGCTTTCTAAAGTAGTTTGGAAACTCTTTGCAGTCAAATTATGACACGATTGCAGGAAGGAAGCCCTCTTGTCAAACAGATGTCGTCTCTATAAAACAGCCCAAACCCAAGAAGTTTATGGCACAGCATCTGTTTATGCACGCGTTAATCTGAGCGGGAACATTTGTTTCATGTTTATGAAATCATCAGCGCCCCTGTTCATCGCGGCTGTGCTAGAACGTTAAAGGGATCTTTCTGCATATGATTGAATTCTAAATGTCTAATAATGTAGGGCGATTGTAATAACATGCATTACAGGAACACCTGCTTTTAGTGTTGGTTTGAAACCAGTCAGTTTGTTACACCCCACAGGGCTTGGCCTTCCTTTACTTCCTGCCCTCCCTTCTGAAGATAAAAGCAGTTCCCAAACCCATGACTCTAAAGCATGTAGTAAAAAGCAGAGTTGTGTTTTGTAAAACAACAAATCTTTGTGACATAATTGCATATAAAATATGGTGGTTTTAGTGATCATTAGGCAATATATTTTTATTTGCCTACAAATGTTATTTCCTTCATTGTTATTCAATTTAGATAAGAAATGGCTTAATTATTTACCAGGCTGGTCCAAGGCAACTTAGCGTCCTAAGACACAGCACTGCATGATCCAGGAGCAATTCCCAGGACCCCCTGTAATGAGGATGCTGCGATGCAACAACTAGGATCTTGAGAAGGACCTCTCATATTGTAGGTTTTCATGGGCACCCTTAATAATAAGACTACCCTAAATATCTGCTTGGGTCACTTGTGTGGTTGGCCCAGACCTGATTATTTAATATATATATATATATATACAAAAAATCCTGAATTAAACACCTTCCAGAACCAAAGCTGCAAGCCAAATCAAATGTGTGAACCAAACTCTTCTCAACTGTTAGTATTGGAAGATTAGAACCTAAGCAGGATCAGATTGTGCTGAAACAAGATGTCTTTCTGTTAAGGAAAATGATTTCTAAAAACTGTGTTGTATGTCATTTAGGGGATAGGATTTCAGTCCAGAAACTTTACAGATGCGACGTTTGTGATTACACAAGCACAATGTATGTTGGTGTGCGGAATCATAGGCGGATTCACAACTCCGATAAGCCATACAGGTGAGCATATCTCTGGGGTTTTCTGTTACTTACAGCTGGAATTTTTTTGATGTGTTTTCTTGCAGCTGTCAATTCTAAAGTTAGAACACAGTGGGCCGATTTGAAATTGCCTAATTTTGAAGGAGTGTGTCACTTGCTACCAGTTTACTCTGACAGTCGCTTTAGAATCCACTGACATCATTACAGTAAGGATCTGCAAGTAATGCATATTGAAATACCTGGTAAGGAGGTTCCTAAAGCAAGCAACAGCAGAATTGGGACATGCTTGGGCCACATCCCATCAGCCAGAGGACTAACAGCTGCCGGGTTATGCTAGAAGAATGTGGCTTTTCCAAATGTTTCTTTTAAGCAGCCTAGAAAGGTCTGAAAGGTGGGGTAGAAAATCTTCAAAACAAACAATAAGCAGATTTATTGAGTCTTTAATGTTTCTTTTTAAAATTCAGCACAGTTGTCCAGGAACCTCTACTATTTGCATGATGCATCTGAAAGTTTGCCATTTTGAACTTTTAGATGGATAGAGCCATATTGATTGAACCACAAGTTTAAGCAGACAGCTAACACCTCCAGAGGCCCTTAACCAATGACATTTTCATCTGAATAGCAGGCAGCGAACATTTACTTGACTACTGCACCGATGGATTCTAGAATGAATTATAATTGGCCAAACTTCCCTCCTTGTCCTCCCTTCCGCAACGCCCACCTCAGAGATGGTCTTGTCAAGAGGCTGAGGTTGCTGGGAACCAATTGCTTCTTTGTTTTCCTTCAGGTGTCGAATGTGCGACTTTGCCACAACAAATATGAATAGCTTGAAGTGCCATATGAGGCGCCATCCACAGGAACACCAGGCAGTGCAGCTAATGGAGCAGTTCAAGTAGGTAACTGACTGCTTGGCAAGCCGGTGGCAGCTGTGGCCTTGTTAGTACAGATAGTTTGAAGTTAAGATCATCGAATTTTTGCTAGAGATCTCTTACAAATTGCTTGGTTAAAGGATCATCTCTGCCTTTTGTATCTTGCTGATGTTAAAGCCTGGTACTCTGGAGACTCCAGGAAACCTGTAAAAAAAACCAACAACAGCCCAGAAGTACCAGAGCTCTGGAAAACATAGGGGTCTCCCTCAGAATATTTGACTGTAGATACTTAATAGTGAGGGAAATGTGCTACGTGCGTGCTTTCTGCACAAAGTCCTGGTACGTGAAATGTTCTGGGCATGGTTCCAATTTGTTCCAAATTAAATAGGGCTTGGAGAAGAAAAGATGGAAGTTGAATTTGATCAATATTTTTTTTTGTAGAAGTTGAGTGCGAACTCTCATTCCAGGTCAGATTATTTGTCCATCTATCCTGGTATTGTCTAATCACTGACTGGCAATGACTTGCCAGCAGAGGCCTGCCTTCGCTCCTTCTACCTGAACCTTTTTATTTGGAGATGTGAGGGATTGAATACAAGGCCTTCTGCATGCACAGCACCACTGAGCTGTGGCCCCTTCCTTAGTTCCACAGAGAAATCTGTTTAGCAAGGCCCAGGGCAAATACTGTATTCATTTAGGCATGCTCCAGTGCATCTAACCATATGTTAAATTCTGAGAATACTTGATATACTACAAATTTCTTTAACGTGTGCAATTTCTCCCTCTAGCTTTTTATTACTTTGGCGGTTTTTTTTAATACCTATTAATTCTGTTGTTATTGCCTAATGAGACTATGTATTAGTTCACCATGTTTGACAGACTTTATAGCTTTAGGTATACTTTTTGGAGTAGAAATCTTTAAAATATCACATAAAAATGCAGCGACAGCTAAACTAAACTGGGATAGAAATCAAAGGGTGTGCTGACCTTTTATAATTTGACCACATTTTGGGTAAGACATGTTGACCCCTTCTTCTTTCTCTTAATCTTTTCCCCCCTTCAGATGTTCGCTTTGTGGGTATGAATGTAGCCACCCCCCTTCTCTCAAGTCTCATATGTGGAAGCACGCAAGTGACCAAAACTACAACTATGAACAAGTGAACAAGGCTATTAATGATGCAATTTCACAAAGCAGCAGGTGTGTGCGCATTTAAGGGTCACTATTTATACCTGTAATATAGAGCACTATCTTAACAACTTGCATAGCAAGCCAGTTGCTTTAAGCAACATAGTTACTTAAGTTGTTGGAGTCTGGGGGGCATTGTGATTTCCCTGCTGGAAGCTCTTTTGCCAAACCTTCCACTTTCTCTTTACACTTGGGGGAAATTTTATAAGCTGTTTAGAGATTTGCTGCACAGTAGTGAAAGGGAGGGAAAGGGCTGGCGTACAAGTGAGAGATGCCAAAAGCAACTTGTACATACATTGAGCCCTGCAAACAGATCCTTAGACATTCTGTATTGCCATTTTCTTAGAATTTGTATACTAAAAAGTCAACTACTTTTTTCCTTTCTTAGGTTCCCAGGTCAGCTGACTGGGAAGGTGACCGCTGATGGTTTATTTCCTTTGAAAAGCAACTCAGAGGGCTTGTCCTTTTCAGACTCCTCTAACCAAACTGCTGACAAAACCGTGAATTCTGATGAAAATCAGAATCCTACTTCCACAACTAATACCTCATGCAATTCAGACAAAACTGCCAGCCTGCCTCACCTTGGCACAGAATACTGCGTCCTTCTCTTCTGCTGTTGCATTTGTGGATTTGAGTCCACCAACAAGGAGAACTTGTTGGACCATATGAAGGAACATGAAGGTGAAATCATAAACATAATTCTGAACAAGGACCACACAGCAACTCAGAGTGTAAGATAGGTGATGCTGCTGCTTTAAAGGGTTTCATAAAGTGCTGTTTTCTTGTGTTCTCTTTACATCACCTGAACTACTTGCTAAAGCGAAAACTGTAAGTAAAAAAATGCAGTGATATTTCTAACGGTCAGAATGTTATTTATGTCAACAAGAAAATGGATTTATTTCACAAGCTCTTGAAGTAACTGAACAGTAAATACTCCATTTAGGGAAAGGTCCGCTGAAACCATTATCCTCTACTGACAGAGCCGTTTTCAATGCCTAGTGCTAATCTAAAGCTTAGCCATATAATAGGAATTTCACACTAATGTGTTACCTTAAGGGGTTTAATCTTACTGCCTTGAAACTATCTAAAGGGGGTTAAATTCATTTTAGGTAATTTTTTAAAAACTGACATGACTGACTACATTTATGAAGCAGCATTTCCAGAAAGGGAGAGGGAGACTGAGTAACTGCTTAGGCCTTTATGGTTCCTCACTCAATTACTGCTGCTTCTTTTTTAGAAAAGATAAAAATATCTGTATCTTCCAGCTGATACAGGCATCATAAAAAAGTAGCAAATTGTTTGGCTTAGGTTATTTCTTTCAGCATGAGATCCTGAGAATGTATAATTAAGTCTTGATGGACCTTAATGGTTCACCAGAACTTTCTCATATCTCTCTCTATAAAATCAGGCATTTCAGAATGCTAGAAGTGCCGTAACTTGGATCAGAGTGGGTAGGAACAAGTGGTCTTAGCTAAACTTTGAAGGGAGGTTTACCTCTTTATCAAATAATATTTAACACGTCAAAATCCAGTTTCTTGAGTACACAGAAATCGGATGAAAACTCAATGGAAGTTACGAGCATACCCCATTGTAACATTGTTATAAAATAGCCACTAAAACCACTTCATTCACACTTGTTTCTCAAAAGGAGCTGTTTTCATGCCTTCTAGAATACCTTGAGTTCCTGTCTGTGGTTTCAAGCTTCAGCTGCTTAACTGCCATTGACTTCAGTGGAAGTTCAGCAGCCTCCAATGTTATTTTTCTCTTGAAACTAGTGTTATGTTTCATTTGGGTGGAGCCCTCTCCCAGTTCTTGCCATATTGCTGCATTTCCCTTTACAAGCAGTTCATTGCTTGTAAGCAGATTTGTACACAGAGATGCATTATTTTCAGACAGCTGCAGAACTTTAAAAATGTATTTATTATACATTAAAAGCTCAGCTTTCATGGTGCTAATTGAGTTTGGGTCACTCCCTGCCCCTCAAAATTTCTGAACTGTGAAGTTGGACCAATGGAAAATATTTTGTGTCATTTTAAAAGAAGCTTTAAATGTTGAATGCAAAATATTTCAAGGCATTTTGTAGAAAATCCAAACTAGAATCCCTATTACTATTCAATCTGTTACTTGTTTCTAAACTAGGTGCATTTATAAAAAGTGAGTGCATAAATTTACTGTACAACAACCAAGTTTATTTTAAATATGAGATTGAAAATGTGGATTGTGTTCTTGAGAAATATAACAAACAGGGAGAAATTGAGAAGGTGCTATATTTCACTTCCTGCTATGAGCTCTTTAAGACTGAAGAGAATCCAACTGGTCACAAATCTTGATGAAATACTTCTGGGCTACTACTGTTACCTTTGTATTCAGTCCTTGCATCAGTATTGTATCCTCAACCTGAAACTTCTGATGTGCTTAGAAACAGGAAATTATTGGGCAACTATTTAACAGCTGAGATCATACAAAGCGTATCAACATTCCACCTCCTATCTGTCTATTTTCTGAAATTAGTTGAAAGCTTGGTAAAAATTACTCGGTTTATTTTAAATGTTTCATTTCAAAACCATGGCGAAGGCTCTTTGTCACAAACCTTTACTTTGTTTTGTGTTTTTTCCTTAATGGATCATGCCTGTCTGTTACACTACAAGAAAATTGTGAAACCACAAGCTTATAAAACTAATTATATTTTTATTGAAGTTAAGTATTGATTTTTAGGCATGTAAAGCTTTTTGCAGGAATACAATATGTGAAGAACAATTGAAATGAATTGGGGAGGCCAGGCAAGGTGCATATGTATTCAGAAGGTTCTTTTCTTACCATTTTGTATATGTAATCTTCCATTACTGTTAAATAGTAAAGGGAAGTATTTTATTTTTATTTTTATTTTTTTAAGCTAACTATAGTCTCAATACTTAAAATTTGATATTACCTTCAATCGCACAAGGAGAGCATCCTTCATACTGACACACTTTTTTTCTCTCTTCATTTTAAAGCCCATGGGTTGCTATCAGTTCACTCTTCAAATTTACACCCTTGCCATGTAGCAGACTTGGGGCTGAAACCAGTTTGTTGATCATGTTACCTACCTTGGAATGTGAGCTGTTTGGATTTAGGGAGTTTTTGTTTAGAGCACTTTTTCAGACATACAGCATGTCTTCCCTCTGTTTTAGGATTTTAAAAAGATAAACGCATACTGCTAACTATAGTGTTTTATTTCTTCCCCTGCCCCCATTTAATTTATGGAGAAGCAGATTCAGTGCTCTGTTCTGTTATGGGTGAAAAGCTTCCATTTATACGTCTGGCTGCAATTCCAATATACACTTGCTTGAGAGTAGATTGCATTACACTTGCATTATTCCCATAGAGATGTGCTGTGGATGACATCCTTACAATGTTCATCCTGTTCTCAATGGGAGAAAACTTTCAATGGATCAGCATTGCACTTGTTTGGGCTGGTTAGGATTAATTTAGCATGTGATACAGGCTAGTAGTAGGAAGAAGGGCATGAGGGCAATGGGATCACAGCTACCCCACTCTTATGCCCACTGGGCATCTAAACATAAAAAGTAATATTTATATAGGACCGGCAAACACACAATTAAATGATTGCAGGTCCAGATTATGATCTTATTATTCTAGTAAATGTTTACCTGTGTGGTTTGGGCTTTCATGTGCTTTGGCACATGTCCAACTGATGGGCATTCTGGTTGGTGTAGAGGTAAGATTAGTAGACAGGGCATGGAGTGGATGATTCTCTTCTCTTGTTTCCCATCCCCGTAATCTGACCATATTTTATTTTTCTTAACCAGCCCTTTGACTGTAGCATAAGCAACTTATTTGGAAACATGGTGTTGGAATCAATGGAGCTTGCTTCCAATTAACCGTGGCTTCAACAGCTTCACCAATAGAGGCTGTATTCCTTGTTCTTAGCTTGAAAAAACATTGTGGCATTCAGCTAGTTGCTGCATTTTTAAAGCACTTATTTAATCATTTAAAATGAAAATGTACAGCTGGTGCTCAAAGTAATGTTAAAATATATTTAATAGAAATGTGCATTTGATATTCATGGGCATGGGTACATATATTTTTTTAAGAAAAAAGGAATTGTAATACTATGGCACTGTTTTTTATAGCCAAAGTATAAAACTTTTAGAAAACTGACATGTAAAAGACTGTAGATCTTGCATTATCTGACTGACAGGATGACTTACTTTATAAGATACTTTCCCGCACATTAAGCTGCATGCCTTAAGTTCTCTCTAGGTTTGTCTTGTTTGGAAACTACGGAAGCAAACTTTGTAGTACAACTTTGACTACCTTCTGAAATACTGTACATTGTTAGAGTAATTTATTTTGCTTTACAGAAGTTTTGTCATGTATTGACTAATTGTATTTTGGTAATAAACTCCTTTGTTAAACACATCAATATTGTGCTCTCGATTGCATATGTTTTACTGAACACAAGAAAGTTAGCTTGTAAATATAGCCTTTCTCTTTGTTTAAAAATGCACACATATACCTAAACATGCTAAAAGAGCCAGTGTAGATTATTGAATAAATACCTGAGCTATGAATCAGTGAATCTACAACTCATAACAGCGCATGAACTCCCTAAGTTTCCTGAATTGCTTATCTAGGACTCTAGGTTACCCTAAGCCCCTTCCCCACCTCCAGTATGGGGTGACCTACTTTAGCAGGTGGTTCTAAAGAATGGCTGTGATAATATGTATCGAGACTCTTGAACACCAAAGTGCTATATAAATGCTGTTTTGTATCACCTGCATTCCTCCCAAGCCATATACTGACCATGGATGGTGATGCCTTTGAGGCTTAATTAAACCACCTGTTTGTGTTGCCTGCCTGGGACAACAAAGGGAGGGCAAGGGGCTTACTGAGGGTGCTCTGTGTTCAATGAGCTGTGAGCCGTAAACTGAGAAAGGGATATGCTTCCTGTTTTTCTAGTGAGCCTAATTTAGCACTTTGCTTTCATGTATGATAGGCATGTAAAAGTTGACTATGAACTGAATTATAGTTGTCATGTTAGGGGATTCTTCAGCTAACTTTTTTTAATTCTCAATTACTACATGTGTCAGAGCTTTGCAACATCTGTAAAAACACATTACTATTGTCTGTGCATACCTTACCACTTATTTGGGACTTTCTTGTGTAAGGCAGTCTCCTGAGACAAACTTGATTGGTCACGGAGAGTAAGAACACAAAGGGAGACGGATCTTCTGATCCCCGTTTCCGTGTTCTATGCCACAAGCTCTCACAAATTGAACATTTGGCAGAAACATGTGATGCAATTCTGTTTAATTGAAAAAAATTGAAAAAAGTATATCCTATCTTCAAGGTGGCTTATAATTTCAATTAAAATCACTACAAACAAAAACAAGCAGTTAAAAATCATCAAATATGGTTGAAGTGAATTACTATTAAAAAAAAACAACTTGAGTGAATGGGACAAGTTTGGCTTGGCATCCCAAAGCTATTCATGACAGAGCTGGTCTAATCTCCTTGGAGAGCAAATTCCAGAGCCAGGAAGCCTCTTTGAGATAATCCTCTGGTAGCCACCAACTTAATCCCTGAAGAAAAAGAGTATTAGAAAACCAGTAAGTAAAGAATATAAATAAATGCTAAAGCATATCTAGCAATAAAGTTGTGCACTCTATTTGTGCGCCTAATTCTGCTCTAGTAGTCCCACAATACCGAGTCACAAAGGTTTGAATATTTTCATGAGGCATACTTGCATACCAAGCAGAGTATTAGATGCGAGGAACTTGCTAGATGGGTGTGGCTCATTTCCTTTAAGAACTGCCCTGCTGGATCAGACCAAAGACCTATCTCATACAACACTTGGTTTTCATTCAATATTTTTGTTTTGCCAGGTTTTCCCAAACTGGTCCATTCAGGTGGCATGTGGTGTGTATGTGGCTTTGTGGTTGAAGATGGGAGACAGCACATCCATTGCATTAAATGTCCATAGTGATACCTAATTTTTATTTTATTATTTTATTCCTTGCATTTCATTTTATTGTACTGAAATCTAAATTCTATAGAATCCAAATTGTTATACAATAAACCAACAATATATAGGAATTAAAAGAAGCAATAAAAATAAAAGTAAAAATCCTAGCGTCTAGCACAGTGCATTACAGTTGCTACGAGAGGCAGAAACATTAAGTGCTACACGAAACCCTCAGCAGTTTTCAAGTGGTCCATGGCAGAAAAAGTCTGGGAACCACAGCCCTAGGAAATAAAATGGGGGCATGAAGAAAACAGCTGTTTGTCCTCCAGTATACTGCCTACTGGAGCCCTTGAGACAAATGGAGATGTGGGGGGATGGAAGGCCTTTAATATGTATTCATTTACTGCATTTATATTCCACATTTTTCTCCATAAAGCTCAAGGTGGCTTATATGGTTATCCCCCTCTTATTACTAGACCTCGGTGGTGGTGGTAGCTAAGGAGCTGGGCATCTAGGAACATAGTTTTAATTATTAAAAACTGTGGGGAATGCCAGTACATCCTAGTGGCCTGGCACAAGCTTACCAGACATCCCCATTTACTGGGTACAGTCCCCGGATTTACAAATTGGTCCCCTGACAAAATCCATCTATTTAGTAGGAAGTTGAAAAGTGTCCCGGGATTCATTGAAAAAAAATCTGGTAACCTTAGTCTAACAGGATATGAGAATGATGGCACTGGAGACTGCATTGCATCAGCAAAGGATGAACTGATAGATTTAATCAAAGTGGGAAAGGTGTCCTCTGAAATGAAAGTTGCAGAAAAACAACCTGTTTATTCCTGCAGACTTTTCTTTCCTTTTTTTAATACTGTTTTTATTTATTTCCATTGTACAGAAGATAAATTTTGAGAAAACAATTGTTGCAACAGTAAACAACAAGTAACTTGTCCTGATAAAATTACAGACTTTTATCATGTCATGTGTTAAAAAGTTTCGTTTGGTTACTCTGAGCTGCATAAGACTGAGCTGCAACAATTGGAAGTGTCTCCAAAATGATCCAGTGAAACCAGAAATTCCTTTAGCTTCCATCTTGGTGCAGAGCTGGCACATGTGGTGCCCTCCGGATGCTGTTAGGCTGAAACTCCCATCATCCCACTCTGAATTTCAGAAGAAGGGTCTCTTCCAGCCCTACCTGGAGATACCTTTGGGGATTGAACCTGGGATCTTCTACATGCAAATCTCAACCACTGAGCTACAGCCCTTTAGGGGACCTAGTGTAGACTGAGTTTCCTGATGGGCAGCAGCTCTCCAGGGTTTCAGAAGGGGATCTCTCTCCCCAGCCCTACCTGGAGATGCCAGAGATTGCACTTGGCACCTTCTGCATGCAAAGCAGATGCTCTACCACCTGAGCTATGGCCTTTCTCCAAAGACATACAGGAACACGGGAAGCTCCCTTATACGGAGTCCGACCAATGGTCCACCTAGCTCAGTGCTGTCTACACTGACAGGCAACATCTCTTCAAGGTTTCAGGCTGGGGGGTCTCTTCCCAGCCCCCCCCCCACCATCTGGAGATGCCAGGGGGCACTGAACCCGGGACCTTCTGCACGCAAGGCAGGTGCTCTCTCTACCAACTGAACTAAACGACACACATGCCCTTTATGGCCTCACAGCCTCTCTCCGCCCAACCTACCTCACAAGGTTGTTGTGAAGATCAAATCAAGGGGGGGTGAGTGTGTGTTCGTCACCTTGAGCTCCTCGGAGGACAATGTGGGTTTTAAATACAAATTATGAGGGACAGAGGGGAGGAGGGGGCGTCGGGAAACCCATCCCCCTAGAAACTCCCCCCCCCCAAACCCCCATCTCCCCATCCTCCTCTTTCGTGCCCACACACCTCCCCGCCTCAAAGAGCCCCTCTCCTCCCCCCGCCCCCGCCTCACAAGCGGGAGGCGCCTCGCTCCGCCATCGCCTCCCGCCTCCCTTTCCCTCTCCCGCCTTCGTCCCTGAGGGAGGCTGAGGCGGCGGCGGCTCCATTCCTCCCTCCGTGACACACCGGGGCCGTCACCGCATGTCTGCCCGCCCCCCCGAGTAGGTAAGGGGCTTCGGGTGGGGGTGGGGAAAGGGGTCCCCTCAGGGCTGGCGGGGACACGCTTGGACCCGGAGAGCGAGGCCAAAAAATAAAAAAGGACGAGGCCGTGCTGGCGGCTGAGGGGACGAGGAGGAGGAGGCCTAGGCCGCCCCGCAACGCCCCCCCCCAGCCCCTCGTGGGTGCCTCGCCTGGCCCACCCAGCGCACCCTGCGGAGGCTTCTCCCTCCTTCCCCGCTTCTCCGCCTTTCTCCGAAGGACGCCGTTTCTTGGCACAAATCTCAGCCCCTCCCAAGGCGGGGGGACGGCAGAGAAGAGGAACGACGCCTATATATACATTGTTCTAATTCTGTCTGTGTTTAATTGTGTTTTTAAAACGGTTTTCCTCCTTGTCTCCCCCGCCGCCGCCCCGCCTCTATGCTTTGAGCTCTTTCTGTTTTATCTGCAAGCCGCCTGGAGCCCATGCCAATGGGGGGGGGGGGGAGAGAGAGAGAGGGAGAGACTGGTATCGAAATAAATAGGAACAGGAGATGGAAGCTCCCCAGACAGACAAAACAGACACGTGTGCCTGTTTTTATGGAGGGTTTGGGTTTGGGGAAAATAATGCACTGCCGACACTTTTCAGCATGCCACCTGTCTGTTTGTGCATGGTGATATTGGTTTGCAAGAGGGGGGTGGGTATGGGGTCCCACCACCCCAGCTCAGGGGAGAAGCATCTGCTTGGCATACAGAAAGGCCCAGGTTCAGTTCCTCCCCAGAATCCTGGAAAGATGCTGCCAGTCAGGATAGATAGCACTGAAGCAGATGGGTCATTGATCTTGCTCTGTATAAGGCAGCTTCCGATGTTCCTAAGGTCCCAGGTTCAACCTGTGGCATCTCCAGGTAAGCCTGGGAGAGATACGCTGCGTGAAACCCCCGGGGAGCCGCTGCTAGTCAGTGCAGTCCGCACAGAGGTAGATGGTACATTGGTCTGACTCTGCATAAAGCGGTTTTCTATGTTCCTATACAATGGTACCTCGGGTTACATACTTAATTCGTTCCGGAGGTCTGTTCTTAACCCAAAACTGTTCTTAACCTGAGGCGCACTTTCACTAATGGGGCCTCCTGCTACCGCTGCGCCACCGGCACACAATTTCCTTTCTCATCCTGGGGTACTAGTTCCGAGTTAGTGGAGTTTGTAACCCGAAGCATTTGTAACCCAAAGTGTTTGTAACCCGAGGTACCACTGTATGTCTTTGGGGTCAATGGAAGAGCATCTGCTTCACATGCAGGTCACATTGAGTTCAACAGGACTTGTTCCCGTACATGCGTGTATAATTCATGTAATGAATTTTGGAGTTGACCCATTTTTTTGAAAATTCGATAATAGCCGTATTTCCACACACTCCTTTCCCCACGGCTTGGTCTGGTGGTCATGTTTATTTGATCAACCAGGCTAACAAACCCACATTTATTCAGTGTGTGTGTGTGTGTGTGTGTGTGTGTTTCCTTTCTGGCAAAACTAGAAAAGACATTCTGCCTTACCCTGAGTCATAATGTTGGTCCATCTAGTTCAGTATTGTGTACACTGACTGGCAGTGGCTCTCCAGGATTTCAGACAAGAGTCTCTCTTGGTTGTACCTGGAGATACCACAAATTGAACCAGGGATCTTCTGCATGCTCCAGCACTGGTCCACCCCACAACTCAATGGGATTTACTCCCAGGTAAGCATGTATAGCAGGGCTGATGAACCTTTGCCTCTCCAGGATGAACCTTCGCCTTTTTGGATTACAGCTCTCATCAGCCTTGACTATTAAGATACTGGCTGGGGTTGATTGGAGATGTAGTTCAGCATCATCTGGAGGGCCAAATGTTTCCTGCCCCTGATGACTAGGATTGTAGCTTTGTTGTGTCAAATGAAGTAGACTCCAGTCCATTAAAGTTTCTGCCACAATAAATCTGTGGTGCCCTGCATACTATTTTTACTGTGGAGAGATGGAACATATATCTCCTTATATCAAGTTTTTATTCCACTAATATCCGCTCTCTCTCCATGGAGCTCAGGGTAGCAAACGTGGTTCTTCTACTTCAACAGTCTGGCGGTCCAACAACAACCCTGTAAGTTAAATTAGGCTGAGAGAAAATGGCGGACCCAAGTTCAGTCTGAGGGGAGATGGGACTCCTTGTGCTCATCTGATTTACACACATGGAAGTCGCAAACTGTACCACTTGCATTTTCATGAGCTTAAAAAATGCCTTTGAAATATTTCTATCTGCTACAGAGACAGGCACATCAGGAGCCCCCTAAAATATTAGGAAATTTGCAAGCATTCATACTTTTGAATGATACTCTTAAACTGTTCCAATGGGGAATAAATTAAATGAGCTATGTTTTACTCTGTGTCCTTTGCACTGTTATCTGCAAGTTATCTCAAATGGTTCTGTGCATTTGATAATAAAATATTTATTTTGCTAATTTATTTTTGACAAGTTGAAACAATATGATTATTTATTCTTGGATATTTTGCAAAAATAGCAAGACGGTAATTTAAGTGATGATTTCCTGCTATCTGTGAAATATCTAGCCATATATTTTTGCATACATTTTAAGGGTGTTAGTAATGATAGAGTGTTAAATGTTTAATTGCTTCCATATTACTTTATGTATGTATATTTAGGAACCAGCACAAAGTATAATGTGTGAATATTACTGACATCATGACAGCTGTTAGACAGAGAAAGGGAATAAAAGCCACAGAAGTTTCAGAAGAGAGTGTATTCCACGAGAAGAACTGGAAACTTAATGGGAAAACTCTAGCTGGTAGGTCACGGTTATCCTTGTGCAATGTACTTAAGCTATAACTGCATGTGTAAGTAGAAAGAAAAATGGGGAAACCAAGAATGGTTATTATTCCAATTGAATTACATGGCTGAGTTTAGCCATTGTTAGGATTCACCCAAATTCATTCTCTACTGGCATTTAAAGCTATCTTTGACTTCATGTATTTCCAGGATGCAGTTATATTTAGGGAGCTATGTTTTGATTTCTTTTTGCCTACAAAATATTTCATGCAAATATTTTTTTATTTACAAATAAAGTTCAAGTAGCTTATCACAAACTCTAACTAGTTAGCACATAAAATATAATTTCTACTCGGTAGACCACTAGAAATTAATGGTTCTCTGTTGGGTACGTTCATTAATCTGCTAATAAGTCAGTCACAGTTCTAGTATTTTTAGTTCCACTGAGTTTGATGCGTTTTCTAGAGTTTGGTATTGTGCTGCCCATATATCAAAACTAGAGAAAGTTGGTCTTTGTTTCAAATAACATGATTAATTGGGAAATTTGAGAAAAGGAATTGATTTGAAACCAATATAGTCTACATGGAGGAATAACTCTAAATGTAGTTATGGGCTGTATTTTCCCTTGGCATCACATTGTCTGTGGTTTTGCTGCTTTGTTGTCAGCAGGTAAATCACCTGTAATCGTGCAGCATTATCGGGGACTGCTTTGATAAGTGCACATTTAGAGAAGAAGGCACAATTTAGATAACCAAAGCTTTAAAGTTAAAACAAGATTTTGGTGTGATTAATAAAGTCACCCTGCTCGTAATTTATTAGAAGGCATGCCACAAAGGATATTTCAAATAATTTCAGAATGAGAGGTGATGATTATCAAGACTATTTTGAGCTTATAAGCTTTTTACTGAACTCTATTATCGAGGAAGGGGCATAACACAAAGCAGATCAGAGCTTTCATAATGAATACAAGAGCAATTAACTGTTCTTTGCAGAAGACTAGCAAGCTTGAGAGAAAATAGTTAGCTCTGCCCCTTTCAGTGTTCCTGTCCTTCAAATTAACATCACTTAAAAGGGAATTACTTCGATCTAGAGAACCTGTGAATGGAAGGGAAATAGCTCCACTGCTCCACAAATGCTTTCTGAAGAGTTAGAATCATAGAATTGTAGAGTTGAAAGGGACCACGAGGGTCCAACCCCCTGCAATGCAGATCCCCCCCCAACTTGGGACTGTAACCCACAACCCTGAGAGTAAGAGTCTCATGCTCTACCGACTGCAACAGTAAACTATTTTGGACCTTAAGCTGCCCTCTATGTTGTGACTGGAACCGGGGGCAAAGTCCACTGCATGTGTATCTCATCGCAGATTCCCAATAAGGCCCAGGAGCAAAATGCTTTATCTATCTAGTGCTTGCCAATACCCCACTGTGTCCTCAGTTGGCTTTGCCTGCCTGGAGTGTGTGTGTGTGTGTGTGTGTGGAAATCCCAACATGAGTGTGGCTGGAATGCAGCCTACTTTACAAATGCAATGGATGTGACTTTTTTACACTAGCCCCACCCAGGTTGCCTGTGAGGGAATATGGCTCTCCGAAAAATATTGCCCACTCATTACAGAAGAAATATGCATATGCCCTAGATTTAAAGTGGAAGAGAAGGATAGAAAAAATGGCATAGATAGCTGCTTCCAGCAGAGGCCAGTAGTAACCGTCTGCACTTACTGCCCATTATGAAGGAGATATCAAAGTATGGCATTTTCTCTGTCTATCTACTTAGAAGATTTCAGGATTGTATGACTTAGCATCCCCACTTCATTCCCTTTCACCCCCATCCACAACCAGAGCCTTTTCTCAATTCACCCACAGATGTTTTGTCTCAACTGTCTTATTTCAGTTGTAATTTCCCACAAATAGTTTCCCCCCTTACTCTACCTGTTTAAATTATTAAATAAAAAAATAACTTTTTCCTCCCTGCTGTTTTCTTTCACTTTCCACCTCCATTCTGAATTAGAACTGCAATATTTTCTGCCGTAGCAACATAACTGGCTGTTGTCCATTTGAGCTACCATGAAAAACTAGTGTAATCTTGATTAACATAGCAGAGAATGGAGTTTATTCACCCTGTACAACACCAAGGTTGTTCTGAGTAGAAAGAATGGAATTAACATGACTCCACTTAGGTTTGCTAATTTCAGTGGGATTTACTCATTGAGTAAAAGGATTGAATATAAAACAACCCTTGGTTCTTTTTAACAGCATTATAATAGATAGGTTCAATACCTTTCTGCCTGTATAAGAGTTTGCACAAGTGAGAAGAACATCTTGGGACTTAGCTCACTTGTCTCACACAGTGCCCTAGCACAATGCCTTCTTTGTGCAAAATACCCCCTTTTTCTGCATCTTTTGATACAACCCTTTTAAGAACCAGCTGGGTCAATTTAGTGCATTTTAGTGTAGATTTTGTTGTTTTATATTCTTTTGTGTACCACCTTGGGTGGATGTTTCTTTTGAAAGATAGGGTATAAATCAAATGAATATATTTTACATGTATTTTCCAGTGCCAGAACAATCCAAGAGAAATCAGTTTTCCCGCAGTTTTCTTTTTGGAAATCTGTTCTCTTTTTATGATACATAAACCGTAGCCAACATCTGGAGTGGATACTACCATCCATTTCAAACATATTGGAGGCGTTGTTTTTTAAAGATAAATATTTATTAGAACTATCTTCTGCAGGTGGAAAATTGTGGAAGAAACTTTCACTCATCGTTGGTGGAATCGTTGGCATAACTCTGGGAATCTTAACTTCTGTTTATGTTGCTACACTACATGAAAATGATCTGTGGTTCTCCAACATCAAGGTAACAGAATGACTCTGATTGCATGATTGGTTTCCTAAGGCATTGTTCACATTGTGGCTTTTCAGACTTTTTCCTGCCGAGCTATTCACAACTACCATAGAATTACCTTTTTCTACATTGTTGATAATTTTACTCTCTCCCACATCAACCACTGTTCTTAACAGGTGTGTCTTGAGGACATACTGAGGTAGTAGAAAGCAGATAACAAGCTGAAAGTAGCAGCTATGTTGATGTGTTTTTTATTTGTTTTTAATAAAGCATCCTGGATTGCTCAGACTGAATGGTGGTTGAACCATGAACTGTATATACACTGTTCTTTTTAATTGGATCTTACATTATTGAGGGAGGAAGGTTAAAGCTTTAATTTCCCTTCAGAAAAAGGCCACTTCAGAAGTTTTTATTTTTCGTGTGTTCCCACAAAATACCACCAGTAAAACAGAAACTGGAATGGACTAATTCACTATACCATATATTAAAATTCTGCCACCCTGTTAGATGTGACTTGGGCTTAAGCAAGGTTCTTAAGCAAGTTTCCAGTAGATTTTCCATTCTGACTACGGCAGGTTAGTATCATATACTGCAGTAGCAGAATTCATCATGTGGTACATTAAAGTAGTTTCATCTAATGATGTCATATTAATAGCACCTATTTTATCTTTGACTCTATTAGGAAAAACTCAATTGCAATTTATTGTCAGCCCCTGCAAAATAAATCAGGGCTGGATGTGATAGAAAATCTGCCAAGAGAAGAATGAAAATTTCAGTCAATAACATGGTGCTATCAACACAGATTTTTTTCCATGAAGAGAAAATAAATGATTTATACAGGATAGAGGGTTTATTAGGAACACACCTTTTGCTTCTTCTGGGTCTTGCAAGTCTATAACATCTAAATATGAATTTCTTTGAGTCTTGGGCAAAAAAAAATGTGTGCAATTCATTTAGGTCCTGTTCCCAAAGTCCTGGATAGGAAACTGAGGCACAGAAATAATGATTTAGTATAGTCAAGCTGAGAGTTGAACCCAGTTTCCCATGCCATGATTCAGCTTTCCAGCAATAGACTTCATTATTTCTATTCCAGCAAAGTCTAATTTCAGTACATGGCTAGCTCTTGTATATAAATCCGTTGCTTTCTTCATTCATCAAAGCTGAATAAACACTCCAATCAGAGCAAATGGGCTTGAGGTTAACCAGCCAAGAGTTCTGTGTGTATTAACTGTGTTTGTTGACGGCATGCTGTGCAACCTTGGTCACGTTAATGCAGTTATCTGTATTGAGCTTTCACTTTTATGCTTAAGAAGATTTGCTACGTAATTAATTGGATTTTATTTTTAAAAGCAATATTCTTTTATTTCTTTTTCTGGTGCAGTTTTGGTTTTTATTAAGCAAGCAAACAAAGAAAGCTGAAATACTTTCTTGAGTGTATTACGTTGGGTTCTTTTGAAAGACAGTATCAAGCTTTGTTTGATCTAGTTCCCAAACTCTTCACTGATGTGGGACCCCAGAGGCATTTTGTTGCAGCACAGGATTCAGTTGTTAGCCTTGTTCTCTGATTGGAAAACCATTGCCTTTCCAAGATTCTCTCATGTGCCTGAATTCTAGACAGTCACCCATAAGGCTTTGGGGCTCCAAAGATCACTGAAAAACCAGAACCATTTATAGATGTGAATGAGTTGAACATAAATAGAATATTAATTTTGGAAGTATATTTTTACATGACTCTGTTCAAAATACCTTGCAACTGATCACCCTTATCTTCCACATAGAACCAAAGAATTGTAGAGTTGGAAGGGACCCAAAGGGTCATCTGGTCCAACCCCTGCAATGCAGGAATCACATATTTGTGCTGATGTGAGATTGAGTTGTGTTTATAGAGGGAGAAGAGTGCACAATAATGGGAGATGTTTAGCTCCTTGCCAGTTCTTCGGCCTTTTGAAAAAGGTGAATCCCTAGTTGGAGTATATTGTAAAAGAATAAAAAGATATAAGGGACAAGAGCCCCTCATATTATCATGACAAGGTCTATACAAAGCTTTTGTGTAGCAACAAAGCATTAAAGGTAAAGGGACCCCTGACCATTAGGTCCAGTCGTGACCGACTCTGGGGTTGCGGCGCTCATCTCGCTTTATTGGCCGGGGGAGCCGGCGTACAGCTTCCGGGTCATGTGGCCAGCATGACTAAGCCGCTTCTGGCAAACCAGAGCAGTGCACGGAAATGCTGTTTACCTTCCCGCCGTAGCGGTACCTATTTATCTACTTGCACTTTGACATGCTTTCGAACTGCTAGGTTGGCAGGAGCAGGGACCGAGCAACAGGAGCTCACTCTGTTGCAGGGATTCGAACCGCCGACCTTCCGATTAGCCAGTGGCGTAGCGTGGGGGGTGCAGGGGGGGCCGGCCGCACCGGGCGCAACATCTGGGGTTAGGGAAATCCACAGGTTAGGGGGCGCAAATCCAGGGGTTAGGGGGTGCAAATCCACGGGTTAGGGGGAGCAAATTACTTGCCTTGCCCCGGGTGCTGACAACCCACGCTACGCCACTGCGATTAGCAAGTCCTAGGCTCTGTGGTTTAACCCACAGTGCCACCCGCATCCCCTAACAAAGCATTAGAAACAACTAAAATCCCCGACGGCAATGAAAGTGAGACCACTGCAGAAGGGGAAGAAAAGAGAGGAGAGAAAACGTTGGGTGAAATATTTTAAGTCCACTTTTTGAAGATTTCAACTGCCTCCCCTCCACAAGGTTCATATGTCTGCCCTGCCATGTAGCACCATGATGGTGGCAGTGGGAGATGAAGGCAGGAACTGGTGTCTGAATAATGCAGCAAAATGTTTTAAAGTGTTGATCCTAGTGTGGAAGGGGGCATCAGTCCTTCAGTCCAGACAGTAAAATGTCTTGGACTTCTCCTACTTAAGAGGGTAGAAGAGAAAAGTCAAAAGAGCCTTTTGGAGGGGCTGGATGGAGGGACTCTGCTGGTCTGCTCCACTTCACCAGAGTGCCAGTATATGCTGCTTTTGCAGCTATGCCTTGAAACCTCCCCCCTCTTACACATAGTCCTGCAGCATTCAAGTTTAGGCTTGGTTGCAAACCTTGCTGCACCCCCAGCCCCCAACTCTCCAGTACAGTGTGGGAAGGGGAAGTTTAACCCCCCTCACTCTACACACACACACACACACACACACACACACACACAACACTCCCTCCATCGTTAGTGGCTATCTCCTCCATCCTACCCCCACAACCACTATTTTCCTGACCCTGAGAGCTAGTTTAGGGGTAAAAGGTAGGTTAAGCGCGCATAACATATTTTCACAGACCCACAAATTGTTTCAGTCATGCTCCTGAAAGAAGTATTTCGTAAGATTTCCCCACCACCACCAACGTTTCTACAAATTTTCCATTTCTGACCCTGGAGTGCAGGGTATTTCCTGTTTTCCTCCTCAGGCTTTCACATTGCCACCAATTTTATTTCATACAGATGAGTTCTGTTTCTCAGGCTTTGCTGAGATAGAAACATATGCATGAGGGAACATCAGGGGCTGGTTTGTGCATGTAGCTTCTTTACTTGATGACTGCAATAGCAATCAACATAATTCATGTGCAAAACATCCATCACACAGACATAACACCACAGATAGAATATTCCTATTGATAAAAGGGATTGGCTTGTCACCACCATAGATAATAATAAAATATTCAGTAGGCATTTTGTAGTTTACCTCCTTTTCTTCCGTAATTCCTAAAGGGAATAATAATAATGGAGCAGGGCACGACTGCAAATATTTTTGTACTTGCAGCTGATCGGATATCTCTAGAATAATGCAGAATTCACTTTTAATTGCTATATAAGCATCAGGAGTTTTCGGCAAAGCACCATGGGGTTCATAGAGTCAAGACTTCATAAAAACAAATTACATATATATAGAATGTGTATAGTAGTATTATCTAAATATTAGCCTTGAAATTTCAGCCCATAGCTCTTGCCACTTTTATTGACATTTGAGACTCTAGGAAAAGTATGAATCGCTCTAAAATTGGAAATGTGTTGTGAATGAGGAAAGCAGATGTTATCTTCGTATGAAACAGATGTAAAGCAGTAGTGTTTACCTCGTAAAGTATGGCATTTGGTTGAATACAGCTGGTGCCAGGCTTAAAGATTAATCACGTTTGATACAGTCTTGCTAATTAGATCCCTTTCAGTGCCCAGCCCTCCAGAATCAGTTCCAAAATGTTTCAGAGCTTTCAAGTTTTAATACTTTCTGTAGTTGTGGGACTGCCATAGGAACTTGAGTCATATTACTCTGTCATTGTGAACTGATTAAACAGAGGTTGCAACTTTCAGTATTTCAGGTAATTTAGTGAACACCCACTGTTACCCACATCTTTCAGCACACTACATAGCATACCCAGTCATGTAAAGTTGACATGTATTTAATCTGTCATTTTAGTTCATAAGTGTTGATTTTATTTATATTCTGATTTTTTAAAATTGTTTTTGACTTTTATTGATAATTTTAATGTATACCTTATATCTCTGTAAACTTCTTCGGGGTTTTAATTAAAATTAAGGGGCATACACATTCTGTTAAATAAAAACAAGGTAAGTAACATTTAAAAAGGTTGCAGTGTGAACCACCTGTCATTTTCTCTTTCTCCATTGGTTTGTCTTGGGATTAATATTGTTTTGGATAATAAGAATATGACTGTGCTTTAATAGTAAGTTAAGACCAGGGGTCAGCAAACTTTTTCAGCAGGGGGCCAATCCGCTGTCCCTCAGACCTGGAGGGGGCTGGACTATATTTTTTTTGGGGGGGGGGATGAAGGAATTCCTATGCCCCACAAATAACCCAGAGTTGCATTTTAAATAAAAGGACACATTCTACTCATGTAAAAACACACTGATTTCTTTACCGTCCGTGGGCCGGATTTAGAAGGCGATTGGGCCGGATCCGGCCCCCGGGCCTTAGTTTGCCTACCCATGATTAAGACCATTTCAATCCAGCCTTTCAGTGCAGTAACAGTGATTGGGTTGACTAAGAACAAAGTTTTGAAGCTGCAGAATGAGGCATAGAAGCCAACACTATAATTTAACAGTAAAGACAATAAAATAGAAACAGGTAAAAAGTGCTTAAAAACAAGGGGTAGCTGTCCATAAAAGCCCCTCAGACTAGGATAAGAAATGCTTGCTGGAATAAAAACAGTTTACCTAGAAAGTGGGAAGACAAAAAATGGTGATTGAGACAGTTGCTAGCTGCAAAGAAGTATAAAAGCATTGAAGACAGTTTTCACAAAGTTTCAAGCCTGTATTTCTTCCTAGATTTGGGTTTTTTAAAAAACAAAACAAAACAAAAAACCCTGGGAGTTTTAAATTGACTAGTGACAGTTCTAAGAACACATCTGCTCACAGTAAGTCTGTTGGTAAAATAAAATAAATAAATAAATCCTTGGCAGCTGACCTAGGCTGATACCCAGAAGTAATATCTAGGAAATCATGTTACTTCAGTTTTTCCTTGTGATTTTTGCAGATACTTTGGCTATCCAAAATGAAATGGAGGTTTCAGCTGCCTTTCATGTCTTTATTAGTTTACTTTTTGGACTAGAGCCATAGTTTTCTGGTAGATTTGGACCTTGGAGATCTCTGGACATAAATCTCTGGTGTGCCACCAACTCATCAAAATGTCCTTGACTAATCCCAACCTCACTTCCCTTTTGGTTAACGTAGGAAGGATAGTGATCTATTGCATGGTATTGTTGCACTGAGGAATGAGGTGAGGATTAGAGAGCAGTTTTCCTCTATCTCATAAACTGCTATTGTTGCTAATCTTAACTATGTTACACTAATTTTATTAAACAGGTCAGAGGCAAGCGATAGTAAGACAAGCATCAGGTTAAGTTTATTCTTGATCTTAACTGGCATGTTTCCTTCCAGGAGGTAGAGCGGGAGATTTCATTCAGGACAGAATGTGGCCTGTATTACTCTTATTACAAGCAGATGCTACAAGCTCCATCCATTCAACTAGGTATTGTAACTTTTATTTTCTGAACTGGATAAAGTACAAATGGCTCTCAGAAGCACTGCTCTTCTGTGTTTTTAAAGAGAATGCTGGATTATCAACTTCCATCTTCTGTTTGTCGGTGGCTTTTTATATAAATCCCAGGAACACAAACCAATTGTTAGTGGCAGAAGTGCTTGTCATACCTGGAGGTGCCTATTGTTGCTAGATAGCATAGAATTTAGGTATTACCTATATCAATGGAAGCATTACTTTCATCTCAAACTATATGGTTCAGATGATACTGATTTCTAAAAAGTAGACTCAGAGCCCCAGAGCACTCCATTTGCAATAAAAGCAGCACTATTTATTAGATTACTTTCCATGAATCTACTCCTGGACACACTTAAGTGGTAAGCTCCGTTGAACACAGTAGAACCTACTTCTTGGGATACACTGTCATATGTGGCTCCTAAAGAGGGGGTATTCTAATTCAAAAATAAGTGGTGCAAATTGACTTACTTTCCTTAGACTTTCTCAAAGCATGTGCATTTTGACTGCTATCACCCACCAACCAGATATAGTTCCTTGTAAGAAGCCAAATGACTTTAACAGTAGCAGAGCATATTTAATGAGTAGCATTCTAGTTTCTAACTTTAAATTCTCTTGCAGAAGACGTTTACATTTTAATGGCTTTTAAATGCAGGTGTGCCTTCATTTTATTTTCTTCTTTCTACAGGTTTACATCGCTTGATGTTTGACAATAAAACTGAGTCCATGAGGACAATTAACATACTTGAAAGAATGAATGTTTACCAAGAAGTCTTTCTCAGCATTCTGTATAGGGTTTTTCATATGAATGTGAGTGTTTAATTATAAGTCCCTGATAAATGCACAAGCATCTTGCCCAAGTCAGTACAGTGACAAGTTTTGTGGAAATTCGTCTTTACCCAGCATTAATTCCCATTAAGTTTAATGTGATTTACTCTAGGAATTGTGTGTAAGGACCTAAGAAAAGCCCTGCTGGGGCAGGCCAAAGCACCTTGTTCTCACTGGCCAAACAGATCCCTATAGAAAACCAACAAGCTGATCATGATCACAGCAGCTCTCTCCCACTCATGATCCTGAGCAACTGGTATTCAAAGGCATGCTGCCTATGATGCTGACAGAAATGGATGCCAACATGACTAGTCCTAGTCAGAACAGGCCCATTCAAATTAATAAACCCAATTTAGACACATTCAATGGATCTTCTCTGAGTAGGATTGCATTGGCTGCCACCCTAAAGTTAAACTGTGTTGTGCAAAGAAGCTTTATAGTAGAATCCTATATAGGTCCTATATTTCAATGGTACCTACTTCCTGGTGTAGTGGTTAAGAGCGGTAGACTCGTAATCTGGTAAACCGGGTTCGCGTGTCTGCTCCTCCACATGCAGCTGCTGGGTGACCGTGGGCTAGTCACACTTCTCTGAAGTCTCTCAGCCCCACTCACCTCACAGAGTGTTTGTTGTGGGGGAGGAAGGGAAAGGAAAATGTTAGCCGCTTTGAGACTCCTTTGGGTAGTGATAAAGCGGGATATCAAATCCAAATTCCTCCTCCTCTTCTTCTTCTAATAAGTATGCATAAGATTGCAATCTCACTTTACAAACATTCTTATGATCGGAATTGTGGGTTTCATGCTAAGACAAGTACTGTTTGTTTAATGGTTTCCTGTGTTCTTCCTTCACAGAATTTTTTTGAACCTGTTTATTTTTACATCTACACATTGTTTAGCCTTCAGGCAGTCTATGTTGCTGCTCTGTATGTGACCAGCTGGCTTCTCAGTGGAACTTGGCTTTCAGGTGTATTAGCAGCCTTCTGGTATATCACAAACAGGTGAGGATACTTCTGCAAATCCTCCTCTGAAATAATCCAATATTTGCCATGCTATAGAAAAGAATATATTCATTTCTTCAAGTTAGATTGCTATATATTTTGGAAAGTGGTTTGCCTTCTCGCTGTGCATTTAGACACCTCTTAGGACATCATAACCAAGTTTCACATGATGGTTCCTGAGATCAAGGAGCAGTTTTTTTTTGTCTATGCTTCGATGGACTCTATTTTGAATCACGATAGTAGACTAAGCCTTTCAAAACAGATTTTTTTTTCTTTTTTGTTTAGAATTCCCGAGCAACACAGCTGCTAGTTTTTTATGGGCAGATAAGTGTTGCACTAGCAAAGGGATGTTGGTTTTAGCTCAAGACTTTCCTTTGTATGTGAATCTATTCCAGGGTTCCTCAGAATGGGACACATAATTTAGAAAAGATATGAGGGAGGGAGAATACATGGGAATAGAATGAGGTAGGTAGCCAAAACATAGTACAGAAAGGATTTGAAGCTCTGGAGGCTCTGTATAAAAAAGAGCCTTTTCTAGTTTAGAATAACCCTAAGGGGAAAAACTTCCTTTTGTGTAGAAATGTTGAAAAACTGGGCTGTCGGCCACTTATAGGTGCTTTAGTGCTGCTAAACATTTATTTTGTGCCATTAGTGTCTAGACAGTGTATGGAGCACAACATGACACAGTCAATAAGCTGTCAATTAACTGGTTTTTAATATATTAATAAAAATAATTGCTGCAATATTTCACTGCACAACATACTTCGAAGATGCTCAATGAAGCTGGCTGTATTTCCTTGACTAAACAGCGTGTGCCAATAAATATTTTTTCTTTTTTTAATTTTACAAGTCTTTGGCATTTGCACATTGCTGCTCTAGATTTAGGTGATCTATAACAACACATCCTGTTAACAGGGTCCCTCTCTGGTTGAAATCAGATTTGATCAGTTTGCTTGTAATGCATTAATTGAATTAGCCCGAATGCTTTCTGCCATATTTGAAAATAGTGAAGTAATAGTCGATGTCCATTTTCAATGTTGAGATTTGCATCTTTGTAGAGGACTTGCCCATTGTTGCTTATATGAACCTTTTGCTTTTGTTTTCTGCAGAACAGATACCACCCGGGTGGAATTCACCATTCCGTTAAGAGAGAACTGGGCACTGCCATTCTTTGCTGTTCAGATAGCAGCAATTACATTCCTCTTCAGATCTCATCTGCGACCCACTCATGAAGTGAGCCTTTTTTAAAAGCACAAAAAAGTTTTCTCTTTAAAATGTAATGATAAATGTTTCTAAAATAGCCAAGGTAATGCTGGCAGAAAATATATACCAGAAAATAATTATTGCTGTTCTTCCATAGTTAAATGTCAAATCTTTGATTGAATGCAGATGCTCCAATCCAGCTCAGAGCCACATTACTCACAGAAACAGGCTTCTATGTTGTATCCTTAGTTGCGTGGGGAATTGCATGTGAAAATGCCTCCTGAGCACCCTATTCCACAACCTGATGCTGTAGGCATAGAGACCTTATAAAAAAAGCAGCAGCCTTGTTGGCTAGGTTATTCGGGAGAAAAAGGCGGTTTGGATTCTATCCTCCCACTCCCCTTTCTCACTAGGATGATGGTGGTGGTGGTAATATTTTTTTGTTAAAAAAAGGGTTTATTGCTGCATGTGTGCTCTGTTGGTTCAGAGCCAGAGAGTGTACTTTGAGATATGTCTACTTTGGAGTAGGGTTCTAAGAAGGCGTCATTTTCCATTCTGCCCCTGTATTCTTCACATGCAGCGCTATTTCCCGTTGCAGTTTGTCTTTTGCCCAAATCTATTTCATTCATTTAGCTCTGCGGCAAAATTACATAATTTGTGTAATTAATTAAATAAACTATGGAAATTACGTTGTCATGATATTATTCCAACCCATTCATTTCACTGCAAAGGTAATTTAGGGTAAAGGAGGGGGACGTAATATGATTTGCAGACTGAAAGCAACTGAATGAACTGATTTTTATTCTGGACATGGGACAAATAAGTGACCGCCAACAATTTCCAATCCTGTTTCTGTTTTTGTCAGAATGCTGCAACATCCCTATGTTTGTAAATAGATGCATGGTATTTTGAAATTATATATGGATGATGTATTTTATTTATTTTGTAACAGTCTGATTTTGGGGAATAGTTTTTGTTTAAAGCTGTTTGATACATTGAAATGGCCAGTAATCACTTTCCCTTTTTTCCACTACGATCTTTCCTCATGTATCTCATTTAGCTTATGTTTTTGTTTTTCCAGAGGCTGACACTTCTGGCAGTATTTATTTCAACCTTCCTCTTCAGCTTGGCTTGGCAGTTTAATCAGTTTATGTTGTTGATCCAGGCACTGGTTTTGTTCACACTTGACTGTCTTGACTTGCTTCCTAGAGGAAAGGTAAGCTAATTGCTTAATGTGCCGCCATTGAAATAATGGAAAACAGTCACGTTTAGGTGTGCTTGATTGTATGCAGTGTTGCGGCCACTGTGTGAGATTGCAAAGTTTGGAAGTCTTGTCTTCATTATGAGGAACTCTGATGAAATAATACTGTGCATGATGCAAAGTAAACTTGGTTATGTATGTATGTTTAGGATGGAATGTCTTGTTTTTCATATTTTTCAACTGAATGCTAGAATCTTGACTTTCAAAGTGCCATAAAAAAAAAATCTTAACTTGGCGTTGAGATATGGGAGTAGTAGAACTGTGTATCTTAAAGTACTTAACAACAATGTAAATCAATGTCATGCTTTTTGGGTTGTTTTATTTAATTTTTAACAAACAACCCCACAAAGATCTGCAGGCAAGCTCAGTTTTCTTGGTGGGTATTCTGCCCTCTCTGTCTTCTGGTGCCATTTTCTTCATTACAGGAGGGACTGGTGTGAGCATTGTGCAAGTTAGATAATTAAAAAAAGAAGAAGCTGTGGCATGAACAATTTCTTATCATTATGTTTGTAGGTGACCTGGATCTACATAATACAGGTGGCTAGTTTGCTGCTTGTTTGCCTCCTACAGTTCTTTAATTCCATGATAGTGGGATCATTACTTATAAGCTTTAATTTGTCCACATTGTTAGCAAGAAAACTCCAGGTATGTATTTATCATGGTTTAGTTTATTTTGTTAAAGTAACAATTAAATAGGGTAAGCTGAAAAGTTGTCTGCTTTGCTACTTGGGTAATCTTCATAAAATTACACATGGTTAAACGCCTGCCACCTTTGATTAGCTGTGTTAGATATTAGGGACCATGACTCATAAAGAGCAAGTCATGATCTCCACATCATTATAGGGAAATAGCCATGGTCAGATTGAAAGCAGAGTTGCTGATCAAACAGTATTGGGACTGGAACTCCTTAGTCCTGCTGTCTTCATGCATAATGAGCCCATGAGATGCTTTATGGTCAGGTATTATTATTATTATTATTATTATTATTATTATTATTATTATTTTAAATGAGATTCCCTCCCCCATCCTACTTACAATCTTGCTCAAGAAGAACTGCTCTCACAGCAGAATATCTTCAAGTTTTCTGTTGCTTTTTTTCCACTGCTGCCACTGCCTATCATAATCATTTTTACAATCATTTTTTTTTCATTTGCTGTTGGAGACTCAGTGCTTTGAAAACCCTATTGGCTTCTCTCTTCAAAGATTTAGTGCTATCCTGAAAGGAAACCTGAAACTACCTTGATGCACTAGCATCAGTACAACAGTAGTTTTTAAATTAAAATTAGATGGACAAGTAATGCTCAGTAGCGTAGTTTGTCGTTTGATAGATGCATTATTTACAAAAAAGAGGGGGAGAAGGAGAAATAGTTTTTTTCTTCTGTCATGTCCTCTTATTTTTCGTGTTCCCTCGTTCATTCCTACTGGCAAGGAAAAAGTTGCAAAGAAGAAAATTTGGCCTGTGAATGTCATTAAAAGATGCTAGCATCTGGAACTGGAAAGCCTTCTTTGGATTTCCACCATGCTCTTGTGCCTTCTTACCCAGAATGCTGAGTGAGCCCCTCCTTGTCCCTTGCAGCTGCTGAAAGCTGATGTCTCGCAAGGAGCTCTTGCCCACCAGCGACTGCTGTTTTGAAAGTATCCAGAAAGACCATCACCAAACTCCCAAATAAATCTAGTCTCTACCAGTGCCAGAGGGTGAAAGCAGTACTTTTTTAGGGCGAAGCCTCCAGAGGGGACCACCTCTAGAGGGGCTTCAGTCTAAATCTTGTTCAACCTCAAGGGTGGTACCTGTCCCCCTTTCATCTTGGTGTGGTTCATTCCAAATGGGTCAGTCCATGTCAAAGTAACAGAGCCACAGTGTTTCCTCACAGTTCAGCCTATGGACATGTTAAAAGTTCCAATAGTGAATGCCCCAGTGGTGGCGCTCCTATCAGGCATCGTATTATCTAAGGACAATGACATGTCTCTTTAGGACATAGTGAAAAGACCAAAGGGGCACTTAATGGGTCCCATGAGGCCTCTGCACTGGTTCTCTAGGCTGCTTCCACTGGTGCTCCTTTTCCCAGGGCCTCCCTCCCAAGGCTGGAAGAATTAATGCAAAACAAAGAGCTTAATGACGGAACCTTACATAGGCTGCTGGGAGGAGATCTCTGCTCACCTGGAAATCTTCATCTGTATTCACAAGGCACTATGAAGTAGGCATCTTCACCTCTTCAAGGAGAGCTTCTGTCAGGAGTGGGCTTCAGCATGTCCTCCCACAGAAATCAGCTATAAGCACCGTGATTGGATTTACCCGACAGTTAGGTTAGCTAGGACATTATCACATTGGTAATGGATGCCTCTTTTATATCAAATTTTACATACTCATTGTGGATTTTCTTTTTGACTTGGAGTAAACAAGGCATCTGCGCCACAGCCTGGTGAGTCAGTGCACATTCATACAAACCATGCAGGATAGGACTTCCTTGAAGACCTTAAAATGCAAGTCCCCTGCCTTTTCTGGAGGTATTAGCCCATTAGTAATCAATGCCTCATACACCCCAAACCAGAAAGAACATTCACTGTGAGTGCCCAGTGTTCCTTTGCAAACGCTAAAATACCATTGCTTAAATTTTTCAGAATAACCTGAAAACTGGTGGCTTCTTTAGCAGGCTTGGGAAGCTCTTCCTTCACGTACTTTTAGTGCTGTGCTTGACATTTCTTGTAAATAATTTTATTAAGGTGAGTAAATCTTTTTTTCTATCTTTTTCCCAATTGAATCTGTATAGTATAGTATCTTGTTCAATATGTATAACAGATTTACAGTGCAATACTATGTTCGCATATTATATGCATTGGTTTGTAACCTTAAATGGCTTTATGTGCAAATTCCTAGTGAGTTTGTAAATAAATGTTGTTTCTTATTTGTCTGTACAACAGACAAATTGAATTTAGCATTCCAAATGTGTTCTGCTTTTGCAAATGCTTTGCTTTTCCCTAACATTGTATAGCTACACACACAAATGGAATATGTAGCTTTATATTTGGGATGCCTAAATATATAATGAACTTCAACTACATGCCCATGTTCTGCTTTCTTCTTTTCACATCCTTCCTCAGTCAGTTTAAACCAGGGGTGTGATACTGGATCCAGCCAGAAGATGGATCTCGAACTTGCCCCCTCTCTGCACACCAACCTGTCAGTCACCTGATCTAATATGATGATGGGCTATTTAAATTTCAACTCACAGGAACAATTACAGATTTAAACCACCTAACAAACAAGGTTTAAACCAGCAATGGGGAACCTCTGGCCCACTGGTACTACAACACTAAGATTGGAGATGTGTCTCTGCTGCTGCCTTTTTCTATCAGGGATCAAGCAGAGGCTTATAGCTGATCTCAGTGCTGCGGAATACAATTTTAAGAAAAACCAAAGTAAAAAAAGGGGGGCACTTGTGAAATGTTGTCTTCACAACTAAAAGAAAGTAATAACTTTTATTTTCTCTCTTCACAGAAAGTTCTTAATCTGGAGTCAGATGAGCATATATTTAAATTCCTGAAGGCAAAGTTTGGATTTGGAGCAACAAGGTTTGGTATTGTTCAGAGTTCAAAAGAAAATTGTTTTCCTCTAGAAAATTGTTTTCCTCTAGTTTTTTTTTGACCTGGGAGGGACCCAAGTTTCTATTGGTGTATGTTTCCCTTTACTAGCCAACCTGTGCCGTAAGACCGGCAGTGGAGGCTCTTCAGGTTGTCCCATTGGCAGGGATGGTGAGACAGAATAGGGTTTTCTCTATGATGCTGCCCAGCGATAGAATACCCCATCCCTAAAGGTTGGTTACCCTCTATGTTGATGGATTTCCAGCACAAAATACTTGTTCTATTTCACTTTTGGTGGTACTGAAACCAGAGTTTCAGAATTTGGGGGGCATTACGTCCACTGCTGTAGTTTAATCTGCATTTATTGCTTTCTTTGAAAAACCCAGGGATTTGTTTGAATGAAGGGCAAGTTAGAAATGCGACAAATAGCAATAAGGCAGCATTTGCTCTTGCTTTTAAATTCTGAGTTGTAGTTACTGATCTTGCTTGAGCACTTTCTAACATGAAACTTTAGGACAAATTTTCTTAGATTTTTAAAAACACACACATTATGCCAATAACTTTGCAATGTTGACTTGTCTTCCTTTTCTTTAGAGATTTTGATGCTAACCTGTACCTGTGTGAGGAAGCTTTTGGTCTCTTGCCTTTTAATACTTTCACAAGACTTTCGGGCACTTTAGTTTTCTATGCCTATATATTTGTGCTCTTGGTGATGACCATAACATCTGCTGTGGTTGCTTTTCAAAATCTCAGGTATGTCTGTTTCTATATTGCAGGATTATGTTTTCAGTGCAGGGGGTCTTTTTCCTTTCTTGTTGATAAGAAGAGGAAGACATGAACAGAGTCATAGTTCAGCATCAGTGCATGCTTGCCTCAGATTTGAGCCAATTATCTAAGAGAGAATTGGTTTTCTGAACCCAAGATATATAATTCTGGCAGTGGCAGCCTCAGTTTTTAGAATGATGTTTATATTGGCTAGTTCGCTTGCTAAAGCATGTCACTGTAGCAAGGCTTGGTTACTGATGCATTTCAGGCCAGTAGTCAGCACAGTCCAGAAACCACAACAAATTTAATGTTGCTCAAGTAGAGTTAATAAAACCTAGTTTCCAGTGAGGCAGTAAACTTGTGTCTTTGCTATACTACGTAAGCCAACAGATGCCCATCACATAAAAAAATATTCCTCCATACACACACACACATCCTTCCAATGAAACATTGCATGTTAAAGAGAACATAGCCTTATACTGAGCTAGACCATTGGTCCATCAAACTCGTTGTTGCCTCTCCCCTGACTGGCAGCAGCTCTCTGGAATTTATGCTCACAGCAAACAACAACTTTAATTACCAGGAAAAATAGATCATTTTTGCTCTCAACCTCATAGGCCACTTTTGGATATTTTGCAATGGTATGCAGAATTGTTGGTCATTTTCTATGGATTTATTCATTTAACTTTTGTTACAAAAGTGATTCACTTGGGCAGGGGAAAATCTACTGGACCAAGTAAATGTAGATAGATAGATAGATAGATAGATAGATAGACAGACAGACAGACAGACAGACAGACAGACAGATAGATATTGTAGAGAAGGTGGCTCTGTAGAACTGGATTCTCATCTGGGAAACTTTTGTCAGCTTTATCCCAACACTTGCTAATTCCTAGTAGCAGCTGAGAGCAGTATTTTGTGTAAAACCAGGGGAGTACTCCTAACTGCAAATTTGGTATTAGCTGTCAACCGTCTGTTTCCACACACCCCTCCCTGAACATTTATGTTTCATTTGTAGTATTATGATGTGCAAATAAAATTATTTGTTTTTCATATTTATTTCACTCATGTTCCACCGTTTGCCAGTCCAGCTTGAAAGCAGAAAATCTTGCACAGGGGAATATTTAAAGCACTCGGCAAGCATGAAAAATCTATTAGTATTGCCTTAGAATGTTTTATTTTCCCTGGAACCAGGAGGTTCCTTTGAACTGCATACAAATGTCCTGTTTTAAAATAACGTATTGCTAATGTAGCCGTGCTCCTTTTCTTTTGTTTCCCTCTCACTCAGTGGCTCTGTGAACAACAAACCTGCAGATAAACTGCAAAAGTGCATAACTCTGCTGAAACCAGGTGTTGCTTACAATTTAGTGCACACCATTCTGTTTGGATTGCTGGCTTTGAGCACAATGAGGTACCCTATCTGACACATCATACATATTGGGCACTGGATATTACATGTGGAGTATAAAGTAGCATATAAAATAGACTATAAATTCCTATTCAGTCTGTTTACCTTACTTTCCCCCCATATGTCCCAGTTATGAAATAAAATTGTCCTATGGAAACTCCACTCAAACTAGGATACAGAGGGATTTTACTTCTAGCTGTATTTGATAAGCTTCCAGAACAGATTTTCAAAAAAAATATCTTCGTAGGTGCTTTAAGATACTGAATATTCTGGAAGTAAAATAAAGTTTTTTTAAAGTATGTATGCTATTACAGATTACATTATCTATATACTATTACTGTTCAACTTGTCTCCACATACTGCATTTTCTTTCTTTCTTTCTTTTCATCTTGCAGGATGAAATATCTTTGGACTTCCCACATATGTGTGTTTGCAGCTTCTGGTCTGTGCAGTTGTGACATGTGGGGGCTGATCTTGAGATTTGCCCATCTTTACACACCGCAAAGGGTTAGTTAGAGCTGTTACATGCTATTACTTTGCTTGTTTTCACTGATGTGTGAAAAATCCAGTTCTTTAAGGGGTAGCCTGAGGTGAACCACCACACGCTTAAAACAGATTTGCAGTACGCTGGAGGGAAAGTGTTTAGATTTATACACAATTTAATCTGGAATTCAGGGTGCATTTTGGGAGTGTAACTTATTAAAGGAATTCTATTTAAGTCCACTAGATGGTGATGTTGCAGAAGCTATGGAATGCATTTTTTAAAAAATAACACTTTTCATGAAAAATCAAAGTGACAACAGTATATAATTTTTCACATATAGCCCAATACAATATTTTGCGCTTCACAGAAGCTAAATTAATACACAGTATTTTTTTAAAGTTCTTAATGGAATTACTTTTAGAGACGGAAATTGCTAACACAAAGAGGCTCTTCGACCTAAAAATGCAATTTGTGAAGCAGCTCCTGTTGTCTCTGTTCTCAGAATTTGTTGATCATTCATTGACGGTGTTTTATTTAAGTAAATGTAATTGTTGTTGTTTTCTGCCTAGGTATCTGTGATTAGATATCTGACACCAGTACTCATATTACTGTATCTTTGTTACAAGGTAGGGCTCTTTGTTAGTCTATATCTTTCTTTTAAGAAAAATTACTTTTAGAAAATAAGGAAAAATTCTCAGCCACTAAGGGCCATTTCTCCCTATTACATTTGTCCATGAGATATACTGCCATGCGGAGAAAGGTCACAGTCAACCAATGGTATGCACAGAAGTAGACTCCGTGATCATGGCTGCACTTTTGCCAGAGACGGCTGTCAGATTCCCTTGTGTACCACACCCTGCTCGCATTAACTTTCCTTCACACTGTCAAGTACAGGCTAGTTTCCCACAGGCATCTGGTTGGCCACTGTGAGAACAGGATGCTGGACTAGGTGGACCATTGGCCTGATTCAGCAGGCTATTCTTACGTTCTTACCTATGTACATGAGAAAATCATTTACATGAATTATGTTACACTAGGAATATTTTCCCCTCATCTCATATATCAGGAAATCAAACCACCCATCAGCTCCCTGATTTCTATGCCGAGTTTTTTTAAATATATGAAGTCACACTTCCTTATGCAATAATTTCTGTCAATGAAGACATAACCTGAAAAAGAGCTGTGAAAATAATAGTTTTCATAACCAACCTGACTCTCTAGCTGAATGGCATTTTCTTTGCACCTGTGGAAGGAGACCTGTGATAATATATTCTGTATAGTTGGTCCAGTTAAACCCTGTTACCTCCTTTGAACAGTACATTTTTGCAGATCTGGCATTTACAAGTTACACTTTCCTAAAAGTGAAACTGAAAACCACATTCTGTTGACATCATAAAATGGGGCACCTTTATTAGCTTTACCTGGGCCCAGAGATTGGTCCCAAGGTCCTGTACTCTGGCTTGCTGCGAAGAACCATCAGATTGCCAGGTACCATGGATAGGGCCTTTTCAGTGGTGGACCCACATCTTTGCCAGTTCCCTCCCACACCAGGTTCATTTAGAGTTGACTCTCATTGGTGGCTTTTAAGTACCACTTTTTTTAAACTCAGCCTTTTATCCTTATTTGACGTTGTTTCAGTTGCTGTAAGCCACCTTGTGAAAGTTTTGCCCTAAACAAAACTCCTCCAGTCAGACTGTCTCCTCTCCTAACTCCAGGCCACCTTTACATTTTATGTCATTTATTAGTTTTAGTATTTTAAAATGGTAAATCTCCTTGTGTGCTTTGGTGGGAAGCTGGTATATAATTATATATATATATATATATATATATATATATATGAGATACAAATACATTAAATAAATAAATTTCATAAATATTTACATGGATAATTAAACATATAACTACATTCTGCAAGAATTGTTTTGTTTTCTGAACCTGTAGGTTTTTTCAATCCTCAGTTGAAAGGCTCATTGCTACGTATGAGCCATTTTTAAAGCAACAAATGTTCACTGTAGTACTCTTTACTGATTGGTGTTTTACTTCACTACACTTTTAAAAATAGAAACTGCTGCAAGATGTGTCTTTTTTTTATTTTTAGCTCTCGCTTGAAAGCAAATGGTGGCAGATACCAACTTTTATGCATAGATCTCTAAAGATTATGTCATGCAGCACCAGGCTTCATACTGGCTGATGAGTGCAAAGGTTACCCTCTCTCTTCTCAGTAAGCAGACCAACTAGTGCTGTCAGCTCTGCTGGGGGAGACAGAAGGGTATGCCTCAATTTAGTCCTACCCAGACCCCTTCCAACTGGTGATCAAATCTGACCAGCTCAGTCATCTTTTTATGCACATCAAAGCAACGTGCGTAGAACCTGGGGCACTGGGTGCCCTTTCTGTCACCTGCCTGTGGGTTCCCCTCTGCATCACCTTCCCATGGAGGCAGAGGCAGAAGACCGCTCAAATCATCAAAACCTCTCTCTACACTCCCTGAATCCCTTCCAGTTTTTGCACAAGCAGTTCCAGTTAGCTATGTCCTGAAACTTTTTGTAAGTAGCATCTCGTTTTCAGTAACTAGGTTGAACTATCTTTTGTGGGTACATTTTTTTCCCAAGCAAAATATGCATTAGCTTCCCTCCTCCCAAACGTGTGGTGGTTTTGGGGGGAGATTATAACCTAATCTCGAATAAGCTAATGAAAGCTTCTTTAGAGACATGTGGTTGCTGTAAGTCCAGATACATTGCTTGAAATATTTATTTGTTCAACTTCAACTGTGGCTGTTTGTTTAACCCTTTCCCTGCTCCCTGTTTTCCTGCTCCCATACAAACACACATTCCAACCATCTCCTTTTCTCTATGTGACATTCTGGACATGCTTTTGCCCTTGCAAACACACATCTGGAACCTCACGGGGAGAAACATGGCTTCTGGGGGTGAAAAGCGACGGGCAAGGAAGTGGGTGAAACATCCCCCACTGACCTCCCTCTTGTCACCATGCTTTCCGTAAACAAAGCAGCCAGTGAGGAGGGGGAAGGTTTCAAAATTAGTTCATTTTTTGGGGTGGGAGGAGGGGTTGTCCTGTCACTTACTGTGATGGAAAATCACTTTTCCTTCAAGTGGCTGGTGATTTGTGAGATCTGTTTTTGGACACAATGAACAGAACATCATCTTCACCTGCAGTACATCTTGCTGCAGCCTCCCAGCTTACTGTTCTATGTGTAGGCCTGCTTTAGTCCATACCGTTCCCATTTGTAATGTTTTAAAACACAAGGCAGCTGCTGCTGAGCAGAGCAAAAAACCTACTTCTTCCTATGACTGGGACATCAGTCAGGTTTTCCCACTCATTCTCTAAAAGCAGCCATTTCTAACTGCTACAGAATTGAGTTCCATCCCAGTATTTGACATGTGGATTATTCTCTGTACTCCCCCCCACCTCCCGTGTGGTTTTTCTTCTAGTTCTGGCCTGGTGTGATGGCTGAGCTGTCGGAGCTGAGGGAATTCTATGACCCAGACACAGTGGAGCTGATGAACTGGATTAAGTAAGAGGATTTTTACTTTATTTAAATTAGACGCTCTTTAGAGTTAGCTGATGTTCTTAGTGTTGCTGCTCTCTGGTTCCATCGGTGACCTATATTGACCAATTCCAGAAAGCAGGCAACGTAACACGGAGAAGCTTTTGGCCTGTGGTTAGTGATTTTGTTGCAATCGCTGTGCACAATTCATCTTGACTGCAGCAACTTCTTACAGTTTTTGGCTAGAAGGTTGGTGGCCAGCTTCGTCATCATGGGCGGCTGGAATCTCCCAGGCAAGGTGCTTGGAGACTTGAACCTACACACTCCACCGCATGGTAGCAGCTGTCTCAAGAACCTTCCCAGATGGGTCAAGCCCTGCTCATGTCTTGCCCGCCACAACTAAACAACATGGTAGGCACCACTTCCAGTACAAAGAAAAGATATTACAGAGGATTTTCACAGGTGCTTAAGTGATGTGTCCTCATTTTCTGAAATGAGGCCTCTGGCCACTGTGTGCTGGGAGGAAGTACCTAACATGTTACTCAGCTTGGGTGGGCTGGGGAGCTGTACCCATTCCAGCAAGGCTTCCTGGAGTTGATGCCATTATGGAGCATCAGAAGGGGGGGGAGGCTTCAGCCCACCTGCACCTTGGCTTGGAGAGTCCAGTCCTTCCCCCACCCCAACTGCTATGTTAGAAATGGCCCCCAACCTGGCACCAGAGAGAGGCATTTAGAGACCACAAGACATGACTGGATGTGACCTGTGGGTCCCCTGTTTCATTTATCCTTGACCTGTAGTTTCCGCTATAAAAAGTGGTGCTGTGGGGGTGGAAGACTTCATCAGTTAGCGGAATATGTTCACCTCTTGCAGCACTGCATTGCTGCTTCTTTTTTTTACCTTTTTTCCCTCTTTTTTTGGGTAGGGTTAACAGACAGTGTAATTATTCATGAGTAAATAGGTAATATAAATCTTCACCACCATTGTGAATGCAGACCAAAGTCATCTCCATCCCTTTGCTACCATATTGACATGTTCTCATGACTAATGTTCACCAGCCAGGGGTCTTTAGTACCACTTCTGTATTAAGAGATGCTAAATGTTTGATAGCCCTGGTCTCTGGAGTACAATATGCAGTGTTTTATATATAGATTTATACATAAAATATACATGGGGCTTTGGTTTCAGCCACAAACTGGATTTGACTGGTTGCAATGAGAGCAATTTTTCACACAAGCCCAGAGCAGAGAATACTAAACTGCTGCTTATCCTCTTTTCCTTTTAAATCATGACAGACACTTTTTTTGTTGTTTGCTACTTGGAATTTATTGTGTCAAAGAGCGAATGTTATGCACGTAAGGAGAAGTTAATTACTTTTGCATTAACAGCAGTCGACAACCAATTTATGCCTTGCACCTGAAACTGGGACTGATATGTTCTTGCCTTGTAAGCTCCTGGTGTCAGAAATGATTCAGTCATTATTCATTTGGCCCCTTTAAAAGTTCAGCTGAACTTCATCTCATTCAGGGTTTTCTGCATAGGATAACTTTTTTTGTTTTGTTTTGGCTTGCTGTTTTCTACCTCAGAAAGGTTTTGAAAGCCAAATTTATCATTACGGACCATCAGGCTTTCTTAAGAAGGTGTTTATCTGAAAGGGGGCACACTATTCTGTATACAGTGAATTGTGCTGCATGTTGTACATCATGTTGTTTTATTCCCATTCTTGTACAATAGTGGACTGGAGCCTAAGGGCCCTTTACCACCTTGCTTCCATAGTCCTATCTCCTTTACCTCCCAGTTCATGTTGTAACTGTCAGTTCCTCTCTCTCTCTGTGTGTGTGTGTGTAATGTAATGTAATGTAATGTAATATGGAGGTTTTGCACAACACTGCTCTTGCACAAAACCTCTGCATTAAAAACTTAAATAAAACAATTAAAACAATCTGCAAATGTACCTTCATTCCTAATTCACGTTTGGCTGTGGATTACTGTTTGTATTTTTAAATTATTGTTTTTATACAGAGGTTTTGTGCAAGAGCAGTCTTGCCAAACCTTCATATTAAAAAAATAAAATAAAAAATAAGAGGTTGATTTATGTTCTGCAAACGTGCCCCCAGCGTGCAGCAATTGGAAAAAAGCATCATTTTGTCCAATGAAGGAACAAATGGCTTCTGTACCTGCTGGTTCTTCCTGAGGGGACAGTTTTATTTTTAATACAACTGTTTTGTGCAAGAGCAGTTTTGCACAAAACAGCTGCTTTTTTAAAAAAGGGAAATATAGCACAAAGGTGCCTTCAGCATCAACTAGAAGAAGCAGGTGTATGCTGCATCCTTTCGTTTGGGCTAATGGAACTAAAATGGATAGGTTGTGCTGAAATGAGGAACAAAGTAGGGGTGTGTGGCAGTGGACAGCACTCAGTCAAACCTCTAACCCCCATAAAAATTGGCTTTTCTAAAAAGTGCTTCCTGGTACAGTGGTTCCTCGGGTTAAGTACTTAATTCATTCCGGAGGTCCATTCTTAACCTGAAACTGTTCTTAACCTGAAGCACCACTTTAGCTAATGGGGCCTCCCGCTGCTGCCGCACCGCCGGAGCACAATTTCTGTTCTCATCCTGAAGCAAAGTTCTTAACCTGAGGTACTATTTCTGGGTTAGCGGAGTCTTTAACCTGAAGCGTATGTAACCCGAGGTACCACTGTATCTTCCTTTTCTTTGTTACTTTACTCCTTGAAGCTGCATCAGCGGCCATCCTAATTCTCTAGAAGTCTCAAAGTTCTGACATTTCTAATATTGCATTTAGAAGTGTCTTGTAGATACATTATTTGCAGCACTAAGCTCTAAAGTGGAGGAGCTCAAAATGTGCACAAAATGTTCATAATTTATCTCTTCTGATTTGACCATCAAATAAATCTTCCTCTTTAAGCATGACTTTTTGCTTTGAATTTTCCTTGAATCTTAAGCAGGGTTCTTTCCACCCACCTTCCTCCAAAATCGTACATGGAGCCCTGTAATTCCCATTAAAGCTTTCTGTTGTAAATGAGTTATTTTGTAGTAATCCTATAATTCTTAAAAGTGTAGATAAAGCAGAGGTTCCCATTTTGTATTATAGTGCTCAGTTTACCCCATTAGTTCAGCAGTAATTAACTTGTTGAAGCTTAGAGCTTCAAAAATAAATGAGATTATTTGTTCAAAATGCCATCAGGTCCGCTTGGAATGACATTTAAATTACATAATGTAAATCAGTTTGACCTGTAAGTCCTTGTCATTATTTAGTGACATTTCTTGCAGAATAAATTGTTTGCAGGTTGGGCAGCCTGGTTATGGAGCTTGGCAGAAACCTATAAAAACAAATTATCCTTTCATTTTATACATCATTTGTTCAGACATTTGTAAAAATTGCTTCGTTTTTCCATAATGGAAAAGTGTCATTTGGGCCTTTGAAGACATTAGCTGTGTAAGATTCAGGCTGAGCTTTTTAGCAGCTGCATTGGGCAATAAGGATTAGAGCAGAGGAATTCGGTGTTCCTCTTTGCAATGTGCCTAAGACCATGCTGGCTAATTGTCCCCCTCTTGTGGTCATTCCCTGGGAGAATTACTCTACATTTCTGCCACTTATTTGTAGTAAATGCAACCATTAAAGAGATCCAAGGGAAGAAGCACAGGTGAATCTTGAATTTGTAGACCTCATCTCATTTTCCAAATGCTGGTGAAATCGCCACCAGTGGTGCCATGGCAGAATCTGACAAGTCAGGAAGAATGTGCCCGGCTCTGGATAGAACTAGGCAAAACCTGACAGGGGTCGTGGTTGATGACTGGCAGAGTCAGAAGTCAGCTGGGTTTTCAGCTTCGAGTGCTGGTTCCCACATAGAATTGACTTTTACTGCTTGGACTAGTAAAACATTGGCTGTTTGGTGACCCTAATTGCTTAGGTCATCAGCCAAGGTCCTGCTCTGGGTGTCTCTGCCTTCAGAGGTTAGGCCTTCTCAGTGGTGATGCCTAGTCACTGGTGACCCTGTCTGATCTCATCACTGTTAACCTTGTTAGGCATCAAATTGTTGCTGTTTTCCTGGGACTTATCTTGAACAATGCCCGTCTTTTCCTCTTTATTGCTGCTGGCTATTTAATTTGATTATGCTTAGTTTTGTGATTCAGTTTCATTATTTGTTGCATTAAGAGATCTTTAAGCAGGGTGGAAAGATTACAAATTAAATAATTAAATGATTTTTTAAAAGTCCCAGAATACTTACCATGGATGAGGTCCCACATCTCTCATATTGCAAGAGACATAGGAAGTGCACGGGTCGACCTAAGGGTCCTCTTTCAAGCTGACTTTTCAACGGGTGCTGCATTGGCCCTTGGCAGAGTTTCTTCCAGCTCAGATGGTTGAGGTCTCAGCTTGAGACCTGTCTGGAATTCATCTCCCAATTTGGGCTAATGGAGAGAGATGATTACGCACACGCATCACATTAAGTTCTTCTGCCGATTCATATGCTGAGACCACCTCGCTTCATGGTATTTGTGACTTTGAATATTTTAAATGTAATTATAAAATATTAAACCGGAGCAAAGAGATTTTTCAAAAGAAGCTGGCTTTAGAAGTCAAAGAGAAACTGACAGTTTTCTTTTTTCATCAAAAGTTTAAATGCCTTGCTAAAAAATATTAACTCTGCTGTCTGTATATGAGATTCACTTGGCCTTGTAAGAAGTTTTAAAGCAGCCCTGTGGTATGTCTTGCATCGTTGCTACAAGTTTTCTCCTTTGGGGCTATAGCAAACATTTATGGTTGTCTCTTAACATATTCAAAGTTTCATCAGAGAATTCAATGGAAAATTAAGTGAGAGCTTAAATAATGTGCAATAACTTCGGCAGGTACACATAGTTAAGTGTAGAGAAATGTTCATGTTGGCAGCTTTCCAGCTTTCTTGAAATGATCTCTTCTCTTTGTTAAATTGTATACCTTCAGTCAGGTATCTGCAATAACAACATGGGCATCTTATTTCTATTATTACTTATAATTACAGTACAGCCAGCCTAGGATTGTATTACTTCAGGATGAGTGTTTTAAAGACCTTTTCCCTACAAACTAGCTTTTCATAAGCAAGATGCTTTTGACCTTCTGAATTGCATGGCTGCAATCTGAAGTGGACTTTTACTAGGATGGTTGACCTAACTCTTACCTGCATGGACTGTTTCCTTAATTCTTAAGCCTATCCTAAAACCCCAAAATGAGGGCTGGTCAAAAGACATGGGGCTTGAGGGAGTTACAGGGGCAAATAAGTGTGTGTGTAGAGATGGTCCCCTCTAGAGCCCCACAAGACCTAAATCTGCCTCCAATGGAGACAACATCTGCAACTTTGGGTATGTAATTGCCAACTCTCAGTCCTTGACTGCTTCTTCATCTTTCACTCCAGTTGCAAAGAGAGTTGCCAGATAAAACCCACTAAAGTGATATTCCTTCCATCAGTCTCGGGGGCACTTGCTTGAGAAAGCTGTTCAGGTCCTTTTGAAAAGGACTGGGGGTTTTACATCCCTTGTCTCTCTTTCTTTAACTAGATCAGCACACAGACACACAGACACAAATCACATTAATTGTCTAAGAACTAATTAATTTAAAACAAAATTCTTGCAACCAAATGTAGCTGTTTTGCAAGCAGATGTGAGGATATAGGAATTTCTCTTGCCTATATTATGAAGTATACAGTTTAACTTTTAGCTATACAGTTACACCAATATGATAGTAAAGTTGTTCTTAATTTTTGCCAGGTCTAACACCCCCAAGAAGTCAGTGATTGCTGGAAGCATGCAGCTCTTAGCAGGCGTCAAGCTGTGTACAGGAAGGATTTTAACAAATCACCCCCACTATGAGGACAAGAGCCTGAGAGAAAGAACAAAACAGGTAAGGGAGACCTTCTCAGCAGGTCCTTACAGCTGAGCCATTGGTCAGGCCTGGCATAAAGTTATTAATGGGTGTAGCTAAAGGAAGCTCCATTATCTCCCACTGACACCTGGCCCAAGTCAAACATACATTGCAAGGCACTCAGCAGTGATTAAAATGAAATCAGTATTACCAAAACTGTTCTCTGAGGGAACAGATGCACTGTTTGGGGGTTCTCTTTGATCCACCATTGTCACATAAGGCCCAACTTGTAATCAACACACCAACAGCAACTACACCTGGACCTAACATAATCTGGTATTGAGAACTACAAGACTTAATTACTGAGTGTGTTCTATGCAGTGCTGCCATTAGGTCTGGTCCGGAAGCCATAGCTGGTGCTAGACTGCTAAGTTTGACATCCCATCCCAAACACAAACTTGATGTTGAGCCAGATTTAAGGAACTGCTGGTAACTTACCTAGCAGTCTAGTAGAGAGTATTTCCCTTCCTTTATATTTCAGAAGTTGTGCATTCAGATTCTTTGGTCTTTTTCTTGTACCCATTTCTTATCCATATCTCTAGTTTAGTCAATGCAAAAGAGCCATGCTAAGTCAGACAAAAGATCCATCTTGCCCAGTGCCTTATTTCCCACAATAATTAGCAGGGTGCTCCCAGGAAGTCCACAAGCAGCCATCAAGGCTGCAAGCCAGTTCCTGCTGTTACCTGCCATCAAGTCGTATTCCATGGTATACTTTCTCTGAATACAGAGGGCCCCATCATGACTAACTGACAGACTTCTTCACGAATTTGTCTTTTAAAACCATCTAAGCCAGTGACTGTTACCATATCTTGGCACAGTGAATTTCATACTTCAATTTTGTGTTGCGTGTGTTCTTCCTTTTGTGTGTTCTGAAATATACCTCCATCCAATTTCAGTGGATGACCCTGAATTCTAGTATTATGGGACAGGTGCAGGGGGCTGTCAAATTTCTCCATGTTATTTCATAAATCTCTGTCTTATGCTCCTCTTGAGTTGTCTTTTTCCCCCCCAACTTCGAGCAATAGAGAAATGGCGGAAATGGGGGTGGGAATCACAATTCTAATTAAATTACACTGTTTCTAGGTTTATCAGGTGTATGCAAAAAGATCTCCTGAAGAAGTCCACAGGATCCTCAGATCTTTTGGGACTGACTTTGTGATCCTGGAGGACAGTATTTGTTATGAAAGAAGACACAGCAGGGGCTGTCGGCTGCGTGATCTTCTGGACATAGCAAATGGCCACGTAAGTACCGGAGCCTGCCTTCCTGTTTGCATTACAGTATTTGCAGGAACTCTGGCACAGGATCATCTCTCCCTGTAACACCCTGTGGCTTTGTAGCCAACACGGTGCACTCCAGATGTTGTTAGACTCCAACTCCCATCAGCCACAAAGCAGCCTGGCAAATGGTTAGGGACGATGGGAGTTGTACCAACAGTAACTGGATGGTGTCTTGATTGGCTTAAATACACAGCAAACATAGTGTGAAATGTACTGTGAACCAGATAGCAGGGCTATTATGTCACTGGGAAGTCTAGCATTTATGTTCTGTTTGGAGTTTATAAAGAAGGCTGCAATCCTAATCCCACTTGTCTGTGAGTAAGCCCCATTGAATTCTGCTGGACTAACTTCTGAGTAGACATAGTTAGAATTGTGCTGTAATCTGTGGTCAGGCGTTAGGATTGCCCATGTGAATTAATATAGGATTGAATCAAGTAAAGTACAACAGTAAAGTACAACGTGCCATATACTGAAAGCACATTTTTCCTCCAAAGAATCTAGGGAAATCTAGTTTGCCTCTCACACAGCCACAATTCCCAGCACCCTTAACAAACTGCAGTTTGTAACAAACTACAGGATTCATTGCTGGGTGTGTGAGGTGCGTGTGCTTTTTAGGTGTATGGTGTGTAGGCAGCTGTGGGCTTTTCTCTGACTATACAATGGCATCTGGTGCTTGTACAGCTTAGTGTGTTTCCTTTGTATTGCATTAAGAGAGCAGTTCATTGTTTTAGAATGTGGCAACAAGAAGATGTTTGAACAACCTTGTAATTTCTGTTACAGACCATGGATGGTCCTGGGGAGAATGATCCTGATTTAAAACATTCGCCACATCCTCGCTTCTGTGAGGAAATCAAACGAGACCTGCCTTCATACACAATGTATTTTGCTAAAGTATTTCAGAACAAAACGTTCCATGTTTACAAGCTCGCTAGACATAAAAAGACTACGTAGCTTTGCTGTGACCGCAGCAACTCATGCCAAGAGTTTACAGAAACGGTTCATGGGGCGAGGTGGAATCATTGTACACTGGGTTAAGTGTTTTACCTTTTAATTACTGTGATCATTAGAAAGGGTTTGTGCTGATAATGTTTTTATGTGTCCAGAAAGCTTTTCTAGACTACAGAAGGCTGGTTCAGAAAGGGCTCTGGTGCAGACACTGTACAAGTGGTGTGGTGCAAGCTCCACCCTGATGTCTTCAGTGTCATGTGGGAGTGACTCTTTTGTGAAGCATGATGGCACATCCCCCATGAAAACGATGCTCAACATACAGAGAAGGGGGGTGGAGTCTCACCTGCATTGCACTCAAAGCTTACTTACCCAGGACCTCTGTGGACCAGCTGTTGTGTCTTTCCATCTACTGCTAATCTAGGGGAGTCTGCTCAGGGTTCTGGCTTGCTAACATGATCCTGTTGATACCATTAGTGTCTTGTTGTTGCTTCTTCGGTTATTTTCCTTAGGGTGCTTGGGAACACCAATCCAAAAACATTTTCTTGGGAGTAGTTTCTCCAGATTTTTCTTGGTGCTTTTTCCATGGTTGCTTAAGCATCACAGACTAATCTTCTGATGTCTCAGCCCTCAACCCAGATCCCAGAGCTTTGCTGCCAAAGTGCTTAGGGTGTATATACCAGTGACCTTTTCCTTTTCTAATGCTAGGACCCAGATGTGAGCTTTGTAATAGCCATCAGCAATGCAATGCTTTTGGTAACCTTCCCTTCACACGCACACCCTGCTCTCCCTTGCTTCTCTCTCAGACAGCACAGCTCTGAGGATACTTGGCCCTCTGCTGACAAGGATGGAGCTGCCAGTCTCTTAGCAGCCACTGTGCAGCTGAGGGCAAAGTAACCCAAGAACATCCCTGCGTACAGTTTTGCTCTTAGCAGGAACTAAAAAGTGAGGATTTTCCCCAGCAGGGACAGCTATGCTGTTCTTGCCACAGCATTGTCTTTGTGCCATTGCTCATCCAACACCGGGTCCTTAATTTTTGCTGCAGGTTGATCTGCCCGAAAGCAAAGCTCTGGGCTTTGTGTGAGTGCTGTTGCTGAAGACCATAGTCCAGCAAAAGGCTTGCGTCCGTCATTTGAACATTGCTCCCCTTCCTCATTGTATGGTACTTCTCAAGCTCTCTTGACTTTCAAACACTTGTTGCTCAGCATTCCATTTGTAATGTTTGGTGGCTGCTTGTTTTACCTGTGGTTCCACACTTGATGACTGATTTTTGTGTGTGGTTTTCAAACTTCGAAGACTGGAGCATGTTGGGCTTCCTCGTTTTTCTTTTGATAATGTAGCATGTTGTGGCGTCCTTTCAGAGGAGCTTTTACAAACAAGCAAAATCCACCCCCATGTCCCCTCCTGCATATTACAATGTTCAATTACTGTATTATGTTCTCCCACCCCCCTTCTAAGTGTGTCTTTTTAAGTAAGAATACCAAACCCAAGAGAAACACTGTCATGAGCTTCGTTATTAAAAGTGGTAGGATATATTGTGCTTTAAGGGAGATTTTTGCTTTATTGTATGTGACAAGTACTTACACGAACCATTTCCTCTCAAAGATCCTCCCCCCCCCTTCAATGTTTTTCCCCTCCTTACTTGGACAAAAAAACAACAACCCCATGAATCATGTTCCTTATGTTGAAGCAAATAGATTTCACATTTTTGTACTTTTATGAAGACTATCAACTTTATAATGCTGTGCTTTTTTATTAAAAAAAGTCACTGTGATGTTTTTAAAGCTAATTTTAACATTTTTATATGAGACTTATGGCAGGGTTGGTTTGGAAGTAGAACTTTCCCAGTCATTAACAAGTAACTTGGCAGCTGTAGGCACAATCTTTATTAACTTCAAAGTCCCATTCAAATGAATGGGAGTTGGGCAAGGCCACAATCCATCTCTTGTTAACTCCATTTTTTCCCTGGTGTAATAATGGCCAGTGTTCACTTCTGGTGCAAAATCTGATGGTAATCAAGTGCCTCTGGAAAAACATCAATAGGAAGCATATTTGGCCTGCTCAAATAGTTCACGTAAGAAAATTGTTGCAATTAATTCCTAACGATGAGAAACTTGCAGAGCTTCAGCTAGCCTCCCCCACATTTAATTAAATCAAGATGTGTAATGAGATTAAAGTTCCCCAACTGAGCTATGTTCCAGTTCCCAATGATTTAAACACTTTTCCCCTCTGCAGTTGTTCCTTGGTAAATTACTGCAGGGCTAGATACGGTTCTGTCACCCTCACACAAAATAATTTTACATTTAGGCGCAAGTATTCATTAAATAACACACAGGATCCTTCTGCGCTTTCATCCCAGCACCACCAAAAGGAAAGCAGACTTTAATCAGCTCACACTTAAATCAAATATGGAGGTGAGCCATGCAGGATTTTTTTGATTTTTTAATTTTTTTTTTAGTGAGGAAGCAAAGCCCCTGAATAATTCCTACTCTGTTCCCTTAATGAGGTTGGAGCCCACTGCCGCTTCAACATAATACAATAATAAAACATTCTAATAAGTAGTAAAACTTTAATTAAGCCTGTAGTGATGTGTGCCTGATCTTGCTGGGAGCCTGGGTCAGCAGATTCCTCGCTGGTAATGCTGCATGCTAATTCAGGATAAGCACATCCCAGGCACAGTGGAGTGAGATAAGGTTGCCCTGTCCTTTAGAGGCAGCGGGCATAATCAGCTGAGAATGCAGGCACTCAGGGCCACTTTGCCCAGAACATTATGCACCTGTCTCCCAAGCAGCCCACACAGCCGCAGTATATCAGGCCTCATCTTATTTTAAGCCTTAAGCTCGGCCAGTGTGGAGGAGCAGGCAGAGATATGACAGCCTGCATGTGGTTCTGAGGTCTTATTGCGGCGGCTGCAGACACCACTGTCATGGCATATGCAAAACGGGGGCATGGCCAGGTGGGCACTTGAGGTGCTGGCAGCTCACCACTTTAGTACCTGCTGCTTAAGTTCAGCTTCCCCAGCAAGAATTCCGATGGCACTACTATCTTTTTTAAAAAAGAATAACACTGACCCATGCACTGTTTCAGTATTTTCACGTCACATTTTTTATTACCAAATACAGTGGTACCCCGCAAGACGAACGCCTCGCAAGACGGAAAACCCGCTAGACGAAAGGGTTTTCCGTTTTGGAGGCGCTTCGCAAGACGAAGTTCCCTATGGGCTTGCTTCGCAAGACGAAAGCCCAAAGGGAAATCTCCGGGACAGCGGGGAAGCGCCTCCGCTGTCGCCCGCCAGCATTTTAAAAAGCCCCGGGACAGCGGGGGACTTCTCCGCTGTCCGGGGCGATCTTAAAATGCTGGCGGGTGGGAGCGAAGCCTCCGCTGTCGCCCGCCAGCATTTTAAAAAGCCCCGGGACAGCGGGGGACTTCTCCGCTGTTCCGGGGAAATTTAAAAGCCCCGGACCATACCCCGATGCCGGGCGGCGGGGCCGCGAAGCCTGGGCGCGCTGATCTCGGCGCGCCCAGGCTTCGGGATGCCGGCATCTCTATGCAAGCAGCGGCAGCGCTGCCGTTGCTTGCGGAGAGGTCCGCGAAGCCTGGGCGCGCTGATCTCGGCGCGCCCAGGCTTCGGGATGCCGGCATCTCTACGCAAGCAGCGGCAGCGCTGCCGTTGCTTGCGGAGAGGTCCGCGAAGCCTGGGCGCGCTGATCTCGGCGCGCCCAGGCTTCGGCATGCCGGCATCTCTACGCAAGCAGCGGCAGCGCTGCCGTTGCTTGCGGAGAGGTCCGCGAAGCCTGGGCGCGCTGATCTCGGCGCGCCCAGGCTTCGGGATGCCGGCATCTCTACGCAAGCAGCGGCAGCGCTGCCGTTGCTTGCGGAGAGGTCCGCGAAGCCTGGGCGCGCTGATCTCGGCGCGCCCAGGCTTCGGCATGCCGGCATCTCTACGCAAGCAGCGGCAGCGCTGCCGTTGCTTGCGGAGAGGTCCGCGAAGCCTGGGCGCGCTGATCTCGGCGCGCCCAGGCTTCGGCATGCCGGCATCTCTACGCAAGCAGCGGCAGCGCTGCCGTTGCTTGCGGAGAGGTCCGCGAAGCCTGGGCGCGCTGATCTCGGCGCGCCCAGGCTTCGGGATGCCGGCATCTCTACGCAAGCAGCGGCAGCGCTGCCGTTGCTTGCGGAGAGGTCCGCGAAGCCTGGGCGCGCTGATCTCGGCGCGCCCAGGCTTCGGCATGCCGGCATCTCTACGCAAGCAGCGGCAGCGCTGCCGTTGCTTGCGGAGAGGTCCGCGAAGCCTGGGCGCGCTGATCTCGGTGCGCCCAGGCTTCGGGATGCCGGCATCTCTACGCAAGCAGCGGCAGCGCTGCCGTTGCTTGCGGAGAGGTCCGCGAATCCTGGGCGCGCTGATCTCGGCGCGCCCAGGCTTCGGGATGCCGGCATCTCTACGCAAGCAGCGGCAGCGCTGCCGTTGCTTGCGGAGAGGTCCGCGAAGCCTGGGCGCGCTGATCTCGGCGCGCCCAGGCTTCGGCATGCCGGCATCTCTACGCAAGCAGCGGCAGCGCTGCCGTTGCTTGCGGAGAGGTCCGCGAAGCCTGGGCGCGCTGATCTCGGCGCGCCCAGGCTTCGGCATGCCGGCATCTCTACGCAAGCAGCGGCAGCGCTGCCGTTGCTTGCGGAGAGGTCCGCGAAGCCTGGGCGCGCTGATCTCGGCGCGCCCAGGCTTCGGCATGCCGGCATCTCTACGCAAGCAGCGGCAGCGCTGCCGTTGCTTGCGGAGAGGTCCGCGAAGCCTGGGCGCGCTGATCTCGGCGCGCCCAGGCTTCGGCATGCCGGCATCTCTACGCAAGCAGTGGCAGCGCTGCCGTTGCTTGCGGAGAGGTCCGCGAAGCCTGGGCGCGCTGATCTCGGCGCGCCCAGGCTTCGGCATGCCGGCATCTCTACGCAAGCAGTGGCAGCGCTGCCGTTGCTTGCGGAGAGGTCCGCGAAGCCTGGGCAGACAGCTTTTGAAGGCGGGGGGGAGCAAAGACTTTCACCCCCCGCCAGCCTTCAGAAGAGGTCCTGGTCCTCTTCTGAAGGCCGGCGGGGGGCAAAAGTCTTTGCTCCCCCCTGCCTGCCTTCCCGGGAGAGCGGAGAAACGCAGCGCGTTTCTCCGCTGTCCCGGAGGGCTTTTTAATGCAGGCGGGGGGGAGCAAAGACTTTTCCCCCCCCCAGCCTTCAGAAGAGGTCGGGGGACAGACTGTCCCCGGACCTGGTCTGAAGGCGGTTTCCCTAGGAACGCATTAATGGATTTTCAATGCATTCCTATGGGAAACCGTGCATCGCAAGACGAAAAACTTGCAAGACGAAGAGACTTGTGGAACGAATTAATTTCGTCTTGCGAGGCACCACTGTATGTATGATCAAATATTGCCATCTTAGATATGCAAGCTTTAAAAAAAACCAAACTGGAGCTGTCAGTTGTCCCACCCCACCCCACCCCCTGACCAAGCCAAATCTGACCTTGACTATAACAAAACAGAGTGAGAAGGCAATCTTTTTTATTGGGCCAACTAAAATACTGGATGCAAGTTTTTGGGTTGCACAGAACTCTCTGGTGCGCTTAGTGTGACCTTAAGAGGGACATGGTCAGTGGAGAAGGAGGGAAAGAGAGAGAAAGAGAGAGAGAGCTGCTACTTGGGTCATTGGAATGATGAAGCTGCATTAAGGGTGTTAAAAGGGAAATTTCCTTTTCTTTGTAATGTGCCTGATACCTGCAAAGCAATTTCAGGGGTCTGGGTGGCTTGGTGTTGTTGTGGGAATGTTGTAGGCATCAGGAATCGCCTTTGAGATGCTGGGTGCCAAATGGTTTTTGTTTGCTTTGCTCCTGTAGTTATCAGTGCTTGAGGGCTGTTAGAATGTGCCTGTCTAATATTCCTTCCTTCCTTCCTTCCTTCCTTCCTTCCTTCCTTCCTTCCTTCCTTCCTTCCTTCCTTCCTTCCCACCCTTTCCAGTCATGGAAGTTCATTTTAATTTAAGGAAGAAAGGAGGAGGTTCAGAAGTAAAGATTGGCCAGTAGGTTGGCTGGTGAGTCCCCATCCCGTGCCTTTTGTCTGCGAGCACTCAAGGCTACACAGTGCTGGCACCTTTTTTTTTCTAGAAGAAAAGCACTGGTTTAAAGTGTGGCATTTAATGTAACAGCTTCATGGTGAGTACCAGCACCGTTTTACTAGAAGAAAAGCAATGGTTTCCCCCACATCCTTACTTGAACATGCACAATCGGAAGGCAGGTCTAACAACCTGAAAAAGCCCCAACATCAGGGATTGTGGAATAAATCCAAGCAGCGACATGTATAATGAGGAACACATGTGATACAGACCACAATAGCTAGAGCCTCAATAAGTGCAGGAGATGACATTTTGGATGCCAGTATGGCACAGCTCAAGGTGGTGAGTGATACAATCATCAAAGGAAGTTTGAGGGACCTTTGCAAATAAGTACCGGTACATGGGGAGCAGGAGTTGGGAATGGTAGGGAACAGAACCCTAGAAAGCTGAATTCAGAACCTTGCAGGCATGTGCCCTGTTTCTCAGCATGCTGTGGCTGGGTGGCTTCCTTTTACAGCCCAAGGGTCACACCTGCCCTTGGCCCCCACCCATTGGGAGCTGCATGCCATCAGTTAGCGTGGCCAAAACTGGGTGCAGCCACCACACACTAAAGCAGGAGCACACACAGGCACATAGCCCACCTGCCTCAGCTGATCCATGAAGAAAGAGCTATCATCTCACCACTCAACAAATGATCAGTCTGATGTCTGGGAACGGCATGATTTACATCGTCTCCCAGGTCCTGGGCTCTGCCCAGCCTGTGCTGTGTACAGCCAGCTCACAACTTGTGTGCATTTAACTTGCACAATCGCAGCTTTACACTCTTAGTGGCCGGCCAGCACACAGTCACCCAAATTAAACACACACAAGGCGGAGAGCTTAAAAGCTGTTTCTGCATCACATTTTCCTGCTATGGAAAAAGCTTTTAAGGTCTCCACCTTGCTATCTGGTTCTGGGAAGGTCTCACATTGGCTCTGGGCGACTCCAGTGAGATCTCAGGAGCCTCCCAGAGCTGGTATGAGAGCCTCCCATAGCTCGTTAAGCAAAACAAAGAGCTTATAAGCTCTGCCTTGCTTGGGTGGCAAGGCTCACATGGTGTACTGGCTCCAGAAAGGTAGGGATGGTTGCATGGGAGCGGTTCTGGGGTTGTTTTGGCTACACACAATTTTGGCTTTACACATCATCTCCTGCACTTATTGAGGCTATAGCTATTGTGGTGTGAATCTAACTCCCACGCAAGTTGTGAGTCATCTGTATTTATTTTCACTTTTCTGCTGCAACCAAAACTGGAGAAGTTGGGGGGGGGGTCCCTGTTTTGAGGGAAGCAGGTCAAGCCCTTGAACTTGGGGTTAGAAACTATAGCCTAGGAGGGAACTGTAGGAAGGGGGCACTGCTGCAGAATTCATAAGCTGCCAAAGATTCAAGTCTAGCTGTGAGCTAGTTCAGCGACAAGGCTAGTTCCCATCCTGGGAGCAAAGATTGGGGGTTTTCATGCTGCTTCAGGTCAGTTTTTCTTCTTCTTTAGTATTGCATTCCCTTAGTTCAGGCCTGTACAACTTATGACCCACCAAGCCATGTGTAACACACCAGCCATGCCTATTGGCCCACCAGATGATCAGCAAATCTGCCTGTCTTTGACTGCAAACCTGAGCAGGACTGGGTGGGGGGAACATGGCTGATGAATTGCATTTGGTGAGCTGGCCTGGGAGGCCTGCCTTTAGCACATGGGATGAGAAATCTGTAGCCCTCCAAATGTGGTTGTACTCAATGTTCATCAGACCCAGCCAGATTGGCCAGTGTTTGGCAATGATGGACACCGGAGTCCCAAGTGGAAGGCCACATGCTAGCCATCCCCGTTCCTCACGGTGCCATCTGTAACATTCTGCTACCAAATGCATGCCAAAAAAAGTTGTTTTATTATTAAACGTGAGTCTCTTCTCGCTTGCAAGAAACCCTTGCATCCAACCTGCAAGCTACTTGCAGTGCAATGCTAAACCATGTTTACACAGAAGTAGATCCAACGGATGTCCAGTGGATCTACTTTCAAGTTCAAACCCAACTTGTTGCTGCCCTTGTCTGCTCCTTGGCCCCTTAGTGTGGAAGAAAAGGCTACTCTACATTTATGCAGAAGAGAAGTTTTCTATACAGTTACGGTCAAAGTGAAATTGTCAGTCTGTGGAGCTAAAAAGTCAAAAGGAGGCCAGTATGAACATGAGGAGACACACATCTTCAATATTTTTGCTGGTTAACACTTCACCGTGCAGGCATTTTATAAGATGCTGTACTGAGATGCATGAATATTGTCTTCTAAATAAAGTTTGATCTGCAAATCAAAACCTGTTGCCATCTGTCCTTTTTAAGGCAGCCATTTAAAAACCTGCTTCTCTTGTTGTTGCTCACATCCTCTGTCAAAAGCAGCTCATTCTTCTGCCAAAAGAAGCTTTTTGACCTTGTCTTAAGCGCCTTAACATGCTGAAAGGAGTTAATATTTATTTAAATCATCTTTGGGTTTTGACAGCTTGTAAGAGTAGCTTTTATTGAATTTCCAAGTTAAATGATTTAGCAGTAGCATTTTTCCCCCCTGCCATTGCTGCCTGGCGCACTTAACTTTTGTGAGGTTAGCAGCTTGTCTGAGGAAGTTATTTGGATAGCGTTAAATAGAAGTTGCTTTCTGATCCATGGGGATCCATTGCTGCTTTTTTCCTTTCCTCCTAATGGTGAATTTCTCAATAGTTTTGAAACTTTACAGGATAGAAAGAAGCAGGTCTCTTGTCAGGGAAGCCCAGCCAAAAGTAATTGCATGTGGCATGCGGCCTTATTTGAATTTCGAAAGGTTGGTCTAGGACAAGGGTTTAAAAATACAGTATTGCCGAGATCTCATGGATAAGCATGGCCTGTCTTCAGTCAAAACCACTGCCTTGTTTCACTAGTAAAGTGATTAAAAGTTTGTAGTGTAAAGCAAGTGCAAGCTAGGAACTCAAACTAGATTGGGTTGATGACGGTCTATGTTGGATGTAATTGCTTCAGGAAACCTATTTCAGAAATAATTGATCTAGTATGAGCCTCTGTAGAGCAGCAGTATTACTCAAGAGCACGTTTACTATACTGTCAGGAAAGCTGGCAGTGACCCTTTTTACATGTTGCTCCAGAGGTGGAGGTTGGGAGGTTGCCTGGAAAGTAAAGGAAACACAATAGCTTGGGGTCCAGGGGGTGACAATAAGCTGTTGCAGTAACCATGAGCTACTGTGGCTAGTGCTGGCTACATCAGGTGAAGGGAATGGTCTGGTTACTAAGGTGTTCATATTAAATAAAATGCAGATCCATGAAGCTGAGCTAGCTGGACAAACTTCATCAAGGGAGTGCCATGCAGCCATAGTCTTTAGGGTATGTAGCACAGAACAATTATTAACCTGTATCGGGAATATCTTTGGTAGCATCTGGTAAGAGGTGGTGCAGTGGCTTGTGTTCCCTCTGCTAGATAGGAAGATAGGAAATGGTGTGATAGCAAGTCAGAGCATTGGTCCATCTGGCTTAGTATTGTCCATGCTAATTGGCATGACTCCCCAGGATTTCAGATGGGGGATCTTTCAAAGACCTACCTGGAGATGGCAAGGAATTGGACTCGGGACCTTCTGCATGCAAACTCTTTGCTCTGCTGCTGAGCTACAGCCCTTTGCAGCTGGTATAAGGAAATCATGCCTGACTTTTTGGGGGAAACAGTTGATTGCATCACTGAGGCCACCAGGCTCAGAAGTCTCAACTTATTTTTAGTTGCTGCAGTGTCTACTCTTAAGGCATGTAAAAGAGTACACTTTATTCCTGGGATGACGCTCTGAGGGTTGCCTCAGTGCCACAGAACTATGTTATCTGTTGACTTTCATTTTGTAGAAATGGTGGTTGGAAACTTATGAAAACCAATGGAGCTTGACAGGTTGACAGATTAAATACTAATATATAGAAGATTATTTAAATTGCAGGCCTATACACAATTTGTATAGGAAATAGAATTGTTGTTGCTCCATGTTAGCCTTTAAAGAGCTTGGCAGGAGATTAGTTAAAGTACCAGATTACTGAAAATCCAACTACCTAGGGACATACTTATTTCTTTTCTCTTTCCCCCTCTTTCCTGTCAGCTGCAGGACTTCTAATAATCAGGTCTGCTGGCCTCTTTCTTGACAATGCCACAACTCCCTTGCATTGGCTTTTAAGGAAACGAATAGGCAAGTCCTGCAAGGCAGAAAGCAAGTACTTTTTGACTGCTGCATGGAACATGCAACACAGTGGTGGCCATGAGATACTGGAAGCGTGGCAAGAATAACAGTCTCCATTAAGAGGAAGATGACAGCCCCTGCCATCATTTCACCTTGCAGAGTTGCATGAATAGCTGGAAATGCTTTTCACATCTCCACTTAGTAAGAAGGATGGAATGTTATCCATCCAGTGCTCAAAACGAGATGGGATGCCACACAATTTCTTTTAAGATTGACATACCACTCTTCCATTTCTGTTCAGGCAGACATTCTTGAGTCTAGCCTAACCATCCCACATCATCATTTCCCTCACACTTTGAAAACTGCATCCCTAACAGGGCGGTTCATACCTAGGAAGCTGCCTCATACCAGGCAAGATTGTCCATCTCACCCAACAGCGTCTCCTCTGCCTGGCAGTGGCTTTGTGGTTCTCTCTGACACAGGGTCTTTCCCCTCTTCTGTCACCTGATCGTACTCTTAACTGGAGATGCCAAGGATGGAACATAAGACCTTCTGCATGCAAAGCATGAACCCCAGCACTGAACTATGATCCCTCCACGCGTGCTTTGGTAACCTTGAGGCTTATGTGCCATTCAGATAGATCAATATGGCTTGGGAAGCTGCAAAGGCAGCGTAAGACAGGAAGGAGGACCTATGACCCAGTAGATACTGTTAGACTGTACCTGCCATTATCCCCAAGCATTGGTCATGCTGGCTGGCATCAATGAGAGTTGGGAGTCTCATAACTTCTAGAGGACCACGGGTTCTGACCCCTGCCACGTAAAATATCAGCTCTTCTGCAGAACCAGGTGAGCCTTTGAGAGGACTTGATGTCCATTTCTTCTGGTGTGAACCAATATCCTTCAGGGTGCATTCTGCAGGCACTACTAGCCATGTTTCCTCCACAGTTGGGAGGCAGGAATTCTTCTGAATATCATCTGCTGGGAACCAGAGGGAGGGAGAGTGCTCTTCTGTTCAGGTTCTGCTTGCAGGTTCCCCTCAGACAATCTGGGTGGCCAGTGTGAGGACAGGATGCTGTTCTGGGTGGGTCATTGCCCTGCTCCAATAGGTCTCTTCTTACAGTTCTCTCTTTGTCCTGCAGTAGTCACCTGAGTCAATGAGAAAATCCATCTGTCCAAGGACTTAAGTAACACCTTCAGTTTCTTGCACCAGAGTCTGGTCTGAAATGAACCAGAAATTGTGGCTTGGGTGAGTGAAATACTTTTGAGCCAGGCTGTGTGTTGAAAAGCACATTTTTATTCTGCACAGCACACCAAGGGAGTAAATAGCACGTTACAGGCAAAGGAAATAGTCTAAATTGGCCTGAAAAATGCCGTCAAATGATAGCATATCCTACCGAGAGTGGCTGGGATTTAGATGAATGGATAAGAAGCAGTAATTAACACTGAGCAATGCCTTGATGCATTTTGAGCAGCAGGAGATTGGGGGAGGGATATCCATTTCTGCCTTTTCCCCATAGTCTTGTTTGGTACACTGAAAAAGCACACGATGCTCAGCAACACTTTTCGCTCAGTTTTCTGGAAGTGGGTTATTACATTTGGACGAGCTTTATTGCCTGTACAGGTGAAAAATATTCACAAAAGAATATTCAACACCTGTGAGCTATGATAGGTAAAACCATGTGAACTTGTCCCATTATTTAAGGATGGGCATGCCACGTCTCGAAAGGTAAGTCCCATGGAAAGCCATATTCTTCCAGTGCGCATATGAATTGGCACCAAACATTGGAAGCATCTTCCTGGTTAACCAACTGTGGTACAGCACTGATCCCAACAAGACAGAATTTCCTCTTTAAAACAAAAAAAAAACAGCTTCCACATATGCAAAGATTAAAAATATGCATTGCCCTAAACTTGCTTTGCAAGGTAAGTGAAAACAACTTGATCTTGACCTTTTCTGTTGGCTCTGATCCATGATTCAGAAACAACTACAACTCTCCAGTTTCTTGAAGACCACAGTTTGAGAATTGTGGAGGTAGAATAATGTTGCGGGATTTACAGAGAGATGGCTAAATAATTTCTAGTATCCTCTCAACCTCAAAGGAAAGTGGGAGCAAGTTCTTGAGCTTTTTGTCGTTAGAAACTATGAAGAATAACCGGCTTGACGTGAAGACCACCACAAGCTCTTTATCTTTGTGTTTCTTTTGAAACTCGTATTGAAAAAGCATTTGGGGAAAATCTGGGTATATATGGTCTCCTATGAAAACGTTGGTCTCCACTGTAGCTTAATACATGCTTGAAAAATTGGACTTAGGAACTTCTGGAAATGTTATTTGGTGCCCTGCCAAGCACTTTTCAATCTCCATTACCCGTCTCTCAGTACACTTGTTCATTCCCTCCCCGTGGACAGATGATCTTCCATTTTCTGATCCCCCCCCTCCCCGAACAAATGAAGCGTAGAAGAAGAGAGATATAACGTTATGAGGAAAGTCAGGGAGATGAGGGGAATTTATGAATAATCTAAGGAACACTCATAACTTGGAGATGTCCTTTTTTTGCAGAGCCGAGGGAGCAGGGTAAGGTTCTTTGGGCTTCACATGTTGGCAGAACGAAATCTAACTTTAGAATTTTTAAGTCCGCAGTCCCTTTTCGCTCACTGCACAGCATTTACTCAGAATAGCTAAGTAGAAATGCAGACTCGAGATAAGAAGATTGAAATGTACTGCAGAGGCAGAGCCTTCTTCACTTTCGATATTAGTGGTTTAGCAGAAAAATAAACCACACCAGCATCTGAGCTAGTCAAAAGAAAATGATTTTTTAAAAAGAACTGATTAGTGTGTAGCAAATCATACCATAACACCATTGCTCCTAATGGAAGGGTTTCTCCCACATGCATTTCAAAGGCATTTATCCTCCACCAGACAATTTTTGTTTTTTGCAGAAGCAATGGCCGACACTGGGGCGTTATTCTGTATGACGGTTTGTCAGACGGCAGAATCTGGGCTCTGCTATTCAATTAAGGAAAAATAAACAGACACGTGCAACCAAGCTTTCCTTTGAAATGGCTTGTTGACAAATTTGTGGCTACATTATTTCAAGCTTTACAAGAAGCTTGGTTTTTTTGGGTGGGGGGACATGAATCAGGGCAATTAGGACAGGGCTCTGAAAAAGAAAAGGCAGTCCAAGGCTATTCCAGGGATAGAGGCAGTGTAGACATAATACTGGTTTTGAATCCTACCCCATGTAAGAACCATGCAGTGGGGAAGGGCTTTAGCTCAGTGAGGTCTCATCCATGTTTCCTCTTGTCCTGTGTTTTCTTCTGCTTGTCCTGTTCTTTCTAGGGAAAGTAGCGGGGCAAATGAAAAACATCTCAGACCTGTGCTTAGAAAGCACAGGATAAGTGTGGACAACAATAATAATAAATTTTATTATTTATACCCCGCCCATCTGGCTGGGTTTCCCCAGCCATTCTGGGCTGCTTACGTCGTTATCTAAAAACAACAACTCAGAGGGCATCTGCTTTGCATGTGAAATGTTCCACATTCAACCCCAGGAACCTCCAGATCGGGCTGAGAACGTCCCTTGCATGAATAGGTTTGAATTAGTGTAAGGCAGCTTCTTAGGTCCCTCTCTCGTTGAAAACTAGCAAAGCAAGAAGAAAGGGTCTAGCCAGCTCTCTGTCTCCTCCTCTCATTTTTTTACCTGTATGAAGTAGTTAAGGTTCGGGAGGGGGGTTACATGGGGGACACAGACGGTATCTGCCATCTGATGTGGTATAATCAACTTTAGCACCTTAAATAGGTACCGCTCTAGCGGGAAGGTAAACGGCATTTCCATGCACTCCTCTGGTTCACCAGAAGCGGCTTGGTCATGCTGGCCACATGACCCGGAAGCTGAACGCCGGCTCCCTCGCCCAAAAAAGCGAGATGAGCACTGCAACCCCAGAGTCGGCCACGACCTTTACCTATGCTCCACAAGCAGGACGTGCAAACAGATGTTGCGCTGCAGCCTTCCTCTCTAAGGGAAGTCTGCCTATCTTGGATGCCAGCCAGCCATTCCACCTTATCTTGCCTCCCACCACACCCTGTCCTCTTCATCTTCCAAGCAGACAACATTCTGTGGCCACTGAGCATATTTAGCCCTCATTGTGCCTCCCTCCCCCATTACGTTTTTTCACCCTCCTCAAAAAAGAAAAGAAAAAATGATTTTGTACTTCTGCAAATCTAGGGCTGCTTATGAAGTGGGAAGAAAATGCCCCATTGCAAAGGTAAGTCCGGAGGTAATAGACCAAGCAGCTAGCAGGAAGTCCACAACTGGTTTCATGCTACACAATATTGTATCTGTCAAATATGCCATCTCCTGCTACAACAATATTTGGTTGTTTATGGCTGTCCTTACTTTGAAGTCTTTGGAACCACACATGGAACAACAACTCTGGGGAACAATTTCTCATCTGGACTGTTTCAGTGGCAAAAACCATGTCTTATGAAGGTAAAAAACCCACAAAGAACTAATTTCAGTGTGTCATGCCCAGGTGCCAGTTGGTGTTCCCTCCGAATCTGGGGAAGGGCACACAGGAATTTAACCAAGTAACAGGCACGGGCTTCTGGGAGTATTGAAAACAAGTCACACACCCCCAAGTTAAAAGACTGTTATTGCCAAATCCATAGCATGGCTCTTCTAGTAATTTTGAAAGGAAAGAAGCTTCATTCCAACTTGGTACACTGATTAAAAACCACAAAGTACAGATTTTACAACTTATTGCAAGAGGTGCACAAGACTCAGGCCAGGTATCAGCCCCTGCAAAGTGTTGAGACAGTCTCCTGCTTCCAACTATGAAGATGGAAAAAGCTATAGGGACAAAGCACCTGTTCTTGCAACCAATACAGATGTTGTTTCTTTACATTTTTATCTTTCTGCAATGGTTCTTTGGTTGCCTCCAACTAGTTTAATTCTGTCCTTTCTCAGCCTTCAAAAGACAATGACCTATGTATATTATATCTTTTTCTTTTGGGGGGGTGTCCAAAGAAACAGCCAATCCAAAATCAAAGCCCTTTTTGGGCTACCTGGTCTCCATCTTAGCTGTGCCTTTGAAGTATCTCAGTAGGGATTGACTTTATCAAAAGTATGTTAAAAGTACCTTTACCCGCCCCGCCCCCCAAACCCCAAAACACCACAAGGGACCTTCAAGCATTGTGCAAAGATGAGTTCAGCAGCCTAACCATCATCGGACTCTGCTTGAGAATAGAGTTTGCTGAGATTTTCAAACTTCGGCCCCCACTCTTTCATATCCCCGTAGGCTGTATCTTCCTCCCATCCACCGGAGCCCAGGGAACTTAGGCTGCTAGCTTCTGAACACTCTCCTTCCGTGTAAAAGACTTGCAAGGAATCGCAGGGCAGGGCGTGGTGCAGCTGGTCCATGTTTCTCACCACCCCTGAAAGGTAGCAACCAAAGTCGATGCTGGAGAAGGAGGAGCCCAATCCTGTGGAAAGGGCTTCCAGCTGCTCCTTTGGACTGGCAGGGAGGTCACAGCTCACGGGACTCTGCAGCTCTGCCCGCTTCCCTTTCTTCTTGTAAAGCGAGTAGGCTGGGCTGGTTTGAAGGGACATCTGGAGCTCCACCATGTTGTAAGCATCCTGCAGGAGGAAGACATCAACAGCAGCGTCGGACACTAAGTCACATGCACCCAGCCACAAACTTATGGATTCGTTCTCTGTTCCTGGAAAGGTGTTAAAACATGAGGTGGGGGGAGATGCATGCTGGCCCCAGCCCCAGTGACCACCCTGCACACCGGCCCCATTTGCTGCACCCTCAAGCTTCTTCTATGAGACGCAGGTAGCGCTGTGGTCTAAACCAATGAGCCTAGGGCTTGCCGATCAAAAGGTCAGCGGTTTGAATCTCCATGACGGGGTGAGCTCCCGTTGACGATCCCAGCTCCTGACAACCTAGCAGTTCTAAAGCACGTCAAAGTGCAAGTAGATAAATAGGTACCACTCAGGCGGGAAGGTAAACGGCATTCTGTGCGCTGCTCTGGTTCACCAGAAGCGGCTTAGTCATGCTGGCTACATGACCTGGAAGCTGCCTGCGGACAAACGCTGGCTCCCTCGGCCGCTAAAGCGAGATGAGTGCTGCAACCCCAGAGTTGTCCACAACTGGACCTAATGGTCAGGGGTCCCTTTACCTTTACAAGCTTCTTGCAGTGAAGGAGGCTTTGATTGTTAAACCACTCTGGGTACTGTAGCTCTGGGTGGGGAAGAGCGGGTCTGCTAATAATTCTCAGCAGCCTTAACAAACTGTATTTCCTGGGATTCTTTGAGGGAAGCCATGACTGTTTCTTCGGAGCAAAGATTTTAGCTTCTGTGGCACTGGACATGGATGGTCTCTCTGCCTCTCTAGATAATGCAAGGGAGTTCCCTCCACTTACAAAAGTTTCGTCACAGGCAGCAACGCAATATGGATGTGGAGATCCACCCTGCGCCATAGAAACAAACTACCCTTGAATCATTTGGGCTCGTCTTGCTACTTTCTGAAAGGAGCAGATACCAAGCTCCTGACATGTCAGATAAACAATGCCTGCTTCCTCAAGATAGATCCCCTGCTCGGGTAAACCTATTTTTCCCCTTTACAATTTGCAGAGGGAGTTAATCTTATTAAACACTAATAGGATTTGTATACTTAGCTCGCTGTGTGCCACCTTGAAGATAAATATCCATTTAAAGTGTTTAAAACATGTTCACGGAAATTTATCAAAACCTTCAACTTTCTTTTTTTCCTCCGTTTTTTAATGAGGAAATTTGCATTCCGCTAGTAGGAAATACCAAGTGTAAAATTCAAATGAAACTCGTACATTTTTTGGGGGGGGGTAAAATCCTACTCTGGGTGCAGAATTTGCACAGAAGTCATCCTAGGAAACAGTCCTTCTGGGATAGGGGTAGGGAGCATTTTTCAGCCCAAGGGCCACATTCTCTTCTAGGCAATGTTTTGAGGGCCACATTCCAGCAGTGGGCTAGAGGTAAAAGTGGGTGGAGCAATAAATACATATTTTAAAGGTAAAGGTACCCCTGCCCGTACGGGCCAGTCTTGACAGACTCTAGGGTTGTGCGCCCATCTCACTCTAGAGGCCGGGGGCCAGTGCTGTCCGCAGACACTTCCGGGTCACGTGGCCAGCGTGACAAGCTGCATCTGGCGAGCCAGCGCAGCACACGGAACGCCGTTTACCTTCCCGCTAGTAAGCGGTCCCTATTTATCTACTTGCACCCGGGGGTGCTTTCGAACTGCTAGGTTGGCAGGCGCTGGGACCGAGCAACGGGAGCGCACCCCGTCGCGGGGATTCGAACCGCCGACCTTTCGATCGGCAAGTCCTAGGCGCTGAGGCTTTAACCCACAGCGCCACCATTGTGTAATAAGTTAGTTTCTACACATGCTCACTCACATACACAACCCACCCACCCCTCTTCTGTTCTCCACCTAAGCGGGAATATCGGAGTTCAGGGACACATCCCAGCCAAGCAAAAATGGAAGAAAAGCAATGAGGGTTGTGCATCCTGTTTTCAAAGTGGCTCACCAGATGCTCAAGGAGAGCCTAACAAGCAGGATTTGCAAGCTTTAACATTTTACCTGTACTATGATCCCGACTGAAAATTGGGCGGTTGGGGCGAAAGGGTCCACGTCTACTCTTGGCACCATGGGGAGGAGGGGCAGTTAAAGTCCTCCCCCTCCACCATCAGTGTCCCAACCTGCTTCCCACATTAGCTAGTAAAAGAAAACTGAGCTGCACAGCACCCAACAACATCCTGCATAAGACAAAAGAGGAGCTTCCTCTTCTGAGATGGTGCTTATCACCAGCAATTGTTATAAGTCCATTTAGCATTCCTAATAATAATAATGAAAGCCATAATAATAACAAGAGTATGAATATCATTATTTAAGCATATTTCCTGGCCTTCCACCCAAAGGTATTACAGTGGTACCTTGGTTCTCAAACTTAATCCATGCCGGAAGTGTGTTCGACTCCCGAAACCATTTGAAAACCAAGGTGCGGCTTCCAATTCGTTGCAGGAACTTCCTACACTCAAGCGGAAGCCGCACCGAATGTTCAGCTTCTGAAAAACGTTTGCAAACCAGAACACTTCCGGGATTGCGGTGTTCGGGAGCCGATTTGTTCGGCAACTAAGCCATTTGAGAACCAAGGTTCCACGGTATTAAAAAAAATACTGATTTGCCTTCTAAAACCTGCTCCCTTCCTCATGATTAACTGGGTCATCTTTTTGTCAGATTGATTAAAAAGTTGCTGGTCTAATTGACATTGGTGTGTGCGGGCAGGTGAGCAAACAAGAATGTTTGCAGCTCACTGACTTCTCTGGACTTTTTATACTATGTTTTCTCCCAGGCAGTTTTAGTGAAATGTCTCTGGTTCAAATGATTTGGAGACTGATGCTTTAATACATTTGCAGTGCAGGTCTACTCAAAAGTAAGTTCCACTGAATTCTATGGGGCTTACTCACAGGCAGGTTGACACAGGATTGCAGCCTTATCTGAGGCAATACTAAGATAGCAACATTCACTGAGCATTTCTACAAAACGTTGCAAGGACTTGCAATCAGGACAGAGTAAATGTTAGGTCTGGTGGGGTGGAGGGGAGATATATGCCCCATTTGCTAAAACTGAAATGTGCTTTTCTGAGTGCCAGAAGGGAAAGGAGATAATATTAAACAATTTTGGACAAAGTCCTATGGGTCTCTAGCAGGGGCCACGGGACAGGAGTGGATCTCAACCTCCAGGCTGCAGAGAGTCATTATAACCACAGAAATCTCTGCAGCCACTTCTACTCTGCTATCAGTGTTCGAACAATGCAATGGAGAAAAAAATGGGGCATGCTTGGAGAACTTGGATCCACAGGATCCAAAGACCATTTACAGAATTTTAGAGTTGGAAGGGACTCCCTCCCACAGGTTATTTAGTCCTAAAGCATCTTCTACAGGTGATTATCCAACCTCTGCCTAAAAATCCCCAACCACAGAGAGTCCACCCCCACCAGTATGGGAAAACTACACTAGTCCCTGGAACTGGCTAGTGAATCCCCTTCCCTTAGAAAGAAAAACCACCACATATGTGCACAAAAATTATCTGGGGGGTGCTGCCCCCTACACAACTTCTGCCCTGTCCGGTGTGAGCCTGGTACATGGCGGTTCCCCTGCCATGGGCTCTCTCCTCCCCATTATGGCCATCTGTCTGAGATGCCGTAGGTACATTGAGATAGGGTTGGACTTCATCGCCTTCACAGTTCCTTCAAAGTCTAGGCTATACTATCAAAGCAAAGCGAGCAATGGCTTTTCCTCTGGTGTAAGTTTCCTTGCACACGTCAGGTCAACCGTCAGAGAAAGAGCCTTACTTGATCCTGCTCCCCACCCCCTTCCTCGTTATAGTTGAGGATGTTCTCTCGAATGTCCTCCAAGTCATCGTGGCAGGTGGTGACGTGGTAAACTCCTCCGTTCATGCTTTTGTGGCTCTTCCACCGAGTCCACAGGAAGACACCGCTGAGCAGAACTGGGTGAGAAAGCGAAGAGCATTAGTTTAGAAACCAAGGCCAAACACACCATTAAAAAGGAGAACTTCGAGAGTTAGGACTTAATGCGCTGGAAGGTCGCCACATCTGAAATATCCCTGAAACCACCCTCCTCTGCCATGTCACCTTTGAAATAGACTCACATGGAGGGTGCAACATTTAAACCCCAGTTCAAGTTTGTGCAGAAACTACTTCATCTCAGGCTAACAGACCCAATCCCTGCTCTGAAACAAGCACCACCTCAGTAATCCTACCAAAGCCAATGGGATTCTGCTGATTTAAGCGTGCACAGATTCAGAACTTTAAGTAGACAATCCAATAAGTGCAGCTAGTTTTAGCAGGGACTTAGCTCTACTTTTGATTTATTGCTATTAATAAAAGTAAATCAGTCAGAAGGTGAGTAATAGCCAGAGGAGGGGTGCAGCAGCAGCAACAACAACAGCAGCAGCAGCTAAGCACCCACATTTGGCCTGCAAGCCCAGGAATGCTAATTTGGATGAGCATCCCATGAAGTGAGTGCACTTAGAGCTAAATATATATAGGGCTGTATTATTAAAGACCAGCATGGATTCAAGAGTGATTGAGTTTAAAAACTAACTGGTGGCACAGAGGATTGCTAGATGCATCTGGGTACATTATCTCACACCTTCAATCCCTCTTGGTTAAAATAGGAATAATAACAGCCTACCTTGTAACGTTTGTCACTGAGGGTGAATAACATGAAGATTACAAAGCACTTTGCACTCTCAAAGTGCTACTATGCAGATGACAGACAATGCAAATGGTGAAAAACAACTCATGACAAGTCCATAAAAGCCATCTCGGCTGGACATGATAGCAGCAGCCCATCTGATCTTGTATCGTCCTTGTGGCGGCAAAGACTTGTCCAAACAGGAGAGATGCGGGGGGGGGGGGGAGGAAGGAAAGAATGGAGGTCAGTGGGGAAGGTCAGTGTCAATGCCAGCAGTTCCTACACAGGTTGGCAGCAGCCACTGTGCAACCTCCACCTTCACCTCCAATGTGATGTGAGTCTTCAAAGCAATGCCTGCTCATAGGAAAGCCCGACCCAATGTAGTTTTTCTCCCCCGAGAAAGATCACAAGAATGAGACCTCCATGTGATTGGGTGTCCTTGTGCAGTGCCCAGCTAATGCCCTGCAGAGGGAAGACTCTATGAACCTGGAACTAAGGGTACTACATCAGACAACAGATCCATCGGATTCAGTCTTGTCTACAGTGGCTTAGCTCATATATAACACGAACCTAAGGTTTGTTAAACTATGGTTATGGAGGAATCCTGCCCAACTGATTATCTATGGTTGGTTTACTGCCAGCCATAGTTTATTGTTGGCTCACAAACCTTGCTTTGTTTAACTATGGCTTGATTCTCCTCCCGCCCACCAATTCACCTAATCCTGCTCATGGTCATCCATCTTTCTCCTGCTTGCATTCCAGATGTTAGTCTGGATTCAACCTTGCATGCTGAAAGTTGAAAGTGTCCACTGTTGGGGCATGTGGTAAATCCAAACCCTATCGCTGCACATTTACCGGGGGGAGGGAGCCCCGTTGAATACAGTGGGTCTTACTTCTGAGTAAACATGTAATACACAAAACGAGGAACAGCCTATGGAACAAACAACAATGAAAATGAATGGAAGTGATGAACAGGACATAGACAAAGAGGCACATGACACATTTTTATTAGAAAAAAATATATATTCAGGCACAGGGTTTGTTTGCTTTTTCTTAACTATGCGACTCCTCTCACATACTTGAATTGAAATTTACATTCTGGCAGTCCAGAGTATACTATAACAAAGGTGACTGGTGTGTAGGTTCTCTAAGGCTAAAGAATGCAAGATGCCCTTCATGCAATTAGAAATTAAAATTACAGAGCAGGGAAGGGTAATTCAAATCCAGGTTGAACCCCTGGTGGAGAGAACAGGAGGGCTTTGGCCCCTCTATAGTGCTGACCTGGACTGGAGGTCCTACCATCACAGCCACTGCCGCCTGCCATTTGCTTTGAAAGATTAGCCCCCATTCCCCATGCAAGGGGAGCTTTTACTCAAATAGCCCCCCCCCCAAATCTGGACCAGAACCACAGCAGCAGGCAAAAAGGGTAACACCCCTACCCGGACTGCCAGGTTACCAAACCACACTGGGCTCTCTTTCTTTAAAATTGCCATGCAATTGCTAATTGAGTGCAATGGTAATCTCCCCAAGTTTTAACATCCAGTGGTTACTGAAACAAAAAGCACCCCTTTGTTCGCAGGACATTCTTATGATTCTCAGACTGCAAGACTGATAGCGATCGAAAATATATGGCGTCCGAAACTGGAGCCCACTACTATGACCCTGTGTTGCATCCTGATTCTGAGATACACAAATTTGGAAAAGAAATGGCCTGAATAAAACATGCTCTTTGCCAGTTCAGAAGAGCCTACGAGATGCCATTTTTACCACCCCGCAGCAACCATCAAGGGTACTAAAAACAGGCAGACAAAGGTGGCCTGTAAACAGAGCCACGTAGACACAAAGAGCCCTAGCCCAGTTTCAAGAGTATTTAACTGACCCAGCCATGTCCCCCAAGGAGAGGATTTGGCTTCAAACTCCTGTTCCCAGCACAAAAGGAGGTCTTTTCTCACTACAAAGAAATAAACCTCTTTGTGAAAAAGAGAAATATCATGCTGGATGTAAGCTCCGCTTCTTCCAAAATGCTTTCATTCTTGTATTCCGAATACACAATTCTCAGAGGAGCAACTCCTCTTGTAACTGCCTGTCAGAAAGCGCCACCGGATGAAAGTGTTACATCCAGAAGCCAGCTTCAATGTGCATCAAAGTCAATGGAAGCTTACACTGAACCATCATAAACAAGCTTTATCAGAGAAGAGCCTATCAGCACACCAAGGCTGCAGCAGCTGTGAGCGATATTTAACACTGTCCCAAGCACACCTTTTCTGCCTCCTGTTGCACAGCATGGGGGCGCGCTCTCCCCAAACCCAATTACAGCACAATGTGGCCTGATGGAAACACGGTGCTTAAACTTCAGAGCAGAAATGCTTTACCATCTGCTACCAGTTCCCTTGTTTTCCTACAGAGCAGAGGTTCCCCACAGTTCGGAAAAGTAATTCTGACCTAGTTACAAATACCTGTTGTCTTGTGTTTGCATGGCAAATATATTCATGAATTGGAAATTCAAAAATGCTAAAATATGAGTGACAGCAAACAAACAAACAAACAGCAGCAAAAAAGAGGAAGCAATTACTTTTCCAAGTAGCTGCAATTTCATGAGGATGACTTCAAAAGAGCCCTGGGCAAAGACATGAGATTAGGGAAGTGTTCGCTGCAGAAGGGAAGCTCAATTTAGCAGAAACTTCCCATGTTGTGATGCGGGATTTCAGGAGGCGGTTCTGCATTAACCAAGACTGTAAATGTGGACTAACGCTCTGACCTCAGATGTTTCACCTGGGGCTTTTAAGATACAAACCACCTAACCAGACTCATCATTTCCTTGGCAGCAGGGCTGTCTTAATCAGTGATCCAGTTGACAGAGCGCTAGTTTTGGAGCCAGGAATCCTAGATGTGACTATCACCCTCCGCCATGAGCTAAGGCCCACCTTTGCAGAATGAGAAGAACAGCAGTGAATCCCACGGGGTTCTTGTTGGGATGAACAAGACTGTAAAAGCACTTTGCAAATTTGAAGGTGCTGTGTGCCATAGCAAGTAACAACGATAACAGACTCAATGTAAACAATTGCATAATAATAAAATAAATATATATAAATAAAACGGGGGGGGGCATCGTTGGACATTGGCTGGGAAATCTGTTTCATGTTGCAGTGCACCCTGGGAAACACATCTTCCTGAACCACTCAGCTTAAATAGCTTTATAAAAGGGGTACAGACCAATTTAGGAATGATTCATCTATAAACGGCTATTGTCCATGACGGTTAAAGAGTATGTTGCTGATTACCAGTTGCTTGGGGGGTGGGCAGGGCAACAGAGGAAGCTGCCTTATACCGAATCAGACCCTTGGTCCATCCAGCTCAATACTATTGACACCAACTACCAGTGCGTCTCCAGGATTTCTGAGGGGGGGTCTCTCTCCCAGACCTGCCTGGAGATGCCACTGGGCATTCCACCTGGGACCTTCTGCATGCAAAGTAGATTCTCTGCACTGAGCCAGGACCCTTCTACTTGTGGTCTTCAAGTCTGGCTTGTGAGCTTCCTGGAAGCATCTGGCAGGCAAGTCTGGGAACCAGGATGCTAGACTAGATAAATCTTTGGACCATTTCCAGCTGGGGTTTTTTCCTTAAAGCAGCAACATCTAAGGCCTAAGAAATGGACACTTTCCATCACCAGACCCTTCATCAAGACTCTCCCTGCCAGAAGGAAGAGCCAGGGTCTGCAAATGATCCGGCTGCCAGTGCAAGGAGATGCACTGTGTCCTCCCTGAGGCTAACACACCTGGTCCTCCCTGGCCCTGGGACATGTCTGGGAGCAGAAATTCTCTGCGCTCTCCATGGAGCAGCAGCTGAGACAGCCATGCTACCAGCAGCAGCAACACAGAACACCAGGAGGAAGAAGCACATTTGCGATCATCACCATCGCCAATACCCCAAGCCTTTAAAAGCCATCGCTGCCTTTTGAAAGAACCTCATTATCATGTTATTATGGGTATCTTTTCACTCACTGTCAGCCACTATAGAAGCCTGTTCTTAAGAGAGCAAAGCAGAATGTCAACGTCATAATGTTCATTTCCCCTTTGTCCCTTCTGAGCCAGTTCTCAGCAATGGAATGTCGAAGCAAGAACAGAACGGAAAAGATGAGAAGGACCTTTCCCAGGGATGAGTCAAATAAAGATGCAGATGAAACTGGAAAGGAATGTATTTGATGATGATGATGATGATGATGATGATGATGATGGGCCAGAGAGAATGAAGGACAAGAGAGTGAAGGCATCATCCAGTGGGCGTCTTCACAACTAGCCGGCATGGAGAGCATCCAGAGCAGCACAGAAGGCGGCTTACGGTTCATTACCAAAGGTAGTACAAGATGTAGTTGCCGTAACTACCTAGTAGGGCCAGGAAGCAAATGCAGATGGCAAACATGGAGCTGAAGCTCAGCCCAGCGTCTTTGTGGAAGATGGCTAGTGTGATTTCACAGTTGCGGCCGGAGTAGCCGTCGGGGCAGTGGCATCGGAACTTGCTTGCCGACTGGGAGATGCAGGTGCCAAAGTTACAGGGCCTCTGAGCACATGCCGTGTAAACACAGTGCCGGCCGGTGACGTTCTCCACCAACATGTGTCCTGGAGGGCAGCTGGAAAGACACAGAAGGCAAATCAAACTCCTTGGCATTAACCTCGCTGCTGGCCCAAGCAAAGCTCCAGGGTGCCGCAATCCAGATTAATTTCACACCCTCATTTCAGCTTCAGTAGGAGCCAGTTCCAATGTAATGAAATTTGCTCACAGATGATCCTCTTGAGCTGGATTCCTGGAATGGGCCCAGTTCACAGGACCGCATTCCAGCAATGTTTACTGGGTGGGGGAGGGGGGATATTTTTTAAAAAAAAACCTCCGCAAATGCAGAAAGTGTCTCGTAGCACCTTAAAAACTAATGGATTTATCCTGGCATGTTTTTGCAAATCAAGAGACCACTTCATCAGATGCCTCAGATGGACAGCGTATCGCACTTGTGCAACAATGGGGACGATCCAATTTGAAAGTGGGAGTAAAAGATGAATGAAGGAACCCTAAAAGCAGTTGCGAAAAACATGGAGATCAATCAAATGCCAGTCATCAGGCGCATGCTTGAAAATCCCCAGTTTTGCAGCCCCAGAGTAACAGAAGAAGGTATAGTGCCCCCCCCATTCTGCGCTTAAGTTGGAGGATGCCTGGGAGCAGCACATCAAAAAGCACAAGGGGCTACTGCTCAAATAATATCTAGCACTTCCCACCAAATATGAGGGGTTTCTGTTCAAGCCCTAGACGGGCAGGCTGCTCCCGCCTTCTGATTTCACCGAGGGGGATTTGTTACCTGCACTCATGCATCATCCACAAGTCAATGCAGATGAATTGCTGGCTGCAGGGATTGCTCTTGCAAGCTTCGGAAAGGCAGCCTTTTCTCACTCCTTGGGCACTCAGCACAAGCTCCTTAGGGTAAGAATCTAGAGGTAGCCTGTAGTTATTGAATCTGACATCCTTCATGCATCCTAAGGCAAAATACAAAACAGACTTGATGTGGAAAGCTCTTGATCAAGAGCTATTTTTGAAAGAGATGTCGCAGCACTGTAAGGCCGAGTTATGTGCTACGTTTAACAACAGGCTGAAGCTGGAGAAGTTGAGATGCAGGTCAGATCCTGCCTACCCAACCCCTTCTGGCTCACAGAACTGCATTGCAAAATCGGGAGAAGTGCAAATTTTGGAGGATGGCCGTGCTTTGGTTTGAATATTGTTTTGGAATGTGCAACTAATTGGGTCGATTCACATTAAAATGCGAACTGAACTGGATTTCTCCATCCCTCTACTTGAAGAACGTTGTTGGGACACACAAATGTAAGGGGAGCCTGTTGGATCAGGCTAACGGAATATCATGGGTGCTAACCAACAGGCAGCCTTCCCAATAAGCTCTTCAACCTCCAAGGGCCACCATTCCACAAACCTGCCAACCTGGGTTTCTGGCATTCCCACCAGGGAAAAACACACTTTTGTTCAGAGCAAAACAGGGGTGCTATCATTCTACATTTACCTTCCCGCCTCCCCTAGTTTCCACAAGGTATTCACTAGCTAAGATTCCACAGAATGAAAAGTTAAAATAACCAGAAGCTGGGTGGGAAACTGTCACCTTAAGTCTCTTCATTCCTTTTAAATCCTCCAGCTCCGGAGCCGTGCAGAAATAACAAAAGCAAGAGCAACGGATGCAAAATGCTAACACAAAAGCATTGTGAGCACTGCTCCATTGCGGGCTCATAGCTCTTTTAATAGCTAAGTCCCCGTGATGGACAGTTATCCAAGATAACAGGCAGGCTTCTTTTTACCTTGGAAACTGCTGCTCTGATTGACAGGGTATGTGTTGCCAACCACCAAGCTGTTGGGATCAATTATGATCTCTTTGTAGGCGCCGGCTGCCTTCAGGATTTCTCTCTTCCCGCCTCCTCCATCCAGGCGAAGAATGAACTCGTTCTCATTTCTCTCCAGGGAAACGTGATGCCACTCTCCATTATCCACTTGGTAGGAGGGGAGGCTCACCGCAGCCGCTCCATCTCCCAGGTTGTAAGACACTGCTAAGAACCCCTGGACCACCTTGCAGAAATCCAGGAATCGGTGTCAATCATTTATTTATTATTATTATTTTGCATGCAGTACGATAAGGTTCTGGGTAATTCTGAAGAAGAGAGCAAGGGCAGGGGGAACAACTCCACAAATTAAATGACTGTGTGTGTTGCACTAAAGGTTCATTTATTTCTTGCAAGGATAGGGAGTCTGTTTCAGGGGGCGGGGGGGGAGAGATGTTTTCTGGACTGGCAGATGCGTTTTCTTTTGATAGGGTTTCCCAACCCCTTTACATTTTGTGTAACTGCTTTTAAGCTAGCCATTCAGCAGAGTCATATTCAATAAAAAATAACAGCAGTAGCAGCAGTTGTGCTGTCACATGAAAGCATGGAGGATTCACAAACTGATGGCATCAGCAGAGGATTTTGAGCATCAAGAACTCAGCTAAATTGGAAGGAGGGATTTAAAATGCATTTTAACACTGTGACACCAGATGGCGCAATAGAGTTCAATCCTTCGGCAACATGATTTCCCATTATGAGTTTTACAACGTGTTTTCCTGAATTTTTTTTTGATGTGTCTAGATCCAGCCCAAATGTCTAAGAATGTGAACTACTTAGACATTCTGCAAATTTGGAGTTAAAATACACATCTTCTTGAAAATTCGATTTGTTGTTGTCTAGTGCCTAGACATATGGTTCATTCGCCAACCCCTTCTTGAGTAATAATTTCCAGAGAAGTAGCCATGTTCATCTGCTGCAGTAAAAGCAACAAGGAGTCTTACAGTATCTTAAAGAAAAACAAAGCTTAATATAATGATATATGTATTAGTCTTTAAGGTGCTACAAGATTCTTTGTTGATTTTCTACCTAATTTAAACTATCTTCATGTGTACCTACTCCAACATCACTTGGAGACTATGTAGGCTGACCACACATTGTACAAAAAAAAACCCTGTTCATGCTATCAATTTGAGCATATTCTCCGTGCCTTCCCAGGAATGTTGTATAGTCAGTAGTGTTTACACACACACACCTCACTAAATAAATGTAAACATTCCCGCTCTACAAGTAACTACAGCTGAAGTCTAGGGAACAGTTTCAGTGATGCCCTCCTCTTGCTTGAGTTCACTTATATTTTTCTGCAAAATAGGACAGTCAAAACAGCTACCAAAAATGTCCCCTCATTCTCAGAAGCCCTGCACCACTGCATCAAACCATCATTTACTAGCAGAGCGTGCAGAGGGGAGACCATCCAAATTATTCCATTAATGAGATAGTCACCTAAACCGCAGTGCTCATTATACAGGAATGAACTTTCCAATATCAGCAGAGGGAGCACAGAGTGTATTAGAATAATTTGATAGTTCCACTGACTGAGGACCAGTTCATATTGGCTACGTTCAGGCATCAAGATAAACTGTGCTTTAACACCATGAAAAAAAGTCTTGGGCACCCCTTCCTCACCCCAGCCTTGGCCATGAGGAGTTGGGAAGCATTTGTTGCTGAGTCTGATTGACCTCAGCTTAGCATTCCATTTGAATCCTACAATGTGGTTAACCTTAATGATGGTTTGTTAAAACTTTTATCATCCGTGGTTTGAAGCTGGATTCTTTCAAGCAAATCTTAGCTAAGAGTAAACCCATTTATCATACGTTTAATCACAGAATGCCGCAGTTAATTAAAAAAAAAAGGAAGTAGAAGCTTTCAAAACCATCATGACCATGCCAGAGTAGAGTGGTGAACGTATGAGAGCCTGATGCTCATTTTTGTTCATTCCTATGACAACAAGGCATGGTGCATCATGACATCTGAATACAGCTGCTCTCAATTTCCTCAACATAGGTTTTGTACACAGGTACAAGATTGTATGAAGACAGTCTATCTGGAACAAGACTATACATGCTAAGGGGTAGCAGCCCATTTCTATAATCACAGCTGCTGAGTAAAAAATACATATTCAGCTATGGAAATGTCTGCTGGTCCTCACCACCTTTATGGACTGGTTGACACTAACACTTCCTCATAAGACGGCAAACCAGCTTGCAGGAATTTAGGTGTCCATTGGCCCTAAGGTTTGATAATGAGAACCCTAAGGTACTTTAGAAACCATAGCAATTTCTATAAATTCACGTTTTACAGAACAGTATGGCTGTTCTGAATTTCTCTAGAAAGGAGTGTGTGGAGACGGAAAAATCAAGGCCACAGGTGGATTATAAAGCAAGAAAGATGAGCACACTGCATCAGGAGAGAGACCTTTTCCATCTATGGCTCGCTGGTTCAGAAGAGAATTAACTCTGAACTGACATTGACCATCGCTCCTCATTTACCTGCAGGGTGATGTGTTCATCCTTGTTGCGGGAAGACATGCTCAGGATGATACCGTTGGGCTCTCGCATCCTTATCATGGCATCTGCTACTGTTCTACGGGCAGGTATGGAAAAGGGAAGCTGATAGCATATGTGACTCCCAGGCCCAAATGAAGATTCTTCAGCAGCTGGAAGAATTGGGGAAGGAAAAGTGCTTTCTTATACACACAAACAAACAAACAAACAAACAAACAGGAAGGTGCTTGCATATATAGATATAGATATATACCCACACACACATACATACATACATACATACATAGCATTCACAATGGAAAATGAGACGCTGAAGTATATCACTAAAAGGCTCTTATCAGCATTACATATTAAGTTCAGACTTGTAATTGGGGAGTAGCCTGGTTGTCTGCAGCAAGCAAAAACAGCCTCTAGTTAAGCAGGCACAGCGTTATGGCCACTGCATGAGAGCTGCTCCAAGAAAACCACACAAAGAAAAAAAATCAGAGTGCCCAGGCAGTAAAGAAAGTAAGTGGTCTCACCAGGTTCCAAAATCTCAGTTAAGAACATGCCCACTGTCACAGCCAGTGGGCTCCTAGGGTTGAGAGAAGTCATAGTCCAGCAGCATAAAGGTAAAGGGTAAAGGGACCCCTGACCGTTAGGTCCAGTCGTGGCTGACTCTGGGGTTGCGGCATTCATCTCGCTTTATTGGCCGAGGGAGCCAGCAAACAGCATGACTAAGCCGCTTCTGGCGAACCAGAGCAGTGCACAGAAACGCCGTTTACCTTCCCGCCAGAGCGGTACCTATTTATCTACTTGCACTTTGACGTGCTTTCGAACTGCTAGGTTGGCAGGAGCAGGGACCGAGCAACGGGAGCTCACCCCGTCGCGGGGATTCGAACCGCCGACCTTCTGATCGGCAAGTCCTAGGCTGTGCAGGACCGTGCAGGACCCTAGAGTCCCTTTCCCTAGTCAATGGCCATTGTTTTATCAGCTACAAGGAACCGAGCTGCATGCACAGCAAAACATACACTGCGCTATCTGAACAATGCATGAGGATGACTTCACCTTTGTCACATTTGGAGCCATAGTAACCTGGCAGGCAGTGGCAGGTAAACGAGTCCCACTCGCCAAGGCATTGCCCATGGAGGCCACAGGGAGAGGAGCCCATCTTTTCACAGCTGCCGTCTGTCCAGGTGCAGCCAGGAGAACTATTCAGAGACTCCGCTGGAGACTCAAGGTCATACACCTTTAAACAAAAAAGGAAAAAGCATCAAGGCTACTTGCAAAAGGAGGAACTTTGAAATGGACTTCTGGCTTCCCGCCTTCCCAGAAAAATACAACTTCCCTGCCTTCTGAACACACTAGCTACCAAATCCCTGGTGTCACAAGTGCTATATGTAGTTACAGCCTCTAAAACAGGGGTGGCAAACCCTTTTGGTTGCAAGAGCAACACTGATGGTTAGGCAACCGTCAGGCCACACACACACACAACCAGATATACAGTCTCACATGCTTTATCTGCTTGCATGTGCAGTGACTGAATTCGGGTAACCACTTTTACAAAATAAATGATACAAGTGACAGCACTATCTGCTAGTGTCTCCTCAAGCTTGCTCCCCACCTTTTCTTGAGCAAGCAAGCAGTCAATCAAACAAAGTGAGTTTTGTTTGTTGGCAGGCAATAATGAGCAGTTATGTTAAGCAGTGGTAAGAACTTCCAAAAGTTTAAAAGGTTAAAAAGATATTTTTAAGCCTTGGAATAAAGTTTAAAACCTGTGTAGATAAACGCTGAGGACGCTGGAGAGGCAGGTATTGGATTCCCTTTGAAGCTGATTTACGATTCTTAGCTCCTCCAGGAATAAAAGAACACCAAAAACAGCCTTGCCCCCAGTGAATTAGATAGCCGCTCAACCAGCGACAGCACTATCACTTATGAAAAACAAACAAACCCCAATGAAACAATTAAACAGCCTAGGGAGCTCAGTCAGGAATGACCTTTCCCCCAGTCTCACATGCAATCAAACACTCACACCTACATGTGCAATGTACACACTGAAGCACACATGCGTGTGCACACGCGCGCACATGAAATTAGTTTTTCCAGTCTTCCCCACCCCACCACTGGGGGCTGAAAATGCTTCCTTTTACTCTGCACAGAAGGACCCCTAAATTTTGTCCCATAGCTCAAGGGCAGGGTGCCTGCTTGGCATGCAGAAGACTCCAGATTCAATTACTGGCGGCATCACCAATTAAAAGGTTCAAGTAGCAGGTATGGGGAAAGTTGCCTCCAACTCTAAAATTCTATTTGTCTATGGTTCTGCACATGCAATAGAGAGAAGTGGTGTAGAGAGAAGTGAGGGGCAGATGAGGCTCATCAATCTGGGGACGTAGCCAATCTAGGAGAAGGAAAACTCTGATCCTAGACCTCTGCTGCCTTGTGGGAGAAGAAAAGGCTAAGAAGTGAACTCCAGAGGGGAGTCCCTAAGACAGTTGGATGGCACCTTGTACACCTCCTTCCAGCAACTCCTGCAGCCAAGCTGGTGCCAAATGTATCAGTCTGCTTTCCTTTGGACCACATCAGTGAGATTGAGAGTGGGGTCTTGTCATCTGGGCAGCCCAGGAGCTCCATGCTCACTGCCCAGGCTTGCACCCTGGGGAGGTCACTTTGGTGCTGCTAACACAGCAGCTTGATTCCCCCTGCCCCCGCCAGAGGTGCACTCCATTTTCTCTTGAGACAGATGGATGCCAGCGATGCCACTTACGTGAGTATCCAAAACAAGACTCCGGATACAGCCGGTAAAATGTTTGTGCCGCAACTGGGGGTACGAATATGGAACCGATTCTTTTACTCCGCCCAACTGGAGGACCTGGTTCATATTCAAGTACCTTCAAAACACAGATGTGCTAAATAAGAGATGAATGTTAGTATTATCATGCCACTAAATATACACAGACAATAGCACAGAGTGGGTACACCAAGCACCAGGTTGTTGCTGTTTTTAAAATGCTCCCCAAATAATGGAAGCTGTTATTCCTATTGCAAGGAAATAACTTCCCTGAGTCAAAAGCGTCTTGCAGTCAGAAGGAGTTAACCGATAGCAGGAAAGACATTGCAAATGTGCTCAGTAATTGACGAACATGTTGCGTCTCTATGTTGAAAAAGCAGCAGCATAGCCTGGTCCTATGCTTGTTTATTCAGAACTCGATGAGCATCCCTTTGTTCACTCTAACAGACAGTAGGGCTTTGTGTGCCACAAAAGCCACAGTGGGATGCGCATGATCCAAATGAGCACATTCACATACCTCACAGGTGCTTAAGAAGTAATGCAGCCTTCCCCTTCCCTTGCCTGATGACAAGGAAAATTACCTTTGGGCAGGTAAGGGGGAAACAGAAGAGGCAGCAGCTACAAGTGCCTTTTCCCACTTAAGTGGATGCTACCAGAACCCTAAGCCACATCTCCCTTTGCAGTATTGTTTCATTCTATTGTTCCTACTGAAGAGGCCCTCCTGTCTCAGCAGGAACAGCATGTGCAGTATCACCTTCTTCCTGGGGAGGAAGGGTGTGGCTTAGAGTCCTCTCCAGCAACAAAGTGCTGATACAGCCACCACCACCGCTGCCTTCCCCCTGCCCTAAGGTAGACTGTCAGGGAGCTCTGGTGCAGGAGAAAGGAGACATAGCAGTGACTTCGCAGGATCAGGGTGAACCCAGCCCTATCTGCCCTGCTGTAATCAGGTGTGTGGTTCATACAAGAGCCCCGCTGGATCTGGCCAATGGCCCATCCAGTTCAGTATCCTGTTCTCACAGCGGCCATCTGGATGCCTGTGGAAACCTGCAACCTGGATATGAGCACAAGAGAACTCTCCCCTCTTTTGGCTTCCAGCAACTGGTATTCAGAAGCATTGCTGCCTCTGGTTGTGGAAGCAAAGCACAGTCATCATGGCTAGTAGCCATCAATAGCCCTCTTTTGCTTCTGGAAATTCAAGGAACAGTGCTGGCCTTCACAAGCCCTCCCTCCTGAATGTCTGCAGCTTCACTACACAGAATGGGACCCCCCTGTGCTCCTAGGGGCTTATTTCCAAGTTCACCTGCGCAGGATGGCGGTCAAGTAACCTGAAACTGCACAGAATCCAGTAGGGCTCCGTGTGCCTAATCCTGCACAGGAAGGATTAAACCCACAGAAGCACCTGTAAATGATTTTAGTGAAGTGATTCAGTGAACCTCTGCCTTCATCTTGATAAGTACTTTCATAGATATAAAGATAAAGACATAGATATTCCAATTCTGGAAAGTAATGTAAAGGCTACCTCCTTGACTGTGGAACAAAGGCCACAACCTCACAGTTTGTTCGGTCTTCGGTCGACAACCATTTTCCTACCCCTTCTATCTCTGACACAACTGCAGCTCCACAATGATCCACGGTGAATCGAACATCCTGTGCCAAGGGGGAAAAAGAAATGGAAAGAAAATTGAAAGATTCTCATGTGCAGCCTCAGGCTCTTCGAAGATGAAACTGGAAAACGAGACGTAACAGGAGGAAATGAAAATAAAAGCGACAAGCCTACAAAACGTCAACACAATAGGCAAAGAATCCAGATACAGATATACCAATTGCAGTTGGGCATCCTTTACACTCAGAATGGTTAAGAGCCTGCAGAATCAGGCCAAAGGGGGTCCATCTAGCTCAGTCAAGGGCATCATCTTGGGCCAGTCACTTCCTCTCAGCTTTACCTACCTCATAGGATTGTTGTGAGGATTTTGGAAAGGCAGGAGGAATAACCATTTACACTGCCCTGAGCTCCTAGGAACAAAATTGGGATATAAATGTAGCAAGAGCTGTTCAGCAGTGGAACGGACTCGCTTGGAAGGTGGTGGACTCTCCTTCACTGGAAGTTTATAAACGGAGGTTGGATGGCCACTGGTCAAGGATACTTTAGTTGCGATTCCTGTATTGCACATGGTTGGACTAGATGGTCCTTGGGATCCCTTCCAACTCTACAAGTCTATGAGTCTAAAATAATTATAATAATTCCAATATTCGCAATGTACTCCAAGTCTGCATAAATCAATTAAAATACTTTCTGGCTGCGTTAATGGGTTTCTCCATTCCTCCACTACTTCCTTTTCTTTCCTGGCGCATTCCTTCTATAAACCAGGAGCCTCAAAACCCATCAGGTGCTGCATGGGCAACTCACCTGCCGGCTGCTTCTCACTTCGAGACGGTGCCACCTTTTGTCTGTGAGGTTCACATAACTCGGCAGGTGCAGTTCCACAGTGCCCAGGCCATGGTTGACTTTCAGCACTGGAGTCCCGCCAGAAAGCTCTACGATGAATGAGAAAGAAAAGCGCAGAGTTGGACTGGGACCCAGGATGGCCGTGGGACGGAAGCAAGGAGGCAGTTTGTGTTGACTCTAAGCCCCTGAATCTGGGCCAAAATGTGTCACTTGCAGTTGCAAGAACCTTTCTTTTAAGAAACAGTAAACCCAGGATTCCTTCTGTTCCCTTCCTTCTGTGTCCTGTTCCCTTCCAAAACATGACAGGGGCTGCTACTTGTGAGTAAAAGCTAGATTTTATTCAGATCTTATTCTATCCTTATTCAGGCTCAGCAGAAAGCACAGAGTCCAGAAGTCATGATTCCAAACTCCTGATTAAAATCCCTCTCTCCAAGCTGCTGTGAGACACAGGAGGGAGACTGAGGTCCTCCCCTACCAGCTGTAGAGACTTATAGCACAATCCAAAAACCTAGAAGTAAGTCAGACTGAATTCAATGAGGCTTACTCTCAAGTTAAGGGGGGAGTTAGGATTGCAGGGTTGTTCACAATTCTGCCTCCCCCCCCCCATTTGGATGGTCAACACTGCCACTTGTGAGACAACAACTATAATAAGAGAGACGGGGACAACATAAAACATTCCGTCACACCCTACATACTTCGACTTAGGGTGTGACCAGATTGCTGCTATTTTTAGGGTGGGATTCAATCACATACAAGCAAATTCAGGTTTCACAAGAACAGAATCATAGAACTGTGTAGAATCGGAAGGAACCCCAACCCCCTGAAAACAGCTATCCCACAGCTATCCCTGGATTGCCTCAAACCACCAACTTCTGGTTAACAGCCAGACGCACTGACCCACTGCTCCACGGGAGGTGCTTTTATGGATAGCTGGTTGGGTGGTCTTACCCCCAAAAAGATCAGTCTTCTTTCAACAAAGGAAGTGACTAAAGCAACTGAAAGTGTGAGGAAAACGCTTGTTTTCATGCAACATCATCTAACCTCCCTGCAAAAACATCCCAGTGAACGCTCATTAAATATAGCTAACATCCCTGCAAACAAACCAGGATGAATTCTCAATAAACAGGGCATCTGGAAGCACCCTAACAATACTTTGAAAAGAAAAGAGAAAGTGACTATAGTTTTCGTTCAATCTTCCCCTTCCCAAAAATAGATTTGCTATTTCCACCAAGCCATGTGAAAATAACATGAAGAAGTAAGGCTTCATTAATCATGCAATACCTGCCTCAAAATAATTTGAAATACTCAAAGCAATAGATGCTTCCCAGTGGGATCTTTTTGACAGAAGGTCTGCTTCGTTTTCCCTTTGATGACTTCAACTCAAGAGATGAGCCAGAAGCCACACTCAGAAAGCACTAAAAACACCCATCGCTACATCATTCAGTGGCCCTGCTCGCATGTCACAGTGAACCAGTTACCGTGAACTCGGGAGATTGCTTCTGCTTCGCTTCTCCCCTAACACAAACAGGGAGAATAAACCACATTGCTCATAGATACAGCAGAACTGGGAGTTGCGGTTTGTTTCACTCAAACAAACCATGACCAAGAAGCACCATCATGGTTAGTTTGAAGCAAAACAAATTCCAATCCCCAGGTTGGTTGCAATGCTCAGTCAGGGTTCGTGGTTTGTTGTTCCCGGTTTTGTTTGGGGAGGAGCCAACTGGGAGCCGTTTGCACATTAACAGCAAACCATTCACTATGGTTTGCCATGATGTGCAAATGCAACCATTGTCTTTTTTTAAAGGACTGGCATACCATTAGGGAACATAAGCAGCCCTGCTAAAGTGCATGTGCTAAACAAGTTCAGATTTCTCACCCCACCCCCCACCCCCCAAAATCTGTATCTCATACCAAAGGAACAGTGGCCTGGCTCATATGTCCCAGTAAACCATAGCTAAAATAAGTTAAGGTTTAATGTCAACAAGCAGCATGGTGGTGCTGGGACTGCCTTTTGCAATAAAAAGGTACCCAAAGGCTTATAAAATCCCTATTTTAGCTTAAAATGTGTACAAATGTGCATTTCAAATTAAAATGTGTGTTTTAGGGTAAAACGCATAACAAAAAAGATATTATTTTCTGCCGTTAAAAAAAATAAATCACAGAAAAGTGTGGAAAGAGGAGAGAATAGACCTGGAACATATGGAAATCTGACATGGACTGGAACTAGACTCTTCCACCCATGCCTGCTTCTATGGCACAGTACAGTGGTACCTTGGTTCTCGAAAATCAAGGCGCAGCTTCCGATTGGCTGCAGGAGCTTATTGCACTCAATTGGAAGCCACATCGGACGTTCGGCTTCCAAAAAAACGTTCACAAACTGGAACACTTACTTCCAGGTTTGCAGCATTCAGGAGCTGATTTGTTCGGGAGCCAAGTCATTCAAGTACCAAGGTATCACTGTATACAACATTCATGGCTAACAAATGTGCATTTTTATACTATTTTGTCTGTGGGGGATTTAAATGTGATTCAGCTCTTCAAAAACAATCCAGGATACTGCCTAGCAACACTTCATCATTATCAAGTAAAACACCTGTCCTTAAATACCTTAATTAACCTCCCAGGCGGCAAAGAATTGCACCCTCTTTTTATATTAGTTTGTTATGGGCATGTATTTTGTTAGAAGAGCTGCAAATTCCATATGTGTTTGCGTGGGTGTGTTGGCAAAGAAACGGGTGGGGGGGAATTGTGCTCCCTACTGGGGACAGCAGGGGTGGAGATGCATACAAAATTGTGGAAAGGTGCCTTCCTCTGTTCAACTTTCCCTGCTTTTTTAAGCAGACACCATTTTTTGGCCAGGAATATGTAGTAAGGTAAGGAAAGTGGGGCAGGCACACAATGTAGGAATCTGTCCTCCTCTCCAAGGAAATATATATTATTGGGCAGCCTATATAAATGTAATAGGATGCGGGTGGCGCTATGGGTTAAACCACAGAGCCTAGGGCTTGCCGATCAGAAGGTCGGCGGTTCAAATCCCTGCAATGGGGTGAGCTCCCGTTGTTCAGTCCCTGCTCCTGCCAACCTAGCAGTTCGAAAGCACAAAAGTGCAAGTAGATAAATAGGTACCACTCCAGCGGGAAGGTAAACAGTGTTTCCGTGTGCTGCTGTGGTTCGCAAGAAGCGGCTTAGTCATGCTGGCCACATGACCCGGAAGCTGTATGCCGGCTCCCTCGGCCAACAAAGCGAGATGAGTGCCGCAACCCCAGAGTCATCCGTGACTGGACCTAATGGTCAGGGGTCCCTTTACCTTTACCTATATAAATGTAGTTAATAAATTAAAAAAAATCTCGGCAGCTTACCATCATACAACCTGCCTGTCTGAATGAACTAAATAGCTGAATGAACTAAATAGCTGTGATAAACAGATGAGCAACATCACTTGGGATTGTCGCGATGATCTCCCTGCAACCCCTGTAATTGTGTATTTCTGTGGGCAATGTGAGGTTCCACCAATCAAATGCAAATACCTATTGCAATGAAGTTTTCTGAGTTCCCAGGTCCCGATTCTGACAGGGGGCCATTGTATAGCAAAAGCCCATCTGGAACATTGGTAATAAACTCGAGGGAGAGGGAGCTCTCAAAGCAAGGTCTGATGGGGCGGAACCAGGCATAGCCATTTCCATGGAAACTGTGCTTTGTCTGCTGGCAATCTGGTCCATGAAACGAAGCAGAACAATGGCACCTGAAACAAACAAAAGCAAAAGAGTAAACTTTTAATTATACAGCATTCATTATTACTATTCACATGTACACGGCACTTTGCAAAGAATGACAAGGCAGGTCCCTGCCCCAAGTGACTTACAATCTAAAAACAGACACAAGGAAGACAACAGAGGAAGGAGAGAGGGAAGGAGGCAGAGAGGACTGAAGGCTTAAAGAACAAGGATTTGTATGATTTTATATAATTTATTAACAATAATACAGTTATCTCCCTTCCGTCTCAGTCACAGCAGCCACTATGGAGAAATTATCTTAGCACTTTAGATTTAAGTATACCCTGTGGGTGTGAGCTTAATCTGAAATGTAAAAGGTTCCCCAGCTTTGTTCTGATGCCATGCGGATGGACTGCATACAAGGCTGAACATCACATACATACATTTGTCTCGGAAGGCAACACTTTATGTTGTTAGGCAATTGTTTTAAAAATGTTCAATAAAGTTAAGAAAGAAAGAAAGAAAGAAAGAAAGAAAGAAAGAAAGAAAGAAAGAAAGAAAGAAAGAGAAAACAAGGACCTCTTAAAAGGTCCATGCACTCCCTCCTCCCTTTTTAACACAGTAGTTTTATAGCTTGACTTCTTATAAGAGGAAAACAAGAGGGATGGGGAATGTGCGAAACAGAGTCTTTTCTCACCTGTAACCATTCAGCATGTCAATGCAAGTTCCTCCATTGAAACAGGGGTTGTGAGAGTACGAGCTACATGACCGGTGGACTCTCTCTCTAGCTGCACAGGTGCAGACGGCGCTGACGCTGGTTGTTATGGAGACAAGTGACACACTTCCAGTGTCCATCACTGTGGGGATGTCACTCACCGTGATGTAGTTCACGCACCCGCTGCTGCCGCTGCAGTCTGTCCTGTGGCATTCATCCACATCAACCTGAGAAACGTTCACTCCTAAAGCCAGCTGGATCTAAAGGGACAAACAGCCGCCACACTGCTTAGCAAAAAGGGCTTCCCAATCCTCCCAGTCAGTTTTCTGCGTCTACAACATAAACGTTTGTCGTCACTGAACACGTGTCCTCATCGTTCTGATTGCAACACTTAGAATCATAGATTTGTAGAGCTGGAAGGGGCCCATCCACCCAATGCCCTGCAGAGCAGGAGGTGAAGCTAAAGAACCCCTGGCAGATGGTCATCTGACCCCTGCTTTAAAACCTCCAGTGAAGGAAAATCTGCCATCTTCCAGAGGGAGGGAATTCCACTGCCTAATGGCTCTTACTGTCAGAAAGTTCTTCCAAAGGTTTAGTCAGAATCTCCTTTCTTGCAATTTGAATCTAATGAAATATTTTAATTTAGTCAACTATGTAACAGGCTTATGTTACAAAACAAATATGGATTTTGAATTTGATGTTTGTAATTCTTTTTTGGTTTTGGAATAAAGTTTTAAAAAAGAAAGAATCTAATGGTAACAACAACAACAACAACATTTATGCCATCTGGCTGGGTTTCCCCAGCCACTCTGGGCAGCTCCCAACAGAATATTAAAAACACAATAAAACATCAAACAATAAAAACTTCCCTAAACAGGGTTGCCTTCTAAAAATCAGATAGTTGTTTATTTCCTTGACATCTGATGGGAGGGCGTTCCATAGGCAGGCACCACTACCGAGAAGGCCCTCTGCCTGGTTCCCTGTAATCTTACTTCTCGCAGCGAGGGAACCACCAGAAGGCCCTCGGCGCTGGACCACAGTGTCCGGGCAGAACAATGAGGGTGGAGATACTCCTTCAGGTATACTTGGTTGAGGCTGTTTCAGGCTTTAAAGGTCAGCGCCAACACTTTGAATTGTGCTCAGAAACATACTGGGAGCCAATGTAGGTATTTCAGGACCAGTGTTATATGGTCCCAGTCATCAGTTTAGCTGCCACATTCTGGATAAGTTGTAGTTTCTGGGTCACCTTCAAAGGTAGCCCCACATAGAGCACACTGCAGTAGTCCAAGTGAGAGATAACCAGGGCATGCACCACTCTGGTGAGACAGTCTGCGGGCAGGTAGGGTCTCAGCCTGCGTACCAGAGGCCTCCCCTCCGGAGCAGCAAAAAAACAAGCTGGTTCCATCTTCCATGTGACTTTTGGAAAGGCCACAGATGTAGTAGAGCACATGCCGAAAAGCCCTGGATTCAATCCCTGGCATCTCCACTCCCATCAACCCCAGCCAGCACAACGGCCAGGGGCCAGGGGTGTTGGGAGCTGTTCTCTAACAATGTCTGGAGGGCTGTAAGCTCCCAATCCCTACATGGACTAATTGTCTGAGCTGGAACAAGGCAGCTTCCCACTCTTAAAAATACGTTTGCTCCATCCACAAGCCTTTCTCCCCGTGACAGTCCACTGGGTTGCGATACATTTCCTCTGGAGTCAATGGGATTCTGTCTTGCGTCCTGAAAGGACCTGCACGTCAGCCAACATCACATCAGCCCAGACGGCAGACGGGTTGCAGCCTCACCTTGCTTTTGAAGGCAGCTACCTGTCCCAGCAGTTTCTCTGGCCTGTAATAGGAGGAGCCATTTTGAACCGCAAATCTCACGTCAGTCTGTCTCCCGTCTATATTTGTCACGCTGAAAACAACGATGTCCTCAAGGCGGACTGAGAAGATGCCTGCCAGAAGATCCTTAAACTTGTCGTGCCTGCTCTCCTCAGGCTCGTCCTTCCTTATGAACTCTTCTGCAGTCATGTCTGATAGGGAGATGGGTGGTTTAAAAACAAAACCAGCTTATCGGTCAAAGAGTCTCAGGACATGCAGTTAACTACTTCATATATGTTTATTTGAGACACACACACACACACACACACACACACACACACCTGTTCCCATTTCTAAGCAGTGCACACAATCCTCAGAAAACAGGACAATAAAAGAATAAAAATATATCATAAAACCAACTATATTTAAAGCTATTTTTACACTTCACTTCCTTCCCTTTTCCCAAGGAACTCGTGGCAACGTACATGGTTCCTCCAAGCCCCATTTTATCCTTACAGGTTAGAGCATGGGTGGGCAAACTAAGGCCCGGGGGCCAGATCCGGCCCAATCACCTTCAAAATTCGGCCCACAGACGGTCCGGGAATCAGCATGTTTTTACATGAGTAGAATGTGTCCTTTTATTTACAATGCATCTCTGGGTTATTAGTGGGGCATAGGAATTTGTTCGTTTTTTTCCTTCAAAATATAGTCCGGCCCCCCACAAGGTCTGAGGGACAGTTTTTCAGCCCACAGCTGAAAAAGTTTACTGACCACTGGGTTAAAGGGTCAACCTGGAGATTTGAACCAGGCTCTCCTTGCTCATAGCCTAGCGCTCTAACCATTACACCATACTGGCTCTCTCACTGGCTTCCACTGCAACCTGGCTAATGTCCATTTGGCATCTAGGAACATAGGAAGCTGCCTTATACAGAGTCAGACCAACTAGCTTAGTACTGCGTACACTAACTGGCAGCAGCTCTCTGGGGTTTCATACTAGAGTCTCTCCTAGCCATTCCTGGAAATGCCAGAGACTCAACACATAAATAAGCTCTCTCTCTCTCTGCCAAAATAGCTCTTCCCGCTAGTTGCCTTTCTTTCATACATTATACGATCACAGACCCGTTAAAACAACAAAGAATGGGAACAAAACGGCTTCCTGATAGTACTCTTGTGAAGTGGTTCGCAACAAATTCCTGTGCACATGTTGTTCAGTAAGTTGGGTTATTTTTAACTCAATTATAACAAATTATGCAAAACCACAAAAAAGCCACATTAGGTAAAGAGAAAGCAGGCGGCTGAAGAGAATCTTTGGTGAGGACCCACAGCTCTGGGGCAGATGCGTGGGGAAGTCTCAGGTCCAATCCCCAATGGCCTCTCTAGTTAGGGCTGGGAAATATTGATGGAGAGCCCCTAAAAGGGGAACCTCAGGCCCCCCAGAAACCAAATACTGCCCTCTAGGTCTCTCTACCTGGTTCTCGGGATTCTCCCCAGCCACGCCCCTCTCCCTAGGCCACACCCCTTGCCAATCCTCCTTTCTTGGCCTTTTCTCCTGGCTGGGATGGAGGACAGAGGGGTGAGTCTGAGTGCTTGTAGCAAATAGTCTACTGTGCAAAGGCAAAAAAAGTGACATCTGTTGCTTCACCTCACGCCCTGCCCACCCCTGGTATGTGACCCCTGGAGGAAATATGGGTTTTTCTGTCTATCTAAATGAGGTCCCTTACCCTGGTTGGCACAAGGCAGCTTCCTTAAACCTATGATCAATGTGTCTCAATTTTTTTACAAGAAACACCAGCAGGCTTGGCTGTTCTGCCAATAGAATTCAGCCCCCCGAGATCAGTAAGAGGTGAGATGTTTCTACGCACGATGGGAATCAAAACTCAGCCGACGAAACAAAACTAACCTGCCAGGCGTACGGTCGCCGAGTTCCGAATGGCTTCGTTTTCTATCTCTTTGACATGTATCTGCACAGTTGCTAGAACGTCAGGCCAGATTCCATCTGACACTCTGATTTTAAACTCGTATGTTCCCTGAGGAGCATTATCCACCATAAGCAAAGAGCCAGTCCTTTGATTCAACCTGAAAGATCTTGAACCACAAAACACACACTCATGGTTCTGCAATCAGTAACATGTCTCATGGGGAACACGCTTCATTCTCAAGGGGCACCATTTTCACCCGGGCCAAGTTTATTTAAACATTCTAGGGGCATTTATTTAGCTGCGTTCTCTGGTTCTTGTTAACACAGGAAGATTTAAGTGGAAGGTGTGCCTCCCTGCACCTGATTTTGCTTCTGTATCCTGTCTGTGGCTAAGCAGTGACCAATTCTGATGTCAATGTCTTCTTGACAAGGATTACTCCTGCAGAGGCAACTGAGTGGGGGGGGGAGCTCTACTTCCTCATTGTAGATTTTACTTACATTAACGTATCTTCCACATACCCAAATTACGTAACATCTACATGTCCGCTGCCCAGGGGAAGACTGGGGAACCGCAGGAGTCCATGCCTCTCTTTCTGGCCCTTCAGGTTCTCCCTACACTACACCCCTCACTAACCCTTGCTTTGCACCCTTCCTTGAGTGTTTTTGCCTGACTGGAATTTGTCCTTGAATTCTGATAATGCCTCTCGTTTCCCTGAATGAAGGACTGGGGGCAGGAGAGAGAGAGTTGAGAGTGTATACAGAAACTGGGCCCCTTTACAAAGGTAACATTTACGTTCCTTGCTCTTCTTACTTTCGCCCACTGGCAAGTTGCTCCGAGGGACCCCGTCTCTGGCCAAGAAGGGGTGAGCATTTGCAAATTCAGAGACGGCAGGCAAGAGCCAGGAGACGGAATAGCACCAACAAGGCTTCCAGGGGCTGGCAACGGGCCTTTTGCTGGGAGATGGTCCTCAGCCGATGCCCTGCTGATGTCAGACCTGGCTTCCGGCAGAGGGCCAACATGCCTTCTTAAACACTCAAGGACATTCTGATGGGTGTGGCTCCACAAAGCATGTATTATTTGAGTGTTGAAGGATGCACATTTGTCATTCACACTTCTAGTTACAGGTAGGTAGCCGCGTTGGTCTGCCGTAGTCAAAACAAAATTTAAAAAATTCCTTCCAGTAGCACCCCAGAGACCAACTAAGTTTGTTATTGATATGAGCTTTTGTGTGCAGGTATCTGAAGAAGTGTGCATGCACACGAAAGTTCATACCAATAACAAACTTAGTTGGTCTCTAAGGTGCTACTGGAAGGAATTTTTTTTATTTTGTATTCACACTTCTGCCAACCTTTGGTGGGGGGACACACAACTGCCGTGCAAAATGCTGGAATGCTATACATACGGTGCCCTGCATTAACCCTGCTTCACACCTTTGGTAAAGGGGGTCTCAGCATTTCATGGCGCAAATGCGGGTGCATCAGTGACACAACAGATTGTCCCAATTGTAACCCGCAATAAATGGCAAGTGCAAGTTTAATAGATTGCCATCTCCATACCAAGCAATAATCTAGGCTTTATATATACAAAGCACACATAACAAAACGTAAGAAAATAATTACAGAAGCATAAATATTAAATATTACTCTGCTTGACACAAATACAATCCTCACTTGTGCATTTTTCCTTCAGAGACAAATGTTTTATTGTCCCAGTCATCCTGGTCGGGTGCAAACACTTCCCCAAGCACCGTTGTCGACCATTTTCCTGTTGAGATAAATTATAATAAATCTGCATTAATTTTTTCCCCTTTTTTCCGAGGAGCTTGATATCCCAGAGCATTTATTGCTGCATTTGTCACTTTTATTGCTGCTTGGCTTTCACAAAGGTTATGATCCAAGACGTTTCAAGTAATGCAATAGCAAGTACTCTGATCTTTCATGTAAGTGCAGCTGGGAAGCTCGTCCACAAATACTGCATATATAGGATTGGGCAAGCTCTGCTCTTAAATTAAATAAAATAAGATTTCTGTGCAGAGCTAACTAAAAACTCTTCCCCAGATAAAGCTGATTTCTAGTGCTCGAATATATTGCAAAAGAGAGAGAGAGAACATCTGCATTTGTGGGTTTTGTCCCTCAAATGCAACTAGCGGAAGAAAGTAAAGCAACAATGAAGAGTGCAGCTCTAGCAACGGCTCTGCGTACCATCCCAGGTTCAGTCCCTGCTTTCTCCAGTTTAAAAGGCTCTCTGGGAAAAGGAGCAGGGGAAGACTCAGCCCAAATTCTAGGAGAGGAGCTGCTAGCTGGAGTAGATAGCAACTTGGTCCAGCTCAGCAAAATCCCAATTTGTATTTTTACTATACACCTCATTCTCCCCATCTCTGAGATTTGACCAGCCACTTCCACACAACCTTTTCCATACATCTGCACTTCATGGCCCTTGAATCTAGCAGTGACCCAGACCGTGATCAACTCCCACCTGGAAACCTATGTCCCCACTGTGGAAAGACGTGTGGATCCAGAATTGGTCTCCACAGTCACTTACGGACTCAACTGTTAAAACCATGTTTATGGAAGACAATTATGGAGACTGCATGGACAACAGAAGGGGAGCAGGGCTCAGAGCTGACTGCATAATATAGGGATACAAGTATGCCTGAAGCAGCTGGGCAGGAACCTCTCAAACTGCCAGGGCCTAGTGCCTGGACCCTCACAGAAACCTCCCACTAAGTACAAAGAACCAGATGCCTCCCAGCACACATCACTAGCCTGGCAGGGCAGGGAGCATAGCAGGAGGGGGGCAATGAGATGGAGGAGGAGCACCTGTCTTCAGGACAGAGGGTTGGCCCTTTAAAGCTCTGTAGTTCTCCGCAAGGGGGTGGAGCCTAGAGGAGGGGCATCTGGAGACAAGAGGCTTAAAAGGCCCCAGTTTCCCTCCCAACGTGCCTCTGAGCAAGTTACTCACTTGCCTCTTTCTCTGCGGGATCTGGCACCGGACCAGAACACAAGGCTGCATAACCATAAGCACTAGAAGCTTGTTCCTGTTTTAAAGTGGCATTAAAAGGCCTAAATGAATTGTGGCCATTAATTTCAATGGGGAAACTCAAGAGTAGAAGTTACACTGGATACAACCCCAGAGATTCTAATTCAAGGGAAAGCATTCCTATGGATTTGCCAAACTTGATTCCATGTTGTTTAGGAAATCCCCTGCTGTTTCGCTGGTTCTAATCAGCAAAAAAAAAAGTGGGGGAAAGGGCACGGAAGAGTCCTTGCCTGAGGGAACTGGCTAATGAGGACAAAAGTAATATGAAAGCTAGCAGCTTGCTTTGTCTGATTGCCTAGGCAACACAGGAGGAGGCAGTTCTATGTAACCTGCGTTCAGGACAACCGCTTCTGCCTGCAGACTGCACAAATTACTTTGCAATATCAAATGCACGCAGGGTGACATTATTTCGTTATTCTGAATCACCTTGCCTGCTTGGGAGGAAGCCCATTTGGATTGAACTGCATTTGTTTCTGAACAGACACGCTGCAGATCTTTGCCATCGACACAATGTTCACTTTTTTAAAAAATGAAGTAAGCATTTGGAGTGTTACTCCCCTGCTCCCTTTAGCTCCGGCATCTCCAAACTCGGCTCTCCAGCTGTTTTGGGACTACAACTCCCATCATAACAGGACCAGTGGTCAGGGATGATGGGAACTGTAGTCCCAAAACATCTGGAGGGCCGAGTTTGGGGGTGCCTGCTTTAGCTGATCGCACATGGGGTTTGCGTGCTACCTTGCAAATTGCTACAAAGGGCCTTTTAAATAAATGAAATATATAAAACCTTTGCCATTTCACACTGAGCATGTACAGAACGTTTTCCATCTCTTTGGTTTAGGATTTATAGGAAGAAGCATCATGGCTGCAACTAACAGAATCTTTCCTTAGATGGAAAGAGGCATCAAATCCCTTTCCAGGTCAGAAACAGTCATTGGAAACCAGTTGTTCTTTTAATAGTACCTACTGTGGTGAGAAGAAGCAGCTTGCTTGTTGCAACTCAAATCTGCACCACCAGGACATTTTCAATTTCCCCATCTATCTCTCACCCTTCATGATATAAGTCTGTTTCAGTCAGTCACTTATCTTTCTCATTCTCCCCATCCAGCCACCCATTCACAAGCTGTTAGCAAGGATGACCCACAAGTTGAAATTTTCATTTGGCCACATTCATTCAGCTAGTTTGGACCAATCATTCCATGGCTGGTTAATAGTCTGGAACAGTCAGCTAAAATGTCATCCATTCACCTATGTTGAGGAGCAAGCGCAATTCCTACCCACCCCACCCATTGCCTACCAAGCTTTGACCTGCACATATATGATCAAATTGCTATAATGGCGGTCCCAGTGAGTGGCAAAGTCCTTTTTCATTGTGGAAGCCATTTTTATTTTCCAAAAACGCACATAAAAATGGTGCCCACTTATCCTGTTGGAACTCTGATTCTCCACTCCAGTGAAAGGAGTTCTCCTCTCTGAAAAGAAAAAGAGGGGGATTCAAACTGCAAATTTCAAGCTGGGTAAAACGTTTCTGAATTCCTCGTGGTCATTTTTGACCAGCCCTAGTGTAAACCGGCTCTCTGTTTAAGCTGCTCTGACTACAGGAGAGGAGATGACAGTTAAAGCATGTCAAGACATCTGTACAAATATGCCCATAGTTTATGCGATACCCACCTCTGTGTACATAAACATAGATCACTTTGTGGCCAGCTTCATGGCTGTTGTCATTTTCGTCACCAATAGTTATGGTCAATATGTTTGTGGAACTCACAGGGGGGCTCCCACTATCAGTTATAATAATGGGAAGGTGGAATAGCTTCTGCTTCTCTCTGTCAAAGGACCTCAGAGCGGTGATTGTTGCAGTATTATTTCCATTGTCGGTAAGAGAGAAATCCAAAGAATTCTGATAATCTGGTGGCAAGAAAAACATAAAAGGTGGCCCATTCTCATCACTGTCTGGGTCAAAAGCCCAAAGGAGAGGAGACGCAGGGCTCATGGAAACCAGCTGAGGCCCTGGCATATTTTCCCAGACCACAGGCATATATGGGGCCTCAAACCTTGGCCCGTTGTCATTGACATCCAGCAAGGCAACCAATACCGTAACACTTCCTGTTTGGGCAGGTAGGCCTTGATCAGAAGCCTGTATTATTAGACGGTACTCCTGAATGACCTCGCGATCCAGCGGTTTGGCCACAGTCACGTGGCCGTCCTGGTCTATCGCAAATTGTCCGGCTGGATCAGAATCCACCTGGATGGAATATTCAGTATCCCCATTCAAACCAGAATCCTCGTCCGTGGCCGTCACGGTGATTATGGTGGTTCCCACAGGTATGTTTTCAAAGAAAGGGCTCAGCTGGACAAACTGAGAACTGAAAACCGGCTTGTGGTCGTTACGGTCTTCTACTTCGATCAAGCAAAAGGCAGTGCTGGAGAAATCTAGGTCTTCCACCTTGATTGTAAGGTTGAACCACCTTTCGTGGATTTGCTCATAATCCAAGGCCTTTTTCAGCCTGATGGTAGCATGGTGGCCTTCCTTGTGGCTTTCAATGTAAAACTTCTGTTCTGGATCCCCACCAATAATGCTGAATGTCAGGTGAGCGTTTTCCCCGCTGTCTTCATCAGTTGCCGACACTTCCAGAACCTCTGAGTTGACGGCGATGGTTTCGGGGATTACAGTATGCCAAACTTCCTGCGTGAAGCTAGGGATATGATCGTTTACATCTGCAACCCAGATGGTTGCTGTGCCTGTCCCCGCCAGTCCTCCACCATCTTTTGCTTCAACGGTAAGGAAATATTTTTCCATCTTTTCTCTGTCCAACATCCCTTCCGCCACATAGATGTTGCCAGTACTGGGATTGATTTTGAACAAGTCCATATCCAAGTCATTTTTCACACTCTCAATTATACGGTAAGTCAAAATTGCATTGAGACCCACGTTCGGGTCATCCAAGTCTACAGCTGTCATCTCCATGACGAATGTGTCTTCAGGTGAGCTTTCAAAGACACTCCCGTTGCAATCACTGGGCATGCAGGTGAACACAGGGGCATTATCGTTTATATCCCAGATGTTTATAATCACATCTGCAAAGCCAGTAAGCCCTTCCCCTCCTTCATCCGTTGCCAGCACAACAAATCTCCAAAGGGCTCGCTCTTCCCGGTCTAACATTTTCTGGGAATAAATGCTGCCTGTGTTCTCATCGATAGCAAATACATCATCTGCTCCATGTCCATGCAAGGAGTATCTCAGATCACCTCCATCCAAGATGCTATCAGGATCATTTGCTACAACCTATGGAGAACAAAGTTTAAGATGCATAGATCAAGTAACCACAGATCATAAATTCAGCATCATATATCAACACAGAACAACAAATAAAAACGATGTACTATGTATAGGCTGAAAACAAACAGTATCCTTATCAAATGCTGGCAGCAGCATCTTTCAAACTGAAGCTATTATCCTAAATAAGCATCTGGCATTCAGAGTGCATGTGAAGCACCAGCATATCTAAGAAGGTGAGAATCAGAGCCACATTATCGTCACAAAACAACCTGATTCAAGTTTTAGATTTAGGAAATTGGCAAGAATGTAATCCGTGCACATCAATGGAATCAGTTTGTTAAGGTGCAACCTGTGCAAATGTCCAGATTTATCCATTGGCGGAAGAAGAAATTGGCCATCATTCTACCCTTCTGTAGTGGAAACAGGAAACCCCAGGTGCACAGCTGAGAACCCCAACCAAGTTGCCACCAACAAACAGGCCGACTAAGGGCTGGTTCACTACTAGAGGCAGCCACTTTAAGCAAGCAGCAAAGCCATGAATCACTTTTGGGTTGCGGTTTCTAGCAGCACCACAGGCTGGTCTATGCATCACCTTGTATCAGAGATAGGAACCTTGGACCCTCTCAAAGTTGCTGGACTACAACTTCCATTACCCCTGCCCATTGGCCATGCTGCCTGGGGCTGATGGGAGCTGGTGGTCCACATCTGCAAGCCCACCGGACTCCCAGCCCTGGGGACAGAGGATTTTGGTTTATTTTTGTGGCTTTTATCATTGACTTACCTTGAGAATTGTTTTGTATTTTCAATATCGTTTAGGTACTTTGACTTGAGTTCCTTGGAAAGTAGGCGAGATAAAAGTTCATTTTTATTTTTAAAAAAGCTTTTATCCCACCTATTTTCAAAGCAGCTATCAAGTCAAAATACCAAACAGCATTGAAAACACAACTATAAGGCACCATGAGGTTCTTGGTTGAGCCCAATTTGTGAACTATTGCACCACAACTAGGCATCCTGTGCACTCCAGGGAGGAGTAACCGAAGAGTTGAAGCCAGGTATACACAGGTATTAAGCACTGGCTTCCACACCTGGAACATGAGCAACTAAGTGGGGCTGTGTGACACCAACTCTTGGTGCACTGTAACCATTCACTGTTATTTGGATGAGCCATTCCCAATATACCTGAAGAACGAAGACCGGAAGGCCATCCAGTTCCTCAATCACACTTCCGTAATATTCATTGAGAGAGAAAACGGGAGCTTCGTCGTTTTTATTCACAACGTTGATGATTACAATGGCGTAATCCTCCCATTTCCCATCAGAAGCCAAAAGGTGGAGTTCATACAACTGGGCTTCTTCGTAATCTAGTGACTGCGCAATGAAGACGACTCCTGTTTCTGGTTCAACATCAAACGCTCCTCCGGTGTTTCCGGCTGTTATCTGGTACCTTAACTTTGCATTAGTTCCTAAAAGTGGGGAAATGGAAAATATGCTTTCTGTAAAACCAGGATCATGGTGATGAAGACGATGGCGATGAGACACTCCTTTCTGCCTGGCATTCTGTAAGGCGGGGTAGCCAATGCGCTGCCCTCAGGATGTTAGTGAACGGCAACACCCATCATGCCTGACCATTGGGCATGCTGGCAGGCGTTGATGGGACTTGTAGTCCAACAACATCTGGAAGGTACCCTGCCATAAAGGCAGCATTCTGAAGCAAATTGCTTACTGGAGAAAAGTAGATCTAATCACTGCATCGAAGCTCAAGGGCCCTGCCTGATGTTCCCACAGCTTCCTTGCTCTCTTTCCCATATCAGAGATGCGTACTGCCATATGGCAAACCCAAAGTCATCCTCCCCCAGCCCTAACTTTGTTTAATGTGCCTAAAGTAAATAGTTATTTGCCCCAAGGCCTCGTGGGGGCTTCGTAAAGGAGTTGCTCAGCACCTGTCAAGCTCAAAACGAAATGTTGAGAGATAAAAGACCCGTTTCCCCCTTCCTGGAGCTGCCACAAGACGGTCCCGATGCTCCGGAAAAATTAACTCATTAATATTTCAGGTGCCGCCACTGGGAATCCCGAAGCTTTTACCTTCGTCTTCATCATTAGCGCTGACGGTGGTGACAGTTGATCCCACGTCTTGGTCTTCCTCCACATTAACTTCATAGACACTCTTGGTGAAGATGGGCTTGTTGTCGTTGACGTCGCTGATAAAGATGCGCACGTAGGCGGTGTCTGGAGAGATGAGGAACAAGAGATTAAAATACTCAGCTGTGCCACTTCTGTCAGCTGCAATTCCTGAAACTGTCTCGCCTCACGTTAAATGAAGACGAATAGCGCAGACAATACAGCAACAGAGCCTTAGGGTTGTGGACAATTTAAAATACTAACATTACTCCAAAAAAAAAGTGCTTGGATATCACATGAATGTCACATCCCATTTGTTTAAGCAGATAACATGTGAATAACGGGTGCCTAATACGGGAACTGTAAATGTTTTGTTATCACTTTCCTATCCTGAAAGTCGATAGTGCGGGTTTTTAGCCCTTTGCTTCAGAACAGCTAAGTTCACCGGTGATTATATTATAATTTGTTTATTTATTTATATCCAACCTATCTCCCAGACCGGGCACTCAAGGTGGCTTACTCAAATGAAAACCACATGGAATAAATCCAGAAACTTAAAAAACATAAAAAGGCGATTGTTTAAAAGCAATTAAACTCTAATAGAATGAAAAAGAAATCTATTAAAATTCAGATAATGAAAGCAGCACAGCTCCATTTAAAAGGACTCTCCTTTCAAAACAGTCAATTCCAAAAAAAGACTGTTGGAATAAACGGTCATCATTTGCCATCAGAAGGAGAATGATGGAGCCAGTCTAGCTTCTCTAGGAAGGGAGTTCCAAAGTCGGAGCAGCCATCAAAAAGGCCTTCTCCCCCTCCCCCTCTGAGGGAGAAGAGGACTAAGAGAAGGCCTCCCCCGAAATATCAGAGTCCAAGCAGGTTTGTATGGGAGAATACAGATAGCCAGGGCCTAAGCCTTATAGAGCTTTACAGATAACGAAGTTATTTCCTGTTCAAGTTGGGTTGGCTCAAAAACCAGGGAGCCAAGCAACCATCTCCTTGTCCTACTTTCTGGCAGCCGCCCTAGGAGTGGGGCTCCCATAGTACAGGACCTCCAATTCCCACCTCCTTGAGTCACTCCAGAAGAACACCATGTCCAATGGTGCCACAAGCCACAGGGCAAGAAGAACCAGCAAACTGTATTTCTCCTCCCCATCTCTCTCCTGACAAAGACCATCAGTCAGGGCAGCCGAGGTGCTGCTTCAGTGCCAAAACGTCTTTCGGAAAAACAAGTAACAAAAATTAAAATGGATGCCACAAGTGTTTCCACCACTACACCTCACCGGTATTTGGCTGGCCGTGCTTTCCAGGGCGAGCTGATTCTGAACCATCCGTGGACTTGACTTCCAAGAGGTACGACGCCTTCTTTTCCCTGTCAAACACAGAGGCGGTATAGATGGAACCCGTTTTCGAATCCAAGCGGAAGAACGTGTAGTCGCCGCTGCGGTCAGGTAGCAGAGAATAAGTGATCTGAAAGGTTGAGTGAGAGAAGGGCTATAATGAAAATCAGGCATTATTTTTGTCTTTACATTGGACACGTCCTGGGTAAGCAAAATATACCTGACAGAGCACATGTACACAAACATCCTAGCCCAAGCATTTCCATTATTTCCATTATTAGGAAAAATAATACCAAGCAATACACCCACAGTGAGTCTTGAACCAAGGCTGGTATCAGCTACCCCTCACTGCAGCCATAGGTCATCCAGGTACTGGCACTGGCACATTTTGCAGATTTAGTCTCTGAGTGCTCGATGTGATGGGCTTGTAAAGCTATTTCACACTTTGTATTTTTAGGTGCACACCTAGGATGCTTCAAGCACACACAGGAAAACATAATGTGTGAACACAATGTGTGCCTGTCTCATACAGGGACAGACGAAAGAGAATTTCATTCAGTCTGCATTTTAATGCCTAATTAGCACCTTGCTGACTAATATGTGGACTGGAATGTAGTTTCGAATGTAATTATTTTCCAAATTCTGCAATACATTTCTCAGCTTTAAAAATGTACCAAACTCCCCCCCCCAAAAAAAAATGTATTTTAGGATTACGTGTGTTTAGAATTTCACACACTGAGATGATAAATAGATACTTATTTTATATAGAATATAAATCTTCACTCCTTTAAAAAAGATATCATGGATTAATGCAGAAATGGGATAGAACATGTAGATGGATGGACCCCTGCAAAAGCTGGGAATAAACTGGCCCACCCTCCCCCAGATACAATTACACCTGTCATGGAGCTGTGTTTGGCTGTTGTTCCCCATTGAGAAAACCTGTGCAAAGAGACTCGACTGTTGTCTGATGCTGAATCTTGCAAGATCTGGCTTACCTCTCCATTCTGGCCCAGGTCGAGGTCAGTGGCAGAGACTTGGAAAACCAAAGTCCCGACCTCTGTTCCTTCCGTTACAGAAGCTTCGTAAATTGAGGAGGTGAAGAAAGGGACGTTGTCGTTGACATCTAAGAACGTATTTAGAATTCAAGCAGTCAGCCCATGTAATATAACCATTTGCATGCTTAAGGGGTTTTAAAAATTATATTGCTTTATCTAGGGGGTCTTGCAAGCCAGAGTGCCTTGAGACTCAGGGTCTTATGCCCAATGGTTTGGAGGGCTGGGAAGGTGCCATAGGCTTATGCCAATCTTCTCTGCACCCACAGCCTCCCCCACTTCCTTTTTCACAGTAAAACAGAGTTTTCCGTTACATGTGAACCAGACAAAGTATGGTTTACCCAGACCGTGTTTTGCCTGCAAACAAGAGCTGGAAACTGTGGTTTGAATGCTGATCGCAAACTAGGGTTTGTCGAGAAAGACGAAGTAGGGAAGGGCATGAGGGTTGGGTTCAGGGAGAGCACATGAGCTTGGGGTTTACTTACACAACACCCAGCTGTGGCATATTGAGGAGAATGGAAGCTGAGCATCACGGCAACTTTGCATTGTTCGTTGAAAGACAACCCAAAGAAAAAGCGCAACTTTGGAAAAAATGATCAGAATTTGTTCTGTCTTCTGAAGGGAGTTCCACAGCTATCAAGTACCCACCAAAAACTGTCTACATCTGCAATCTACCTTCTAGCACACCCAAGGTGACATTCCTGTACTTGGGACAGTGCAATCAGAAGCAGGAATGAAAGGGGTTCTGCTCAGTAAGCGGTATGCTGTTGGCATTTTGTCCCCATTACCAGAACATTACCCACCTGTCACATTAACGTAGACGGTGGTGAATGCAGCGAGTGGCACCGAGGCCACATTCTGGGCCCGGACCCTCAACAAAAAGGACTTGGTGGTTTCATAGTCCAAAGGCTCAGCTATGAGGATGGATGCAGAACCATCATCTCTGTTGGGAGTCAGGTAGAATCGGATTGGCATGTTGGTCTCCGGAACCAGACCCTCTTCAAGATTGTATGTGATACGTGGGTCGCCAAGGGGGGACGTAGCTTTAATTGTCTGCGCAATTCAAAATCAGAGAAAGAAAAGGATTGCTTCAGCAGAAAGTGATCGTTTTCAGAAGATACACATTTAAAATGCTTAAAATGCTTAGAACATGCAGTTCTTTGTATACAAAGAAACTTAAGCAAACAAAGCTTAAAAGAGCCCACCGTGGCTTGACACTTATTTGCATGTTAAATCAGCCCAGCATAAATAATATTCTACCAGGAAGAGGAACACATGGCCCTCCAGATGTTGTTGGACTCCAACTCCCATCATCCCTGACCACAGGTCATGCGGATGGGAGTTGGAGTCAAACAGCATCAGGGGGGTTCCCCATCCCTGGAATATACTATGCCTCTTTCTGCTGTTAGACAAATGGTACATCTAACCCAGCAGCAGCAGCTTGTTAAGACTGTTAAGTGGCCTAAGGTCACCCATTGTTCTTCATGGTCAAGTGGGGATCTGAAACCTGGTTTCCAACACTCTAACCACTACACCACACTGGCTCTTTGCAGTGTGCTAATTTAAGATGCTAGTTACAGGAATACTGTACAACTGTTTTCTTTAAAAAGAGAAAACCCAACTTACCACAATGGAAGTATCTCTTGTTGTATTCTCTGGAATGACGACTTCATAGCTGTCCCTCTCCCACTGAGGGGGCTGGTTCTTTGCACTGGTGATGGTAACTCTAAGCTCAACCTTGCTACTCCTGTTCCCTCCATCCATTGCTATGATTTGTTGAGTTATAAAGGATTTCTGGGCAAGGGAAGAAAAGGGTTGCTTCAGCAGGGAGTGATTCTTTTTAAAGACAAAAATCGAAGCTATTCAGCTTTGTCGGTATCACAGTTATCATGTTTTATTTCTGCTCAGAACTTTCATCTTCCAAATAGCACCAGTGACAGAGCCAAAGTACTCCTCGATTTTTCTTATTTCCTGTGAAAAAGCAGCTGTTGCTTCCCCCGCCCCTGAAACCTTTGGTGGAAATAGCATTTCTCTCTCTCTCTCTCTCTCTCTCTCTCTCTCTCTCTCTGCACGAAGCACAGTATAAACACTATATGGTTTTATGGAATATCCTCCCAGGTAAATGCTTGTAACATGGGTCGAGAACCTCAGATATGAGGCCCAGTATGTCTCTATAGTCTCCTCTGACTATCCCTTCGGAGTCTCCCCATGACAGACTCCCTCACCCATCCTCAGGTTAAGAACAGACCTCCAGAACGAATTAAGTTCTTAACCTGAGGTACCACTGTACTCCAGTTCAATGATAAACAACTTCCGTGTATCATCCCTGAAAAATCAACTTCATTTTTAGTAAAACTGTCAATCTCCTACAGTAGCGGAGAAAGATTCAAAACCCACCACCATCGTCTGTTTAGAGCCTCACAAGCACTCCAGAGCTTCCTGTGGGTAGGATGTTGCCTTTCCAATCCTTTTCTGGCAACCCACCAAACGTGCATTGCCTGCTAGGGCCTCCTGTAGCTTCTACTTACCAAAGAATCTACTTTTTGAGGGTGGAGGGGAACCCTGCAACTGTTAAATCTGTATGTCACCATAGTAATCATAAGCACAATTTCGTTCCGTTCACAGAAGTTCCTAAGATTCCTCGCTGCAGAACTTCAGAAGGTTTTGAATGACGGTAAACTTAAAAACCGACTCTCCCGGATATGACCTGTCAAAACTGTTTATTGCTTCTTTTCCCACCAAGGCACAAGAAGAGTTATCAGTCTGACATGACAGCTGTGAATGGCTTTATGGTTAAAGTAATAATTCATTCAGCAGGAGGGGGAGGAGGAAGCCCCTCTCAACTGAAGCGCAGCCATCAGGGTGGCACTAATTTATGCCAGGAGAGAAAGGGACCCACAGTGCTGCATGTCTCCCTGTTTGGCATCTTGCTCTAGCTACCATCTGCAGATGCCGCCAGCTGACATCTGGCCACAGACCAAAGGCAACTCACAACGTACCTGTAACAAGGGTTGGTTGACATAAACCCAGCCTGTAGAAGGGTTGACCTGGAAGTACTTCGTTTTCCCACCGGCTGCAGAATACGTGATGGAAGCGTTGGAGCCGTAGTCGTCGTCGTGGGCTGCAACACGGAGGAAGCTCGTCCCAACACTTGTGTCTTCTCTCAAGAAGTCTAGGAAAGTGCATTTCATTAACTCAGTGGGGCAGAGCAATGCTACAAGCCATCTGAGCTCTATGCTATTTGCAGGCAACACTCTGCAGATTTTCCGTGAAAAATAAAAGCAGCTGATGAAGAAGTGCCCTGATTTTATTTCTTGCAGGCTCTTCTTATGTTTTTTATGTTCAGTGGCACATTTGCCTGCCCACAGGTTTCGGGGGCAGAAGAAGGAGATACACAATAGTGGGCAGACACCAGCACCATTCCCCTGGAGGAGAAGAGCAGAGGTTAGGAGGGCTGGTTTGGATTGCACTGCTATTCCTGTAGCAGAGCATTCTGCTCTGCTATTGTTTCCCTATATATAATAGTCCTAAGTTAAGTATGTAGATCACAGTAAGCGGAGAGGGGAGCAATTGCTGGAACCATCCAGGGACACCAGCTCCCCCACCTGCTTCCCCACACACACACCTGGGACTCTTATAAGGCAAAAATGCTGCTTAAGTATTATTGTATTCTCTTTAACATTTTTGTTAAGGCAGGGACATGGATGGGTTTGTGTGGGGTTTTTTAAAAAAAAAAACAACTTCTGAAATGTTTTGAATTTGTATCATTTGTATTTGCATTGTTGCATTTGTATGTAGCTGCTTATCCTCAGGAGCCTTTATGGCCGAAAAGCAGGATATTAAATAAACGGTAACGTAACCAATCTAAAAAGGAAAAAGTGACAATTCATCTGTAGGAAGCGGGGTGGGGATGGGGGAAACATATGAAAACCAAACCAGAAACACACACAATAAATCTTAGACCTCAGGTAAGCTTGCAATCGGGGGAACTGAAACGCTATCCAAGGATTCGCAATTACATTCATAATGAGTGTTTTCAAATCTGGGGCTGTTGTCATTCACATCTGAGACCACAACGTTGATCTGGCAGATCCCAATGAGGGGCTCGGCCGCCTGGTCCGTGGCTGTCACAGTAATAGGATGCTCTCGCTGCTTCTCCCGGTCAAATATCTGAAGTGTTGTCAAGATGCCTGAAAATAAGACCACAAGCAGAAATAATTCAATACTGTGTATTTAACCAAGGACTGAGATGAGGGAAGAAGCAGGAGGGTTTACTGCCCGCTGTTTTTTCTTGCAGTTTCAGTTATTGAGTGCTGGAAGAAAGATGTAAACTGAACTAAAACTCACCTACATCTGTAAATGTCCTTTCCTCTCTGTTTCTCATTTTCCCCCATCTATAAGTTCAGGTTGCCATATTTCCATATCAACTTGCTATTTTCTTTTTTTAAAAAAGATACATGAAAATTCACTAGCATTTCAGTACAAATTTCTCCTAATGTGCACATTTTTGTTTGCAATGTTGCCTTATCTGCATATTTTCCCAAGCGAATTCTTCTTCTTCATCATCATCATCATCACAACATTGTCGTTATCATCATCATCATCACACTGTCGTTATCATCATCTTCCCTGTTCTTCACCTACAGGGGTGTCCCAAACTTTTTCCAAAGAGGGCCAGATTTGATTAAGTGAACATGTGCGAGGGCCGACCAAAGTTGTTGACCTTTTTTGTTGTTGAGCTTTTGGGGGGATTTTACCAAAGGAAAATCTGTCACAGGGGCCTGATTAAACCAACCGGCAGGCTGGATTAGGCCCCCGAAATGAACTTTGGACATGCCTGCCTTAAAAGGTACCAGGGCAGGTTACAATAATTTAAAATGCAACATACAATTTTGTACGCTGTTTTAACAAATATGAGCATTTTATGTAGACTTTTCCTGAACACACACATTTTTGTACACATTCACTTGGAGAACCACACCACAAAATTCAGAGAAGTGTGAATTTTGGAAAGCTAGCTGCAGTTCAGTTCACATATTGTTACAGGAAGTAGGAATTGGGTAGGTCTGCATCAAAATGTGAACCGAAGTGAATTTCTCCCTCACCCCTATCTACAACCCATCAGTGAGATACAGAGATGCAGCCTGCTCACCTGCAACTCAGCAGGAGTATCTTTAGGTAAACAGTAAACTATTACAGGGCAAATGTAAATGGCTGTCAGTCCATTAGAAAAAATCCAAACTCCACAACTGGGTAATACCTTTATTATCACCAACCATTTTAACCTAAAGACTGTGACTAAACATAAATTTCAACATCAAATAATATCTGACCCCATCTTTCCACTACCATCTGCTATGTGTAACCTTCTGAAGAACTCAAAAAGCTGCTCATTTTGGGGGGGGCACACATTGGTTGTTCACACTAAAGGCACCAACCTAAAGCTGAATTTATCAAACCTACACTTTCCAAAACACAGACTTCCTTCAAAATTAGCACTTATTTGAATTTTGCTATGCAGTTCTCCAAGCAATATTTACAAAAATGCAAGTATCAGAGAAATGTTTGCAGAGATAAGTAAGATGGTAAAAAGTACATACAAAACTGCATTATATTAGGGGAAATTTCTTGCAAAAAAATGTGCACATCTGTCACAGCTGCATACAAAAACATGTTTATTAGGAGAAATTCACACTAAAATGCTGAATAATTTTCATGTAGATTTTTTTTCCTAAGTGCAAATTGCTGCAGAAACTTATGGAGAGCTGAATTTTAAGATTGGAAAAATAAGGAGGTGAGAGAAGCAAAATTGACAGATGCTTCCATTCCTGCCTGTCTGTGGATTTTTCAGCTTGATAACTTTATCCTTTAAAGGCCCGGTCACCTGGCACCTCTGTATTCTCACTAGGCCCAATGAAGCTGCAACACAATAGCTTTACCTGTGTCAGGGTGGATGTTAAAAGCAGGGAGAGTCCCCTCTCTGTGCATCAAGCCATACTTCACTTGGCCATTGGACCCTTCATCTGCATCTGTTGCCTCCACTTGCAGCACGAAGGTTCCCACTGGCTGGTTTTCCAGCACAGAGGCATGCTCACGATAATGCTGGCACTGGCAAAAATAAGGACAATGATAATAATGCAAAGACGCGTTTAAATACAACTTGACATACACTGCAAAATCCAGAATATTGGCAATCAACTCCAATCACTCAACAAATGAGGGTCAAACTATCATGATCTCAGCTGCATAGTTTTGTCCTTGAGCAGGAGATCTGATGCAGAAACCACGGGGAGGACCGTGATCTTTTGAAAAGTATGGGAACTTTTATTTTATTTTTATTTTTTTGGTAATGTAAACAGCAGGCACAGGCCTCCACAGGGTGTGAAAGAAAACTCTGCCTGCTCCCCCCTCCCACCAATATACAGTGGTACCTCGGGTTACAGATGCTTCAAGTTACAGATGCTTCAAGTTACAGACTTCGCTAACCCAGAAATAGTACCTTGGGTTAAGAACTTTGCTTCAGGATGAGAACAGAAATCATGTGCCGGCGGCACACCGGCAGTGGGAGGCCCCATTAGCTAAAGTGGTACCTCAGGTTAAGAACAGTTTCAGGTTAAGAACGGACCTCCAGAACGAATTAAGTTCTTAACCCAAGGCACCACTGTAAAGTTCATTGGAGCTGCACTCTTAGCTCTTCGTGAATGTTGTGTGCCAAAACAGAAGGGAGTTCATAGTTGCTCTCTCCAAGTATTTGGCAAGGCAGCCTGTTTACCTTCTGAAACACAGGTTTGTTGTTATTGACATCATCCACATGCACAATGACCAAAGTGGTGCTTGTAAGAGAGTGAGGTCCACCAGAGGCATTGTCATCTGTAGCCGTGATGTTGAGGACATACTCGGGACCCTGTAGCCTAGGAAGTGGGCTTGAGCGAAGACGGATTAACCCTGTGAAAGATTTCAAAGGGAGGACAGTTCGGAATCAGAATGTATTTTGCTGTTGTAACTGCTGGTGAGGTCACAGGGTACTGGATTTGGAAAAGGCAGACCTGGGTGCAAATCTATGCTCAGCCATGAAGCTGCCAGAGTGACTCTGAGCCAGTCGCTCTCTTTTGCAGAAGTATTGTTGGAAACCATGCACTGAACAACCCCAGAGGAAGGGTAGGATATAAATCAATCCCAGAACACCTTTTAAAGCTGTTATGGCAAATGTTTGAATTTCAAAAACATGCCAAAATTCCAAATGATTCATGCCATGCCAAAATTCCAAATGATTAGCTATATCAGGTAATCGTGTCCAGCAGAATTATGCAGTATAGCTCTTGCCAGACCAAACCAACTCTAGCTGGAGAGGGCGAGGGAATAACTCATTTGAATGCTCCCCTTGTGTATGAAAATACTTCCTTGCACAACTTCTAGATGAACCCTATCCTTGAAACACTAGCTTTCTATGTGCAGAATATAATATTTACTTATATTATAGATCCACTGATTGATTGATTGATTGATTGATTGAACTAATGCCATTTTTAAACTGTAAAAAATAAAATAAGAAACCCAAAATATCTGCTGCCACTGCAGTTATCCCCCTTAAGTACTCCCACTATCCTAGAAGAAGAAGAAGAGGAGGAAGAGGAGGAGGAGGAGGAGTTTGGATTTGATATCCCGCTTTATCACTACCCGAAGGAGTCTGAAAGCGGCTAACATTCGCCTTTCCCTTCCTCCCCCACAACAAACACTCTGTGAGGTGAGCTGGGCTGAGAGACTTCAGAGAAGTGTGACTAGCCCAAGGTCACCCAGCAGCTGCATGTGGAGGAGTGGAGACGCGAACCTGGTTCACCAGATTACGAGTCTACCGCTCTTAACCACTACACCACACTGGCTAGAAACACACTAAAGGTAAAGGTACCCCTGCCCGTACGGGCCAGTCTTGACAGACTCTAGGGTTGTGCGCCCATCTCACTCAAGAGGCCGGGGGCCAGCGCTGTCCGGAGACACTTCCGGGTCACGTGGCCAGCGTGACATCACTGCTCTGGCGAGCCAGAGCCGCACACGGAACGCCGTTTACCTTCCCTATTTATAGTAAGCGGTCCCTATTCATCTACTTGCACCCGGGAGTGCTTTCGAACTGCTAGGTTGGCAGGCGCTGGGACCGAGCAACGGGAGCGCACCCCGCTGCGGGGATTCGAACCACCGACCTTTCGATCGGCAAGCCCTAGGCGCTGAGGCTTTTACCCACAGCGCCACCTGCGTCCCCAGAAACACACTAGAAACAAGCTAAACTGGTTTGCCCCAGTCCTTTCCCTAAAATTGTACCACCACCGTGTTTCAGACAGAGGGACAAAATGCCCACTACTGTTTGAATGAGAACATTATTTCAGGGGGGGGAGGTCCCCGATCTGAGTCCTGCAGCAATTTTTCGGGTATATTGTATTTGCATTCTGACCCTCTGCCGGTCTTTAAAGAGCAAAGCTGACAGTTGCTGTGAGGAGCTTCTGTTCCACTGGGCCTTGGGCTGCAGCAACCTTATGGGTCATATGAGGGCTGGCAAAATCAGAAATACATTTTTAAAACAAGTTTGTTTTAAAAAGCAAAGCAAACTTCAGCTATTTAAAAAGCTGCAGTGAGCAGATGTCATTCATTCCTGTGCCAACACCATCCCATCGTGTCTTTTATTTATCCGATGTAGTAAGAAGTGTCGTTTGCAAATGGACGGTTATGAAGATGACAAGTGCCACTCACTTCCCCTTGCAAATGCCTTCGCCTTCACTGATTGTGTTTTGACATGTGTCTTAGCTTCACCTTGGCATTTCAGGGTATCAAGCAAATTGTCATTGACAGCGCTATATTAAAATAAAACTGCCCAAGGAGACAGCATAGATGTTGGGGAGTCTGACCAAGCAGGGGGTAACAAAGTCAAAAATCAAGACAGAATTCACACCTGTTACAGAAAAGATGGATATATGCTAAGGCCATCTCCACAAAAGCTAGAAAACTACAATTGGCAACCAAGCAAACTGTCCAACAGAGGAAATGTGTTAATTTCCTGCAAAATAAAATTTGCTATGGCACTTTGAGGACAAGCAGATTTAGCATGGCTTGAGATTTCATAAAATAAAACCTAACTCCAGTGGGTGCAATTCTTCACCAGATCTTTTTAATTGTAATACACATTTATGTGCTTATTTTGCAGGCCAATCATGAGCCAGTAGTTCAGCATCACCTCATTTGTGGGGAAACATCTTCCGGAAGTTAAAACAAAAAGTGAATTCTGGATTGGGTTTGGAACAAATCAGTCCACTAGTACATGCCGCAGAGACCCCACCCAGCAGGAGGTAGTGGGAAAGGCTTGTCAGAACTGGTGTGTCAGGGTTTTAGGGCTGGGATACTGCTGTGTGTGCAGCAGTAGACAGGCTATAGATGTAAGAAGGAACCAGCTTCCATTCTGCCCCTTAATCACGGCATGCAGTACTGTCTCTGTTCTGCTGCAGTTCGACTTCTGACAAAAAAAACCCTTATTTATCTTGTTGATGGCTGTGATGAAATTCCACAGAATTAGTGATGTTACCATTATTCCATTTCCACACCATTCATTTGAATGCAAAGGAAATGGAATACAAAGTGCAGGGGGCCATCAGTGACATGTCCTTTGTGGACTGAAACCAACAACAAAAGTGAATATCAAATGTATCTGCGGGGTTGATTTCTGTTCCGGATATGGCTGAAATATGCAGGAATGGGAAACTTCCACTCCTGTTCCTGGTTTTGTGGGAATTCTTTGGCATCCTTAATACAGGGAAATGGGGAACTACTGAATAAGTTGCTCCTGGCATCCCTGGGTCCTGCTGTAGATGAGCACTGTAACATCAAAGGAATACTGGGAATCATGGTGGTGCCATTTCCCACAGTTCCTGGTGTCATCTCTAATCTGAGATGAATTCTTTGCCGGGGGAGGGTGTTCTTCGACTCAAAATCTAGTGTTTAAATTCCACCCATCCCCAATTTTTGGAGTTAGACCCATCATCGATTCTGTTATCTAGCTCAGCTTTCTCAATCTGCTGCCCCTCCAAATGTTACGAACTACAACTCACACCAGCCCCAGTCAATATGACCAACATATGGAGGGCACCCAGCTGAGGAAGGCCAGCCAAAAGAAAAAAGTGGTATTCAGTTGCCAGATCTTTCAGCATAGGAGAACTATGCGGCACCAGTTTCTTGGTGGTAGAACTGCACTGATTAAATGGTGTAAACATCAGTGGGATAGTTTGCATCACTGGCAGTTTTACCTTAACACCTGTGGCATTATGAGACCACTAAGCATTTGTAACATAAAGCAAGCCATAAAGGGGAGTGGAAAGCTGCCATCTCTACAGGAAGATGTTTGTGTCAATTCCTTGTACCATCGTTTGATGGCATCTGTTTCCGGCTTCTGAAATATATTCAGATCTGGAGCATTAATATTGCAAAAGCACTAGTTGCATAAAAAATTAATTTTTTATGGTAAGTGAACCCATAAGACGTATCAAAGATGAGAAGGACAGATCTGTGGCATCTTATTTACTTCTCATTAGCTCCCTGGCTCAGGAGAGTCCAGAAAGGCAGGCGAAGAGTTTGACTGGAGCCACATCAGGAAAAGTCATCAGTTACTCCAAGTAAGAACTACCACATTTTATCATTAAAATTTGCATTTTTGAACGCATTTTAATCTTAAATACACATTTATATAAGCATGTTTGATTATTTTTTTAAGCCAAGAAGTGCATTGCAAAGTTCAGAGAAGCATTAAACCAAAGAATAACTGCATTCCAAATCCATACATTCATCTGGCAAGCATGACTTAGGTCAGTTTGCTTAAATGCAAGGACCAAATGAAATCCTCGAGCAATGTAAGTCAAGAAGACACATATTCCTGCTTTCTGTTATAGGGAATGCTATGAGATCAGTCATTAAGAGCGGCAGGGAAATGCTATGAGTTCAACACTCAGATGAGAAGCAATTCCCAACAGCAAGGAAACCAGTGACTAGGATGCAATAGACATGATGTACCTGTGTTTTAAACACACATGAATAACTATAACAGCTTAGACACAAGCTCTGCCCCCACCTCTAATCACATGCGACATCTAGGAGCCAAAAATCTATATAGGAACCAAAGATCTAAGATGCAGAAATTACATATTTACCCTTCTGAGGGTCGATAATGAAGTTTCCCTTTTGATTGCCTCCAGTAATGCTGTAAGCAACACCATCTCCATCAGGGTCTATGGCATGAACCGTAGCTATGAGCGTGTTTGGACCTGCATCCTCCGAAACGAAACTCCGATAGCTGTCAAAGCGCATAATGTTAAGTGTGGTTACTTGGAAACAGGGTTAAAGGGAATCAAATCTCGAGTGCTAAATGCAGCGGAAAGACAGTAAGAAAAGACATCCCCATTCACTTCCCCATTCAGGAAAAAGAAAGGACGCTATGCAAAAGAGAAGTGTATCCCTCCAGGTGTTAAGAACCTAAGAAGAGCCTGCTGGATCAGGCCAGTGGTTCATTTAGTGCAGCATCCTGTTCTCACAGCTGCCTGGGGAAAACCAGCAAGCAGGATTGGAGCACAAGAGTGTTAATGAATTTTAATTCCAGAATGGCCAATAGTCAGGAGTGATCGCTATCGTAGTCCAACAACATCTGGAGGGCTATGGGTTCTCCTGTCCATGATTTTTTTAAACCCCTCTGTCATAGGGCATCCTATTGATATGTATGCATACTGTGTATATACATCCTTGTATTTAACAAGTCACCTGGAAGCCACAGGTGACCAAGAGTTCCGTGAAGGCGAGTGAATGGTCTCTTAGCAGACTAGCAACTTGGGTTGGCTTATTTACAAGGTTGATTTATTTGGGGGTACGGAGCATCACACACGACGCTTCCACTCCTATGATTTGCTCACCATGCTTTAAAATACCTGAATGCCAACCTTGCTTTTTTAAACATCCATGAGGCAACTTAACTAAAATCAAAACTTAAAGGTAAAAAGGTAATAAGAGCAGCAGAAACCATTTCACAGACAGAACTTTTTGTGTTAAGAATTGTGTTGCATTTGAAGCAGCCGCAACAAATGCAGAGCCAGTGAAGCAAATAAATCAACAAATAATGGATTGAAATACTGCAGCACCTGTATAGGGAACACTGTAAAATGCTTCCTGGTGGGTGACTGTTCAGCATTTTAAACCCTCATCCCCACCATAGCAGTGTCTGCCCAGCCAGCCATGATCCAGACACCGAAAATCGTGGGGGCCCAAACAATCCAGCCCATGGAGGGATCTCTGTAGAACCGATCTGGCCCAGGCAAGATAAATCTTGCTGACCCCTGATCTTGAGGAAGGGTTGGCTTATAAGGGACCACATGAATCAATCCCAGTGGGAACAGACAGCTATTACTGGCACCCCCAAAATCTCACCTCATTCCACACAATGACCTGGGGATGATCAAACACCACCAGGATGCCGCAATCATCGCATGGAAACTCCGATATGGTACTAATCAAACGACATCTGAAGCATCATCAACAACAACAACAAGGGGCGTATACTTACATTGTTTGTGAGAACCTGGGAACTTCGTCATTGATGTTTGAGAGGCGGATCCTGACCGTCGCTGTCCCAGTTCTTGGGGGCTCTCCTTTATCTACCGCCATGATTACGAACTCATACAGGTGATTAGGACGCTCGTAATCCAGCTCTGTGGCTGGGAAGATGGTGCCGTGACTGGAAATGCTGAACTCTGAGCTCAGGGTGTAATAGAGGATTTCCGCATTTTCTTCAGAATCACAGTCATGGGCTGACACTGTTGGGGCAAAGCGTGGGGAGGGAGGAGACCTTTCAGGATTTTTTGCTTGCAAAAGATTATATTCAAGGATTTAAAAACAAAAAACCGAAGATGCTGGTTTAATAACAGAGTTAAGGCTACATCATGCTGGCTCTGCAAGCTCTGTGGACTGCAAGCTAGGCCTGGGGCCTTTATCAGACATACTCCATGCTCAGCAATGAAGTTGTCCAAAGGCACAAAGGCCATGAGAGACAGTGTGATGTAGTGGTTAGTGTCAGACTGAGTCCTGGGAGAGACCAGGAATCAAACCCCTACTCAGCCAGGAAGCTCACTGGGTGGCCTTGGGCCAGTCATGGTCTCTCAGTCTAACCTACCACACAGGGCTGTTGTGGGGATTAAATGAGGTAGGGGGCAGAAAAAAACGCATGGCGTCTTTCGTGTAAATAAATAACTACATTGAGGTGGCTTCATTTGGGCAGTTGCCATATGCACAGCTGTGTGTTTTTTCCTAAGTATGTGTGAAGCTGATGTAATCTTCAGCCTTCAAGATGCATATGTTGAAAACGTCCTATCCAATAACACACATGGGAGGGACTGCTGAAGGATAAGAGCTGACCAAATACAGTGGTGCCTCGCAAGACGAATGCCTCGCAAGACAAAAAACTCGCTAGACGAAAGGGTTTTTTTTTGTGCTGCTTCGCAAGACGATTTTCCCTATGGGCTTGCTTCGCAAGACGGAAACGTCTTGCAAGTTTGTTTCCTTTTTCTTAACACCGTTAATACAGTTGCGACTTGACTTCGAGGAGCAACTCATAGAACGCGGTGTGGTAGCAGTTTTTAAAGACTTTGGTGATTTTTGAAGCTTTTCCAAAACTTTCCCGACACCATGCTTCGCAAGAGGAAAAAAATCGCAAGACGACAAAACTCGCGGAACGAATTAATTTCGTCTTGCGAGGCACCACTGTATACAGAGGCAGAGGAAGTTGTAAGAAGAAACCTCATACGGAAATCAAACCATGGATCCATCAATTCATCGGTACAACAGAGGGAGCCAAGGGGTTAACTTCAGGGGTTGCTAAGGATCCAGCTCCTGCCATCAGCAGTTATGGGATCTATTGGGTGACATGATCTGGAAAGCATGGCCATTGGCTGCACACTGATGACAATGATGGCTCTCGAGGATTCCAGGTGAGTCGAGGGGCAAGTTTGACAACAAAATGTGAAAATCTTTTGCAAACCTTGTAAAAGTGCAGTTGTTACAGTCACGGTTTCGGGGACATTGTCTTTGGTGTAGATCGACTGCTGGAATTCTGGGGCACAGTCGTTCACGTCTGTGATCACAACCCAAACCTAGAAAAAGGACAAGGCAAGGGAGTGTTTAGCAGCACGAAAAGTCAACTGGCTCCTCTTGTGCGTCTGCACAGCTCCCCAACTCACTGCAGCCACCCCACTGTCAAGAGGGCAGCTTCGTGGCTCCACATCCTACCACCCTGGCCACTGCTGCTAGTGAGTATCCGCAGTTTGTAATGTAAGATGTTAGGATTTCCCTCAAGCTCCTCCAATATTTTTCAGCGAGTTTCTTTTTGAAAAGTCATTTTCAAACTGGGATGGAAAAACCTGTTCAACTACAGTTCTCTCATTTCCCCCCATTTTAGATTCAGTCCTCCAAGCTTCTACAGCACTTTCTGGATTTTTTGTAAACAAAAGCCTCATGAAAACTCACCAGTTCAGGATTCCAGCCACTCCATTCCATTTGCCCCCACCCCCACCCGCCGCCACACCAAATTGCATTGCACGGCCGCTGGACACAGTTAGTTCTCTCATTGGGTTGTTGTTGTTGTTTGCTGTTGCTCCTCCCCCCATCTCTTAAGTTGTTTGTACTTTGGCAAACTTCAGTATTCCCCCCCCCCCAGGCTGCTGGCACCTCCCTATTGTGCGTACGCAATGCTGTCCTGGCTAAATAAGCAATGGCACTCTCACAGCTTGGGACACTGGAAACAGAGGGAATTGACTGGAGCGGAGAATTGAATGTGCATTGCTGTTAAGGGTTGCTGACCTCAACAGTGCTGCTGAGCTGTCCCTGGTTTTCTCTTGCTTGAACCAGGAGGAGGTACTGGTGCTGACCATTCTCGTAATCCAGATTTCGGCTGAAGTAGATGTCCCCTGTCCCCTGGTTAATGCCGAACAGGCCATTCGGATTAGTTAAGAGGCTGTAGCTCAGGGACTTGTTTTGATGTGACAAAGCGGACACGGTCAGGAACCTGGAAAAGGTTAAAAGAAATCAACAATGAACAGCGCAAGAGGAAGTCGGTTTCTAACATTTTCATATGATGCCGCTCCACTTTGGAAACACCTGTTGGGAAGCAATGGACAAAAATTTCATATAATTATGGAACATCACATCGCATCTAGATCCACACCAAACATGTGAAGCACATCAAGCTTAAAACACACAGCTTCCCCTCCCCCCAAAGAAACAATCCTGGGAACTGTAGTTTTCCCCCTCAAAGGGCTACAGTTCCCAGCACCCTTAACAAACTACAATTCCCAGTATTCTTTGGGGGAAATTGTTTGCTTTAAATGTATGGTGTGAACCTATACTCAGTATAACTAAGGAACACAACCCAGGATGGAACTCCAAAAAGGTGAGGAATCAGAGCTGTGCAAGGCAAGAGCAGCACTGATTGTCCCTGGCTGAGTTTACCAGGGATGGAGAACAGGCTTGGAATCATATAATTGTAGAACTGGGAGGGACCACAAGGGTCATCTAGTCCAGCCCACTGCAGTGCAGCAATCTCTTTGCCCCAAATGGGGCTTGTTCCCCAAAAGCTTATTGGTAACCTGGGGGCCCTGCTCCTGGGGACCCTGCTGTGCTCAGGGCAAAGTGGCCACCCAGCCTTGACACTGGATAGCTGTAAGGACATAAGAAGAGCCTGCTGGATCAGGCCAATGACCCACCATCATCCTGTTTTCACAACCAGATTCCTATGGGAAACCCACGAGTAGGACCTGAGCACAAGAGCCCTCTCCCCACCTGCCATTTCCAGCAACTGGTATTCAGAAGCATTGCTGCCTCCAATTGTGGAGGGCACAGCATAGCCATCACGGCTAGTAGCCATTGAGAGACCCCTCTCATCCATGAATGGAGGTACAGCCACAGGGCATCACGCCTGAAAAGAGCACACTTGGCTGTTGCTGCTATCAGAGGGTGTTTCGTGCTGTCCTTGCTGGTAACAGAACTGTGAATTAAAATTGTTTGGATCGTCACTCTTCTTTATTACGGTTTGTCATAATGTAATTGCTTTGCATTGCCTTTTATATGGCTGGGGATGTATTGTGTCTTTTTTTTTTTCTTCCCATGCTCTCAAGCTCAATGTGTGTGGAAGACGAGGAAACAAAATGACTGGGAGGACGACGATGGAAAGCTTTCAAAAGCCATCAGGATTACTTGCTGGGAAACTGCATTAGGAATGCATTTTCGCAGCCTGCTTCATTGCAGCCTTAGTTGTTTTCTTACGCATGACAGGCTGAACAATCATGGCAAAAAAATGGGTTTTCCTCTTGTTTTTCTTGATAACATACACGCACAAAAATGACACATTATTGACTTGCAGCATAGCTCAGTTATTGTTGAAGAACTAAGTCTTCAGTTTGGCATCCAGTGCCAAATACATTGCCCTGCGTGCTATCTCTAGGGTGGTGGGGTGCAGGGAAATACTTTCAGATTTCTACACATTACCATTTCAACAGGTAAATAAGAGGCCTGCTGCTAACTAACCACTCCTAACAAGCATATAGCAGCAGTGGAAGTCTTTAAGTTTGGTCTTGGGCTCAATGTCAGCTCCTTGGGAGTTGTTGTACAAGAAAGCAGCTGATCTATCCACCTCTCTTGGGTCTTCTGGGTCTTCCCCCAGGGATAAAGGGAGAGATCCCCTTTGTATTTTACTTCCCAGTCCATTCAGACTTATGTCAAAGGGGTGGGTGGGAAAACGAGGGAGGAACGGGTGGAGACATGGAGAGTGTAATCCCCCTGCAATCAATCCATTGGCGCTTGTGTCAAGCGGTGCGGGGGGGACACTTCCAGGCAGAAAAGAGGGCACAGGTGGGCATACACAGAGAAAGAGAGATGGGGTGGCACAGAGCATCCCTGCAGTGCTGCAAACTCTTCCCACCAGTGGTTCCGCCTCCATGCACCATCAGCTCCAAACCACAATTGACCCTTTTCATAGGAGGTCAACGGACTTTCAACAGGGGAAAAAGGTTCCCTACCCCAATTCAATATTTGGGGCTTTTTAGTACAGCCAGAATCGCCCGGGAGCATCCCATCAAAATCTAGTTTCATGCTGGTATAATAAATGTATACACGTTTGAGAAGCTCCAGACATCCAGATGATCTTCAAGCAGATTTAGTAAAGGATCACATTCTTCCCGCAAACACATGCTTGCTGTGCGCCTAATGAAGAAGCACGACAGAAGAGCCAATCCCATGGTGGCCAATTTTTGGTTTTGCTTTCGAGGCAGCTTCAGCAAGAAAACATGGTTCTTAGAATGCAGGGGCAGTAAATCGGATAGTTAACCATTTAAGTTTAATCCGATAACACATGCACTAAATTATGACAGATTGTCAGATGAGCTCCAAAGTTCAGCAAAGTACATGGGAGTCTCCTAGACTTTAATGGGTCAAGCCCTACATCTGGCAGGATTATAATAGTTCTTATCCTGAAAAGAGGATGAGTTGCTATATAGTATATCACCTCATGTGAGCAGGCAAGTGCAATCCGTCGGCTCAGTTCAATGGGGAGGCCTCCTACAACCACCCAACCCATTTGCACTGACAAGGCGTCATTTGAAAGCCAGAGAAATTCGATATGTTTTAACGTTCCTTATGTTCAGTATGTTTTAATGTTTCCTTTTCTTTCAACAATTTATATACCGCTTTAATACCGTAGGCTTTAAGCACAGTACAGTAGGGCTGAAATGATGCAATGAAGATGAAATCTGCTTAAACTAACCATAAAATTGGAATCCTGAAATCAAAAGGTCTTTTGTAGACTGCCAGAAGTTCAAAAGGCTCTTACCCAGGAGGGGCTTCCATAGAAATTGGCCCACAATACTGAACTTACAGCTCTTGTGGGATACAAGTTGTGTGTCTGAACCAAGTGGGGGTCACTAACAGTGACACTTCCAAAGGCCGCATTGACTTAGCAGGGATATAACTGAGCAAAACTGACTCATTAATTGAGGGGTGGAAGGAGAATTCAGACTGAGGGGGACATCTGCTTCTTTTGGTTTTGGCCTCTTCCCCCCTCCACACACACACAAAATGGGGTACTATCTGTAGTTTCAAGGGCCTCCAGGTCAGGAGATTTACTAGACAACAATGGCTACGCGTCAATTATTTTATTCCCCACAGTCCCCTGGAAAAAGTGTCATTTTGGGGCATTGTGGGAAATTTAAATGGCTGCTCAGCCAACAAGCATGAGGGGCTCAGGTTGGGCACTGGTACAAGTGGCACTTAGTGTTATGTACTGAAGTTCTCACCCTGGGCCAGCAGGGGGATACTGTAGATAGTTTTCACTCAGGTCCACGTCAGTTATTTTAGGTGGGAAACCCTGGGTTGTTGTTGCTACAATGTTGACAGCTGGCTACCTATAAAAGCAGGCCGGCTGAGCTGTTTGCTGTTCAGTTTCTGTTCCAGCTTACAAAATAAAGAGCTGCTTTGGAGAAATCGCTGTGTCGTCTGCCATGTCTACCCACTATTCAACACTTAGAATAATAGAAATGTAGTATTGGGAGGGGTACCAGGGATCATGTAGTCTAACCTTCTGCAACTTATCACAGCTCTGGGGCACAGCAGCTGCCTGGATGTGCCAACTACTGTATGTGTCTCTACTTCCTGTATTCCTGTCCCCATCTGTTCCTTAGACGCAGCTCAGTTTCAGCTACAACAAAATTATGGAACTTTATTAGCTGATTTTCTGTGCCTTGAGGCTTTCTGTTTGCACTATTCAACCTTTTGATTAAACCAATCGACCTCCTGCTTGTGTTGTCTTCTGTAAGGAGTTCCCCAATTCAATATAGTAATTTAGGACTCATAATTTATTAACAAGCAGCACACATCAGCTGAACTTAAACTTTCTTTCTCTCTGATAGAAAGCTAACTGAAGACGCCTGTTCTCAAAATGCCATTAAAGGTGCAGGACACATCCTTCATCACAATTTTGGCACTCACGGTTCTCCCAGTGGCAGATTTTCAGGGACGTAAACGGAGTACGACGTGTTGGCAAACTGCGGCGCTCGACGTCCGGCGACTACAGACACTGAGGCAGGGGAGCCCTGGCGCCCTGGTTTGTCAGCTGCCAGCACAGTCAGCAAATATTCCCTCTCCTTCACCAGAGGCAAACCCGTTGTTTTGATCCAGCCGGTATCTTTTTCCACTTCAAATCTGTTCTCTCCACCTGTGAAGGAGCAAAAAAACAACAATTGTGTCCGGGACCGTGGTCAACAGATTCATGTTTTGAAGTGGGTAACTGGTTTAACATTAAGCCTCACCCATGCTTTCAATCTGTTGGGGGTGGAGCTCCTTTGGGAGGAAGGGGCTGGATAGGGACATATAACCACAGGAGCTATCTCCACCTCTTAGCTGCAAATGTCCGCTTGAACGTTCTGACATAACCAGGAACTCGGGGTGGAAGGGGAGGAGAAATCAAGTTTCTTAACAGCTCGTAAGTGGCTCCTGGTTAGTTCAAGGAGGTAGATGGGAGTCAGCAGCAGATGGCATGGTAAGGCAAAGGCTGACATCCCAACAGATGAGTCATGGCTTCCTTCCAGAAGGGGTGAGGTGGCAGCAAGGCCAGTGGGTCCAAATGTTCCTGCTGAGCCAATCTGCTGGGGTCCTTCCCAGAGAAGCTTGAGATGCATTTAACTACAGGTGAAACAGGTTGCACCTAGGACCTTCTGGACGCAAAGCATGTGCTCTCCAACTGACCTACAGCCCCTCCCTCTCATTCACCCCTTTGGGTGAACAAGACTCCCTGAGGTTCAGTCTGCCCTCAACCAGCCCACCAGCTGCCTGCATCCTTACTAACAATTAGTCTTGGTCAGGTTTCCTCAACCTCGGCCCTCCCAATGTTTTTGGCCTACAACTCCCATGAACCCTAGCTAGCAGGACCAGTGGTCAGGGATGATGGGAATTGTAGTCTCAAAACATCTGGAGGGCCGAGGTTGAGGAAGCCTGGCCTTGGGGGTGGCAGAGACTGTCAGCTTCCTCTTTCTCCTCTTAGTGTTGCCTTTGTAGAACTCAGCAGGAAAGTGGAGAATACGGGGCTTCCTGTTGCATCTGCCTGTCTTTGTCTCTGGCGCCACCTGCTGTTGGCCTCCTTGCTTTTTACCCTTCCGGTCCCAATCGGCACCAGTCTCCACTGTCTTTAAATAATAGTTAATTTGACCAGTTTTGATCAGAATGGTGTTGTAGAAATAAATACCAAAAAAGCCCCACCAAGTACAGAGTGAGACAGGAAGGGGGGGTAGAATACACAAATCCACACAGAAACACTCCACCTCGGCTTTTAGAAGCTGCATTTACCTTCTACCAGAAAATATTCAACGGCTCCATTTTCATCTTCATCTTGATCCTTAGCCAAGAGCTTGTACACCTTTGTGCCTGCTGCAGCTTTAGGGGAAACAGTTGCTAGGTAAGGGAAAGGCTCCATGACCCATTCAGGGACATTGTCATTTACATCTGTCACTGTGAGGTCCAAATGCACCAGGTACCAATTCTTTCCTGTTGGTTAAGAGGGGAAAGTGTGTTAGCATGAATGGACTTTTCAAGGCAACAATAGTAGTGCTGTGAGGTTTTTTTGGGGGGGGAGTAGGCTGCATGCCAAGACCCTTCTAACCCCTGGATCCAGCAAGTGTTTAAATATAAGCCAGGCTAGCTTCCTGAGCGGGTGATCACCTGGGTGATGGTCCATTAAGTGGAACAAAGGAATTGGCTTGAGACTGGAAAATGGGTGGGACCCCTTAGGCAGAAGGACAAATCCTGAGCTGAAATTTGCAGTGATGCGAGTCAAAAGAAAAGCAGCAAGCTGGAGAGAGAATCGGACCATTGCTTGGTTTCTGTCTGAATCCAAGGCTAAAGCTCTCTCTTTTGCAGTTTTCACATCTCTTCACATGTAGGTCATCTATCAAAGCATATACCATATTTTTCACTTGTTTGGTTAGCTTGTGTGACCTAACAACTGTTCAGTCGACTTTGGAGAGTTTCCTGCCATCTGTGCACAAGAAACTCATACCCTCTAATATTCCTCAAATACGGACTTTTCTCACTTACCCACAACTGACCCTCTTCAAACCCACATTTTTGTGTGTTTCCTCCCCCCTCAAGCATTTCCTGTCAGAAGAAGAGTGCGCGCCACCAGTACCACAACAACGGGACATAGCACACACACAAACCCCACCATCCTGAAAAATCTCCTTAATCCCAATTTTATTTTATTTTCTTCTTTGGGAGCTTTATAAAAAGAAAAACACACACACCAATACAGTCATACCTTGGGTTACAGACGCTTCAGGTTGTGTGTTTTCCGGTTACGGACGCACCAAAACCTGGAAGTACCGGAATGGGTTACTTCCAGGTTTCAGCGCTCGCGCATGCGCAGAACTACTAAATCATGCTTTGCACATGCACAGAAGCACCGAATCGCAACCTGCGCATGCGCAGACACGGCACTGTAGGTTGCAGATGCTGCACGTTGCGAACGTGCCTACCGCACAGATCACTTTCGCAACCTGAGTGTCCACTGTAAATGAATTTTAGAAAAAGATAAGATTAGACCCAGAACCACAAAGCCCATTTCCTTTGCACTTTGCTACTGCCTGGCATCCACCAAGAGCCTTTAAGAGCAGCAGAAGCTGCTGACTCTTTTCCCGCTCACTCTGATCTCTGTGGTGTCTCCGCACTTGTGCGAAGAATTCGTGGCAGTTTCTGTCACTGCTGTGGAGATGGCCAAAACTGGGCTGGTGTACATCATAAAGGAATTCTGGATGATTACGGCTGGTGTGTGGAGCACAGCGGTGTGTGGAAATGCCCATTTGTGCCCTACACAAGGGGGCCGTAATGTCTCAATTGGCCCTCGAGTTGAACTGCTAAAACGGCCTCCGCATCTGTTGCCATCTTGAATTATTTCTCAGCGTGCTTGAAGTCTGCCGTTGCAGGAAACATTCGAAATCTGGGGGCGTGATCGCTGCTGCTGCGTTCTGGACAAATGGCGTGCAATTGCAAGCATCCTATACAGAAAGAAGCACACTCTTGGTGCACTAAAAAGAACACCCCGCTCCCTCATACGGAGTGCTCTAAATATAAACCTTTGTCACATACCCTTTTATCTCGTAAACAGTATAATCTTCTTGTGGTACTCTTAATATCCCTGAAGCACCTCTAGGGCAAGCAGTACAATACACTTGTTTTCCTTCTCAGCTACCTCCCTGCTGCCATGGTGGGGGAGGAAAAAGAACCTATGTGGCTGGGAAGTGTATTTTTTACTTCAAATATAGGAGTTTTACCCTTTACAGTAGATTTCCAGTGATACCATTAGAGTAGGACTTTGGAGAGGGTCCAAAAAAATAACAGGGCATTTTGAAGTGCAGTTAACACAACCATCTAAAAGGGTTATGTGCACTGACAGCCAGTGTGGTGTAGTGCTTAGTGGGCGAGACCAGGGTTCAAGTCCCCACTCAGCCAAGAAGCTCACTGGGTGACCTTGGGCCAGCCACTGTCTCTAAGCCTAACCTACTTCGCAGGGTTGTTGTGACGACAAAATGGAGAGAGGGGAAACCATGTACGCCACCTTGAGCACTATGGAAGAAATGGTGTAACAAATGAAGAGACGGGACCATGGAATCCAAAGTCTAAAACAAATTTCACCCACTGAATATCTCTTGTTTGTCTTTCTGTTTATCCGTCAGGGATCTGTACAATGTGTCACATGGTATGAGGTCTGTCGGGATGTCTCACGACAAGGTAGCAAGTTTAGCATGTACTATCATAATCTGATGTCTATAAACAACCAGTAAGTGGATTCCGGTTAGGAAAATTCCCTGGCGCAGTGATTAACTATGCCAAGTTTCTTAGTATAGACTCCAAAGCATTAACCTTTTATAACCCTTAAGTACTTTCTGTCCTTTCTAAAAATAAGAGTGGGATCCTCAACCACCCACCACCCCACACCAGCATCCACAGAGCTGAGCAAGGTTATGTCCATTGCACCACAATGAACCTGGTTTTTTACAAGTGTGAAGGTTAATAATAATAATAATTTATTATTTCTACCCCGCCCGTCTGGCTGGGTTTCCCCAGCCACTCTGGGCATCTTCCAACAGAATATTAAAATACAATAATCTATTAAACATTAAAAGCTTCCCTAAACAGGGCTGCCTTCAGATGTCTTCTAAAAGTCTGGTAGTTGTTCTTCTCTTTGACATCTGATGGGAGGGCGTTCCACGGGGGGGGGGGGGTGCCACTACCAAGAAGGCCCTCTGCCTGGTTCCCTGTAACTTGGCTTCTCACAGCAAGAGAACCGCCAGAAGGCCTTCAGCACTGGACCACAATGGGGGTGGAGCGGCTCCTTCAGGTATACTGAAGGTTAAACTTTGTTCAGACCGCAAAATCCTTTTTGATAATTTTCCGTGCGGATTTGGGGGCCCATAAGTAAGCAGAGAGATGCAAGATGCAGAGGGCGGGGGAGGCAGCTTACAAAAAAAACTAGTACAAAGTTGGTCCAGCCATGCAAGAAAGCTCCATCCACTTTTGCACCACTCCACTCCTATGCAAGTGTGAATTTTGCTCCTGCAGCTCATGAGCAGAGGCAGCCCATGTGGTTTCTTCCTGATGTTTTGGGCTACAACTCCTATCGTCCCTGGCTGCTGGCTATGCTGCCTGGGGCGAAGGGCATTCTACATTGGCTATTGCTGTCTGACACACTCAGCAGAAGCTGCAATGTGATGGACAGGACTGCGTAGAAGAAGCCAATGACCCATGGGGGGCGGGGAAAGCATGGGGTGAGCGTTTGAAATTAAGATCCCCATCCCACCACCACTTCAAATGCTTTCAAGCAATTTTTAGTCCGCTGGAGGATGTTTTGAAGCTCAGTCAAATGCAGAGTGTGGAGCTGGGGTTTTTGCAGCATGTTTTAAAATTGGTGAAAACCATAGGAGGGGGAGACTGTTCTTGTGCTCCGATCCTGCTGACGGGTTTCCCCAAAGGCATCTGGTTGGCCACTGTGAGAATAGGATGGGCAATTGGTCTGATCCAGCAGACCTCTTCTTACCTTCTTAAGATGGTTTAACAAAATTGATGGGATGGCATCACCATCACAGGCCCAATTCACATTGCTGTTTTGGACGTTTAAAGGCTTTCATATGTTGTTGGACTAGTGTGCTTGAAGAACCCCATCTCTTACCCATACATTAAGATCTTCAGTTGAGGGCCTCCATCTGAGGTGAACCCAGGTTGTTATTTACCAAGTCTGTGTAGATAAATACTATTTTATCTGCATTTACCTTGGCGTTAATTGCTAATTCCCTCCCTACAAGCAAGAGTGTACTGGCACTGATTAATTGGCAAGAAATATAGAGGGCAATCATCATTCTGGCAAACTTTCTGCAGATCAAGCTCAAAACCTCTTCTCCATGAATACATGTGTAAATAAGAAGAAAGGAAATCCTGGGAGCCTTCTCAGTGACGGCCCAGATGTGGAATGCACCACCCAGAAAGGTTCAGCTTCATGGTCCTTTTTTCACCAGGCAAAAGCCTTTAAAAATAAAATCCCTAGGTTTTTTTAGATGTATTTTGAAGACTGCTGTTTTATTCTGCTTCTACAATTGTGTGACGTTCTCCCCCTTTTCTGTTGTTTTTACATTTTAGTCTTTTTGTAAACCATCCTGGGAATATGATTGAAGGGCGGGCATGAAAACATTTATAAATTAATAAATAGCCTCTCCATTGATTTCAGCAGAGAACGTGCTGAGGAGATGGCCTCATGCCTGAAAAGGGCCGGTGGGCAGCAGCAAAACATCAGCCTACCAGAGAAAATCCTCTTGCCCCCTGTTTTTCTCCTGAAATCAATGGACACCATAGACCCCTTCAGGGATTACATACTTATTAAGCAAACACTTGTGGGGGTGAGGACGGTTGTGTAAGCTCCAGCCTCTATCAAACCCCACCACCACCCCCGCTTGCACATTTTAAAAACTTGGTGGGGGAGGGTTCTGACATGTATAGGTAGCCTTCATGAGCACAGGAGGGGGCTCTGCCACTTCAAAAAGTCACCCCCTAATTCACAGAAGACAGCAACAGGGATTGGAGCTATTTATGCATTTATAATAATAATAATTATTATTATTAATGCATTTAATTTATACCCCACCCTTCCTCCCGATGGAGACCAGAGCAGCAGACAGATACACAGTTTAAAAACAAGAACATTCTGAAAGAGTTAGAACATTCTAAAAGCAATGACAGCTAAAAACAGTCTTCCATCCAGTGATCTTGGGGCTGCCAGGAACAGTCTTCTTCAGCCCCCAAATGCCTGGGTACAGAAAAATGTTTTCAATTTTTTCCTGAGAGTTAATAATGTTGGGGGCAGGCACATCACACTAGGGCAGGGATTCTACAAAACAGGGGAACCACCACTGAGAAGACCCTGTCCTGGGTCAGCGCTAACTGGGTAGCCCCTGGGGGTGGCCCCACCACCAACAAGGTCTCACCTGTTAGTGAAGGTCCAC